CAGGGCGCGATCTCTGGAGTCTCTTTTCACTTTGAATTTTCTCATCTCCGCCATTTATCTCACTTTGCATTTTCGACTATTCGACTATAGACTCACGGTGCGTCTTCCAGCCCATAGCGCGATTTTGGTGAGGGTTGAATCACAGGGGTGTCTGGGTTTTCTCGATCTCTTCAAGCAACAGCACCTGAAGCACTGGGAGAAGCTGCTAAATTGGTCCACAGAAGCTTATCATGTGCTGATCAAGTTCGTTAGGAACCTACCTGGAAGGAAGACCTGCAGACACGCTGAGCCCCAAGGATCAGATTGGACACTCAGGATGGGCTCTGCTGTCTGCTGTGGGGCATGAACGTGATGGGAATAGTAAAACCCCCCGCACCCGGTGCTCTGTCAGCACTTCTAAAATGTATTTAGCATTTTCCTTCTGTGTTCATTACAGGTTATTATTTTCCCTTTTAATGGCTGGTGTTCTGTTTTTTAATCCAAACCTCCCTTTGGCACAGCAAATCCTCCCTAAAATGGGGTATTTTATGGGCCCGTATTGCACAATTCCAGATCATTCTGAAACAGGGACACAGAGTGCTCCTAGTATCTTTGTAGTCAGAGCCCGTGATGACGCACCCCTGCTTGTCTCGTGCCGTCCTACAGGTTCGTTTCCTGGCGAGACGACTGTCGCAGGACTCTTCCCTGGGAGAAGGCCGAGTCTGTCGGTGCAGATCGGGAGACTGCGGAATTCTGCAGCGGAGACTCCAGCCCTCACCTGCTCCCCTGCTCCCCTGGCCTCTGGCCCAGCGCAGCTCATAGGTCTGGCCACAGCGGGGCTGTTGTGGGCTCCCCAGGAAGGAGGGGTCTGGAAGGGGAGGGGGGGATCTGAGAGGGCTGCTGGGGGAGATGGGGTGGGGGTCAGGGGACATGTGGTACTGCAGATCCGGAGGTGCCACAGGCCACTGCCACAACTCATGAGCTTGACCAGCTGGAGGACAAGGGGGAGTAGAGGGAAGGAAGGGGAGGAGGCGATGGGAGAGTCAGAGTGAGATAGCGATATAGGGAGATAAAAGAACCAGCCCGCCCACAAATACGTTAGCAACATCTCCTCTGTTCTTTTGAAGTCAAAGAAAGTGTCTCGTTTATTTTCCTTGAAATCAAGAGCCAGACACGAAGAGCTAATAGATCCCTTTATTCTGCCTGTCCTAAAAAGGTGTTTCTTTATGCTTTCCCCTGGCCAGGCTGGTCTTGTCACCCGGTACCCTGTTCCACCAATCTGTGTCAGTGTACAGTGGGGCAAAATATTACATCTACTCCAGCGCAGATTTTAAAAGCTTCATGGAGCCGAGTCAAGATAAAGCAACATTTCCAATTCCAGAATTGAAACCTTTTTAAAATCGCATTGCCTTTAACTCATGGTTGCTTCCTGTTCAGTTTTTTTTTGAATGGTGCTCATTTTCCTTGGCCGGTGCAGTAGTCTGTTCGGGAGAGATGACTGTCCATGTGCACCCTAGCATTGACGCCCCGCCCCGGAAGCTCAGTCCCCCGTGTTGATCCCCGTGTTGAGGTAAAGCACTTCGTCTCCCACCCCCTCTCTCAGCCTCCAAACACCTCCGTCCGCTCATCACCGAGAAGACCAGCCACACTTTAATAGCAGCCCTGGGCATTTCAATTACAACAGGTTGGCTCTGACATGTTCTGGTTCACTGTGGTGACAATTACAGGTTTGCAAGCTTCCAAACTGTGCTTTTCTTTTTCATAAACACAGCTCGGTATGCAGCAATTATTGTGTAGGTTGGTGCGTGCACAGTTTTTAAATGGCACTGTGTAAAATCCCCGATCGCGTTCGTGCAATGGCTGTCAAGGCAGCTCTGAGAGCCCCCCCAGAGCCGTGCTGCTCTCCCAGATGTCCGGGCCTCCTGCTGCCAGAGGCCGGAGGTGATCTGTATGACGGTGCAGCGCCATTTTGCCCGAGAAGTTCTCTTCTTCTCCACTAACTTGTCTTGCTTTCACAATGGTCTTCTGTGTTTCTTCTAGAGTAGAAGAACGGGAACTTCCACTCTTTGCTTTACCAGACTACAATAGTACACTGCTTTACTGTAATACACACTCGCAAGTGTACTATAATTCAGCCCTTAGTGTTAACAGAATCATTGCATGAGTGTGCCCGACACACAGGTACTGTATGTATAAATGGCATGATGTCTTCCTTCTATCCTGTGATTATATAGTCCACACCACTGACTTATTGGCTGCTGTCCCATTTAAATATGGATGTATTCTATGGAGTCCTTTATTCCACACTTCATTCATTGTCCCGCACCCTCTTAACTCCTGTATTGCACGGTATAATCATCGGAACTTTTGTTGCGGTGTTACGTATTAGATCTGTGACTTTATGATGTTCTCTTGAATGTACCGAACATCAGATTTTGACAACAGTAACCCACTAAAGTTGCTTTGGTGTATATAGTTATCTGTCAAACAACAAACTCCAAGCTGAACTGAATTTTTAATACTTTCCTTGTTTTGCTTTTGGTTGTCGCACTGAAAGAAACACGAGAGTATAGCTGAGATGCAGCCGAGTGTTGTGGGTTATCTTGAAAACGCAGTGAAGTGCCTAAGGCTGTGCAGGAGTGTGGAGTCACTTTGGGCTGATAACACACGCGGATCTGGGCTCCCTATTATTCTTCAGACTCTCCCTCAACTACTGTTGCTTCCCAGCTGAGACCCCCCTCCCCCCAGCTCCTCACCTCCTGTCCTCCAGCCCCAGTCTGCAGTCCAGCACAATGCCATTGTCATCCATCGGATTGTTGCAACCATTAGCCATTCAGCCTGCCGTCATGCCTTTTGTCCCGTGCAATTCCTCACTCCGGACCCAGATCCTCTCCCCTCTGCCTGTGTCTGCCCCAGCCCATCTGCCCCTCAACCCCGCCCCCCACCCCTCAGCCCCTCAGGCCAGCTGTCCTGTTCCTCAGTCCCTGGGGGTGCAGACAGGTGCACAGCTTGTCCAGAGCCTCGCAGACAGCATACGGCCCTGCAGCGCATCCCCAGCCTGCCTGTGGAGCTCTTCGCCTTTATTGCCTTTAATCTGTTTTCGGTTGTTTGCAAAGTCCTGCAAGAGTAAGCCATCATCACAGAGCTGGGCGTGCTGCCACATGGTTCACAGTTTGTAGCCCAGAAAAAACAACAACAAAGGCTACAGTAAAGTCACAGACCTGTGATGCTCTTCGCTGGTTAGAAAAGCACCCTTTCTCAAATCTCTTCACAAGGTGCTACTGTCACAATGTTAAGATCTCTGGTTGTTTTGTTTATGTTTGGTTAGAAACAGCTGGCTGACAATTCATGTGAACTAATTAGACCTACAAACTTACCATTGAAAAAGCCGAGTCAAGCGATTGGTGTATTGAATGATTTAGATTGACAAAAAGTACATTTTTACTTTATTATTTTCCTTAAAAACATATTTTTTGACCACTTACTGCATATTCCCTTGCATCATTACTTGACAATAAAAACTAAACATTATATCATTGTTCCTCCCACTGAATATACCGTAGTAATTATTATAACGGACAATATTTGTGAAAGACGTCAAGATTGTAATGGGTACCTCAAGGCTTAATTTAGAGACATTTTTTTACGCTGGAGTTTGTTTTTTTTGTAAAAACAAACAAACTTGTAAATGGCAGTCAGGATGTATCGTCACAACACTCATTCATTTTTCAAAGAGAGGAAACAGAGCGCCGCCAAGAGACAGTTCAGAAATACACCCCCGTGGCCGTTTAAAATAGATAAAAGGAAGAATGGTTCACGGGCTGCAGGGCAGATTATTAATAGCTCAACCTACTGTTATTTACTCTGTAAGGAACAGCGTGCACTTCTGCAGTAGCTATTCCTTACCTTGAGAAATAATCACATCTACTCACTTGTGTGTTATAGATGAGAATAATCCTGTGGATCATGGTTTCTATTTGTAGCTAAGAGAAATACATTTGTATATTTTGGATTTTATATTGATCAAAGCTGGGAACGTTCTGTTGATATGGAGGTTCCATTCTATAACACCATCATGCAATGAGGAGATGGAACAGGGATTAAAAGACTGATATAAATACCTGAGTTCTGAACAGAATCGAAGGCCATTTATACAGTTTGCCTATGATTCAACTCCTGCACTTAAAAAAAGTTTGATAAAATGTTATAAACCATTTCATATTTTTATGATGTCTGTACAAACTTTTTGCATGGGTTCAAAATAAGATGAATTTAGCTTGATACCCAAATGCAAAGTGGCTCAAAATTGCTAATTTTGTTTAATTGTATTTTTTTCTGTTAGTCATACCTGTGTCCCCTGTTGCTAGATTTGAATTGGGATAGAAACTGTTGGCTCTGGAGGACAGTTTTAAAAATCACCCCATGCACGCTTTCTTGTCTGCTTTCTCGTGTTTGACGGTGCTGTTGTTGTGTTTGCTGAGCAGTACGTTTAATCCGCAGGGAGCAGGACTTCATTTTTCTGTTTAGAGGCAGGATTATCACCCTTGATCTGGTGTCTCAGCATGTCCATTCTTGTGTTTCAGACTATGGCTTTTTAAAATTGTGCAAGAGTTCAGCCATCAAAAAACCTGGTTTGTTGTATAAGGAATACAATATCAGGAGTGGAAAGGCCGGAATGAAATGTTATACACAGTACAGTATAATATATATATATTAATGGAAGCTGAGCAACATAAATAAATTATAATACATAAATAAATAAATCAGGACACATTATGAATTTTTAAGTGGCACGAAACATCAAACATTACTCCACACTTGCACTTTAAAGATTAAATGTCATAAGAGAAAACCTTTTACCTAAAGTTAAAATGTATCAAAGAGTAAGAATGACACACCTCCTTAGCCCCAGCTTTGTGAAGCTCTAGGTTCTGACTCTGGTAGTGTCAACATAAATTTTTCTAAATTAAAAACCCACACTTAATGAGCAGGGAAATTTCACATTCATAGTTTATTTTTTGTTTTAGTGTTTCAGCCTCCCACATTTTGAAGGTAACTGGATCGTGATTAGAAAAGAAAAGAGAAACAAGACAGATTTGCTTTGCACTTTTTTAAGCAAGCAATAACTCAACATGTCTCTTTACATGCATTTATTTTATACCTGGCGACAAACGCATTTATAGTTCAAAAATAAGATATAACACGAGGAAAAAGAATTCGGTTTCACAAATGACAAAGTTTCATAAATGACAAGGTTACAGTCCAAACTGTGCAGTATTAACCTATTCACACATGCGTACATACAGTACTTCTGTTTCACAGGCAAGACTGTGCAGAAGCCTAAGCCCTACAGCAGGCTTGGTGCATTCACAGTGACAGTAACATCTGGGAGGCAGGGGCCTGCAGCCCCCGTCAGCCCCTCTCTCTGGCCCCTCTCAACTCGGGATCGAAGCACCGAGGGTCAGACTGCTGGTCTGGGCAGGACAGAGCGCTGACAGAGAGACACCCACAATTTTGGGATATTCCCTGGGCCAGGAAGCATGTCTCTGCGATGACTGGACAAGCCAGCACAAGTCAGGCTGCATGCCTAACATAGTGCACCCCCCACCCCCCATCCACACACTCCCTTTCCAGCTACAGGATGGACAACGTCTGACAGAGTAGAGCACACTGCTGAACCAGTCACAGGGATCACAGAGATCAGGGCTTTATTCACTGCATGTTCCTATGAAGACACATCTATCTGGAGCTAGGTTTTGAAAATACATGCATTTCTTGTTAATTGCAGAACAGATACTGTTCCTTTGGGTTTTAAAAAAACGTGAAAGACATTTTGTATAAAGTACATGATTCTGAAAATCTCACAGTACTTTGGTCCAGTGCACAGGTTTGCCGTCTCTTTCACAAGAGTTTGAAGATTTGATAGTGTGTTTCAGCAGTACAGTTAAAAAAAGACCTTTAATAAATATTTGTAGACTTCTATTTAAACTTTAAAGCACCCTTATTTAAAAAAAATGTGTTCTTGCAAGCTAGGCCCAGTGATAAATGCCATGTAATCACTATTGCTCCATTACAGATTTATTGACCCTGGTTTAGATTTACAGATAAATAAAAATATTTGTTTTTATTAGAAAGTCAGATTTTGAAGCAGACTTCAAAAGGGGAGAGGGAAACAGGGTAGAGAATGAAAACTAAGGCATTGCTCATTGCTAAGATGATTTAAGACACATGGGGCAAAAGAATTGTCTACAGTTATGAAATTCTATACTATCAAAGGCTTTGTAAAATTATCCAATTTGTAATATAACTTTGCTTTTTAAAGTTTATCATCATGTGTTAGTCGACCAATTAATTACTGTATCATTGTTCCCTTAGCTATGAAGTGTGTGAAGATGTCTCAACATGAAAGGGACTATATAAAAACAAAATGTATTATTATTAAAGCTATAAAACATCACACAGGGCTGAATTTGGGGAAATATCACAGTACTATCTCAATGAACCTGAAGTCCCTTTACAGGCTATTGGCCAGTGTTGTCAGTCACACAGCTGTGACACTCCCTCACGCTTTCACATCGGTCTTCTAATTGGTTTCAGTCAGATCTCTCTCTTGGGGACCAGTCAGCTGGCCTCTGGAATTCAGAATGTCACAAGGACAGAGCGAAAGCAGAGTAAGCCATCTGCTCCAGTTTTCAGCCATGCTGTGAAATGACTGAACGCATGTCTGCAGGTGAAGACCCAATGGAAAAGCGTGTCGTAATGTCAAGGGAATCCTGAGAAACGTTCTGTGAAGACTCTGGCTTCATATACTGTACAAAGCACAGAGCACAAGACACAGAAAAATCCAAACCCCACACTCCAGAAGGAAACCAGACTCTCCCGGCACAATACTGCAGTTCTGTAGCTCTACAGTATAACAGCAGTAGTAACAGTGGTAGGTACTGGAGAATCGGCAATTTCTGAAATGCAACACAATTTAAAAAATCAGAAATGGACCATCATATCATTCTCGTTTATACTGTTCCATCTTTTCAAAGCAGTTCTTTTCTATCGTTATTATTTACCTGGTAGATACTCTTATCCAGGATGACTTAAAAAGTACTGTACACCAAGTTTATACAAAGCGTCAGAACAAGCCAGCACACTGAGGATGGAGATACATAACCAGTGGATGTATTGAATAACTGCACACTTCAGAGAGCTAATAATAGGTTTCACTTCAAACTCTAATTATTCTCAGTTCTTAAACATGTTGGAGGTCGCCTGTTAACTATTACTGTAAGATTTATAAGTTAAGATCTCCAACTCTGAATGACTATTATTTTTTTTTTTTGCAACGGCTCTTACCCATGATCGTTTTGGCTCATTTGAGGATTCACTGAAGTAGAGAGCTCAGCTGTCATGAAAGCCAGCAGGAGTAGTGAAGCCCAGGACCAAAACTGAGGTACCCCGGCCTCAGAACACTGGTGCTGGGGATGCCCTGTCTTGTCTTTGTTCCAAGCTATTAGGTAAAATGATTGAACCCTTAATTCAATCAACGCCTTGCTTTTAAGTATTTTCTGTACTCATGTTTTGGATTCTGAAAAAAAAAACAACACAACTTTAATGTGTATTACTTCCAAGCAAACCACCTTTATTTTGGCTTGGTTTAAAATTGTTGCTCTTCTATAGTTTTCGAACCAAGTCCTGATTGATAACCAATTACAAGGGTACAGTAACGGGTGGGAATGACACGGAGGAACTCGGGCTGTAAGCCTTCTTGGTGAAGGCCGGAATCGTTGGTGAAGTAATGCCACACGGTCATTTTAAGTGGGCTTCTGATTCATGGTAGCTGGTTTTCATGTTAAATTCTAACCCCGACTTTCCAAGAATTGTGACATTTTTTGATCAGCGTATCGAACCCTGAATTAAAGTTACTTGATCAGGACCTCCGCTATAATGAACAGCGGGCGACACGGGGGACTCCGGGACCAGCACTGGGAAACCGACCTAGAGGATTAAAAATCACATGAAAAGATGGGAAACCGTTTTAAAATTGAAGCGTTAAGTATTGAAACGTTTGGTATGTGTATATCATCGTTTCTAGCGGAAACAGCACCGGAACTGCCGCGAACAATGGGACACGACTGAAATGGGTTCTTACGAAGTTCAGCACCCAGTGAAAGGTTTTGGGGTGGAAAAAAATTACAAATACCAATAGTGTACGAACGCACGTAGCCGACTTCCTCTGCTGGCTTTAACGGCGCGATTTTTTTTTTTGAGCAGCTCGAGTTTTGTTTTTATTAACCTGCACCGAAAATGAAAGTTGTGTGTGTCTCTCTCTCTGTGCGTCTGTGTGGGGTCGTCTGGTCCTTTGCGCTGTGCTAACGTCATATACCTTAAAATGCTACGCTATAGCTTGCCAGGCCTCGCCACCCACCCTGGTTTAAAGACCAAGACCCAACCTCGTTGAAATGACACACCAAGCCGGCTGGCCGACAGAAGACCCAGCACATTTGGCCAGTAGTACAGTACTTCACTTCTTTCACAGCTCCGGTTGGAGTCTGAAAAGGGGAGCACAGGAGGTGGTGGTGGTAGGGGGGGGCAGTGACAAATTTGCATTAATTGCAGACTCCTCCATAGACTTTAGTGGGCGACTCACCGCGTTGAACCACATAGCTGGAGGAGAAGCGGATGACTCTTCGCTCCGAAGCGTGCAAGCCCGCAGCTAAACTTTGGATATCTCTTCACACCTCTTAGCGGCAACAAAATACCCTTGCGTGGGCATTTCATTTTGTCTTCTCGCTGGCTTGTTTGATTTTTGTTTTCTCTCGGATGAAAAGCGCCCCGCATTCGGATGGGGGCATCTCGCAGAAAAGAAAAACACACAAAGGCGGAGACCGAGAAACACGTAGCGGCTGTAGTGAGAGGAGGACTACGTTTCGTTGCGGAGTGTTACTAGTTTGAGCAGTGTGCAACAGAGCGGTGCTGCGGGCGAGCGCTGAGCCATCTGGGGCAGCGTTTGAACAATCAAAGTTTTTTTTTTTCTTGTGTCCGATATTTAATTTTAACACTTGCTTTTATTATTTTTTAAATTCTTCCGGACTCTTTTCGAACCGTGGAATGACTGTATAGATAAACACGCACACGGGTAGGATCACGACTTAATAATAAAACAGTGCAGGAAAAGAAGAGGGAGGACTTCATCGTTAAAAAAAGAAAGGTTTTGGAAGATGTCGTCTATCCTGCCTTTCACTCCCCCGATCGTGAAGAGACTTTTGGGCTGGAAGAAAGGGGAGCAGAACGGCCAGGAGGAGAAATGGTGTGAAAAGGCAGTGAAGAGCCTGGTGAAGAAGTTGAAGAAGACGGGACAGCTGGACGAGCTCGAAAAAGCGATCACGACCCAGAACATCAAGACGAAATGCATTACTATACCGAGGTAATGATAACGCGTGCCCGGACAGAGACCCCGGCCCGTCACTTTGTGACAACAGGCTGGTGTAGCGTTAATGTTTCTGGTGGGATACCGAGCGCAACACGGCGCGCCAGCGGCCACGCATTTAGCGTCTGCACGGAGCCACATTACCGAGGGGTGAACTCCGTGGTGTGGGGGGTGTTTTACTGACTCGGTTTTGCTGATGGCTGTGCTCGTTTATCAGCACCACCGAGAGCAGCAGCTAGCCCGTGGGTCACTTTGAACTTGGCCGTTTTGTTTAGCATAAATTACTCTGTAGCAGATCGCGATTGTTGTTATGAAAGGAGATTGCACTCCAACTTTTTAAAGGTGTAGTAAACGGCCTGCCAGGCATCCATTTTTTTCCGGACACTTGCGATCAGTTCAGTGGTGTACTGACAATTTGGTTACAAGAAGTCGCGTTTAATATAATTCATTTTCTTGCCGATATTGGGCTTTTTTGGGTGGCGTTTTCTCTCTCTAACGTTGCGGTCGGTCTCCGACTGGCGCGGCTCGCCAGAGTTCCTGTATAATCGTGCATTTCATAAACGAAAAAAAAACAGCCGAATGGAGCCGGGATTGAAGTGAGGACAAGAGGAAGCATTAATAATTCATACACATGTTTTCAGTTTTAAAAGGTTGTTGTGCCTGCGTGTTATAAAAAGCGCGGCGGCTCTGACTGCAGTTTTATATAATTTGTTTGCTGGTATTCGGACACCAGATGCGTAGGAGTGTAATGTAGTGCACTGGACTGCGGTCGGTGTTTTTGCGCTCCCTCCGTGTCGAGATATAATCCCTGCTCTGCACACAATGTACGATTTGCGCTGTATCGAAGGCCTGGAGTTTTCGATGTCCCGGTTTCCCCCCTGAAACATGCAGAGTTTCCTCAGAAGTCGTGCGGTGCAAAACTACAGACTGGAGTTGCCGGAGTCCGCGAGTTGTTTCGCACCAGCCCGTGCAGGACGAGTTGCTGAGCTGTTATTTATCTGTTACTACATGACGAATCGCTCGGTCCGTGCAGCTCCTATTCTGGGTCCTTTAAGCGCGTTATGTCACAGAGCAAATCGTTTTGAATTTAGGCCACAGAGCTAGGACACATCGCTGTGGAGTATTTATACAAGTTCACCAACAAACGCCAGAAAACATAGGTGAAAGGATGTGCTTATTTAACTGAAAAATGGGCAATTCACTGTGTCGCTGGCTTTATTTTATTTCGATTTTTTTTTACTAGAAGACCACTTATTAGGGTTGTGGTTCAGTGAAACGGGGAAAAAAAAGTTTTTGTAAATAGAGTTGAGATCTATGTATTCAGTTGTGCTGAACCGGGATGCTGTCATGTAATTTCCAGCGAGTGAAGGTTTAACCAGAACTACCCTCTGTGCCCAGAACACACCTTTCTGATAAATCCCATAACCGCAAACAGTAAACAGCCCATTTAGTCATGCAGGTCACTGGAGCTGGTTCATATTCTGTTCCTTCAGCTAGGAGTAATCCTTGTACTGCTCACCGGTGCAAGACCCTGGGCACCATTAAAACAATCAGTGCATCTTACTGTTTCTAACTGTTTCAGTTCGGGGCGAAAGCATGGTGCAGCCCTCTTGCTACGCACGTTCTGTGAGAAAATGACTTTGCCGGAGCTGGCTAGGAGTTACGTCGTGCTTACCAAAACAGAAGCCCTGTCAGCTGACGTGCTCATCCTCCGCTCTCCTGACAGCCGAGGGTGCAAAGCGCTTCATCTCCCCCGTGCAAAGGGAGTCGCTTCTGGTGGCTGTTCTATACTTTCAGGAACATCTGATGGCCTCCGCAGTGGTGTGGCCTCGCCACTCTCATTAGTGTCAGAACCACGCTGACCGGTTCCCGTTTGAACAGTCTTGTGCCTCAAAGAGGAACAGAAAGAGAGGGGAAGGGGGTTGTGTGAAGTGATCGGGTTTTGCTGTAGAAATGGTCAAACGCGGCTCGGTTTTTCTCCGCGGGATGTCGGCGCAGCGGCTGTTCCCGGGCTCTGCGTCGCCCCGGGTGGCGGTCAGCGCTGGCGGCTCAGTCTTCGGGCCGAGGGAGAGTCTCGGAAGCCTGGAGAGGGGCCAGGGCGTGTCCCGGGGTCCCCCGAGTACCCTCTCTGCTCAACAGCATCCCGAGATTAAGGACCCTCAATGGGACCAACCACAAAGTAATTTATTCATAAGATCTTGCATAAAAAATCCTTACACTTATACAGCGCTTTTCTGGACATTCCACTCGAAGGTAATGGGGACTCCCCTCCACCTACACCAGTGTGCAGCCAGTACGCTTCCCACACACCAGCCGTCAGTGGGGAGGAGAGCAGAGTGATGAAGCCAGTTAAGAGGGATTATTAGGTTTCTATGATTGGTGAAAGGCCAATTAGAGAAATTTGGCCAGGACATCAGGGTAACAAATTTTAATGACGACAGAGATTCAGCCCTTGGTTTTATGTCTCATCTGAAGGATGATGCCATTTTGCATAAAAACCCAAACAAAGCCATGCGATCCCTGCAGTGCAGACTTTCTGGTCCTGGAATATCAGGTAAAATCAAGATCGAAGTGGTTGTCCAGTGGCTTTTGTGCGAAACCCCTGGAACGGCAGCTGGAGGGGAGGAGGCATGCCCACTGCTAGATCTCTCCGGTCCCGGAGCACACAGGGCTCCAGCTGACACCTGCGGGTGAGGGCAGACCAGCGCAGACTGCAGCCGGGGGGGAGTTCTGCTTGCTGGGGGCTGCGGGACAGCAGGGCCGTGGCGGTCTGCTGGGCCTCCGTTTTCCCTCCCCCCGCTAACCCCCACAAACGGAGGAGCGCAGCTCTAGCAGAATGCGGTGCAACGTGATCGGGTGGTCCGGCTGGGTTGTTCAGCCCCAGCAGAGGACCTGGCGAGGGAGGGAGTGCTTCCGTCTTGAAGAACTGTCAGCTTCCCAGTTTCCGAGTGGGATGAGCAGTGCGTGGGAGTGTGCGGACTGGGCTGTTGGAGAACAGGACTGTGGGCTGCCCGGCTGTCTCGGTCTGGCACCCTGAACATACGAGGGAAGTCACAGTAATGATCAAATAAGAATCTCTGGAACAGGTGATGCTGAAATGTCACAGCACTTTATAGGATCTCTGTGCACTGTTTGCTTAGGCAGACAAGTCACTGAATTTCTTACGGCTGGTGGGGCATGCACTGCTGACCCAATGCAATGATTTTGTTGGGGAGGGGGAGATAGCGGCAGTGTCATCGCCCTGTGTTGTGTGCAGCCAGCCTGAGAGCATGGGGACAGATACAAGAGCAGGTCGCTGAGCTCGTCCTTCTGGTCTGGCTCCTTGGTAATGGACCTGAGGCTTGAAAGAAGCCTGATTGTTGGAGGCTGGGTAGCTTGTTCCAGACACCCACCACCCTTGGTGTAAACTAAAAGGCGCCCCCTGTTTGTATGTCACTGATGTATCTGATTTTGGCGGTGCCTTTTGAGGGTTTCAAGTATTTGGGGTCCCAGCGTAGTCTTGCATAATTAACGAACTGACTCGTGAAGTTTTCCAGAGTGGTTGATTTTGGATTTTTGCAGCTGTCGTCGGGGCCTGGTCTTGGCTGTAGTTGCGTTTGTGCCCGAGTTCCGCCAGCTGTTTTTGCAAAGCTGATGTTCCGCACGGGTGAAGATCCCAGACCTGCTCCGGCGTTCCTCCGTTCCGAACTCTGGGAATTCCAGGAGGAACAGGGAGATGCCAGCAGGACTGCGTGCTGGAATGCCTGTTTCCTGGATCTTTCTTGGCCACAGGTACCGGCAGCAGTGTTTTTATGGCGGGTTTTGATCGGTATAGTGTTTGGTGTGAAAATGCAAATTTATGAACTTCGGGAACAACTCGTTTTATTTGCTCAAGGCATTGCATTTTTTAAATAAAAAAAAATATGGCGCTCCATGTTTGAGATACCTGCTTTGACCTTTGCGGAGTACATCTAAAATTACTTAACCAAAGGTGGGGCAGTAATTGGCCGCGGTGTACCTAGTGATTTTAATATTGGTAACCATGTGATTATCTAGTGATAATGACAGAGCTGGTGCCTGGCTAAGCCAGGAGCCCTCTGTGGTTACAGCACAGTTGTCTTGGGGGGGGGAAACCGTTTGCTGTGCAAAACCAGGGCTTTAGGGCAGAGTTCAGCTCTTACTCATCTAACGCACTTGTGGCTTTGAAACCAAGCACTTACCAACACACTAGGGCTTTGTGGTTCATCAAGGATTCTTTTTTTCTTCATTTCATTAAAGCCCTGAATGTACATCAACTCGCAGAGCAAGCAGCCTTGGCCGGGGAATGCACTCTGGTGAGGGTCCGCGTGTTGGAAGGAGCAGACTCCTGCTCTTCTGGAAGATGAAACGTTCTGCGCCCCGCTGGGGACTACGCCTGCATTTTTAAAACGCGCGGTGCTTCTCGTGGGGTGTGGAAAGCTCGCATGAACTAGGGCCCAAGGCCACTCTGGGAGTTCCGAACCACCCAGCTAGAAAACGAATAAGCGAGCGTATTTAGAACAGGGGGTTACAAATAAGGCCGTCTCGTTTATAATTCGCTGGGTAGCTCGTGTTTGCAGCTGACGGGAGGTTGCAGCGTGCCCTCAGCGCTGCAGTAGAAAGGAGTTGTGGGGCAGCGCGCCGGGAAAGCAGGGCTTGAGTGTTTTCCAGCGGCAGTGGCGGAGAGACACGGGCGGGTCTGAGTACAGGCGCAGGGTGGCAGACGGGGCCCCGAGCTGTTCTCTGCTCGCGCGCACACACACACACGCACACACCCACCCAGAGGACAGGCTCCAGCCCGGAGCGGCGTGTTTCCAGCCGGGAGTGTGTTGGAGAGGCTGGTTGGAAGCCAAGCTGGGGCTGGTCCTGTCCGCACACGTTGCGCCGGCCTGAATCACGCTGTGGCGGGGCTGGCTGTTGAGACGAGAGAGGGGTTTGGGGATTCCCAGACCCTCTGACTGGGAGGGGCTAGTCTCTGCCATGGGGCTTTTATGGTGGTGTGTGAATGTTTCTTAGTGCAGGGAGGCCCTAGGAGGTTTGGCTGGTTGTGTAAGAAAGGGGTGTGTGGGGGAGTGTGTGTATGCTTCTTATACAGTACATGTGTGTGTGGGGGAGGGGTTGTGGTTAGTGGGGAGAGATAGACCATAGACCATCGCAGGATGGTGTCTTTGTCTGTTAGGTGACCCCCTTCCTTTTATGCACACCTTGTGCTTGCAAGTATTGGGAAAACGGCTGTGCCAGATCCTGCCTGGCCCAGCGCTCGAGCCCAGTCGTGAGGCTGGGGCAGGACTTGCGTGTCCCCAGCCTCGCTGTCCCAGTCCTGGGGCCCGGGTCCAGTCCGAGCCAGGCCCTGTGTTTCGAACTCGGCGCTGTGCTGCCTTGCTGTAAACCCGTGGGGAGCTTTTTGGATGTGCTCATAGGGCATCGCCAGTCAACAAACCCGGATTGATTTCTTGACGTCTTTTTTTTTTTTTACTCCAGAGAATACAAACTTTGAGGACTTGTAGAAAGCAGACGGTGTGTGGGGGGGGGCATTCTTCACAAATGAGCCGGATTCTGCCAAGCAGTCTAATGGAATTGTTGCAGCACTTTTTCTTGTGTCGAGAGTGTTCCTGGCGGATGTGTTGCACGCGCAGGAGGGTGGGCGATGGCCCTGGCTCGTGCTAATCAGAGCCCTGAGTGTGCTGCAGTGATGATGACATGTGCTGATGGGGCACTTTGTGTAAGTATACTCTTGTGCTGAACGCAGGAGCTATAAAAACTTGCAGCTTTGTCGAAGTTGTCAAGGCAAAGGCATAATTCTCTCTGTTCCCCCAGGCTGGAGCCTCTGTGTCTGAAGGATTCATTATAATCGACTCCCCCTCCGCGCCCCCCCACCACCACACACCTCTCTCTCTCTTTTTCCCAGTGAACATTGGGGTTAACACTGTTTCGCTCAGTGAGTCTGTGGCGTTGGCTGGGTCCGGTTGATTCTTACTGGGTGTGGGTTGTTGGCTGATATGTGAAAAAGCAAAAAAAAAAAAACACTTAGATATTTGAGGTTTTCCCCAGGCAGTGCTTGCAGTGTTATTATCTCCTCTTTCATTTCATGTCATAATGATTTACTGGATGCAGGAGTGGGCATTAAGCAATTGTTTAAGGATGTATTAAGCAATACTTTTAACAATCGCAGGAAAAATAGTTCTGAACGTCCGGCGTGTTGTGTGGAAATCAAGCGCTTGCTTTAGTTTCGCTTTTGCCCAGTGTGCATGATACTGGCCTGCAGGACCAGGAGCTGAATTAGTCTATTGGGGAAATAGATGAGAATTTCACAAAAGACATTCTAACGTGAAAAACATGTGTGGTTCCCATGGTCTGCTCTTTTTCTCTAAAGAGCTGATTTCATGGACTGTAAAAGGCGTTCTGTTAGACTTCAGTTTTTATGGAGAGGATCAGTTAGATTGGTACAGTAATGCAGCCAGTGCTCATGAGAGCGAGGGATCTGATGTTTTAATTTCAAAGTGAAGTTAAACAATAGTGTTTCCTGTGTTTCATCTGGTGATATTTAGAGCTCCGAAGAGCGGTTGGGTTTTACTAACTCTAGGCAGAAGGAATGTAGTAGAGTGTCTTTGTGTTTTCCAGGATATCTGATGTGATGGAGTACACTGTGTGCGAGCCCGCTGTTATGTAGTACCGACAGCTCCGAAGGTATTGTCTCAAAGGAATGCAACTTCACCTTTAATCCCTTTTTGGATGGATTCATTTCCGTATCAGCCTTGAGTCAGAAAAGGAAATCCACAAGCCTTAGCCCTGATAAGAAGACAGATTGTCCAGGGTAAAATGAGCGGAGAACCATCTCAGCTAGTCTTTGATTTGTCCTAAAAAGAATGTATGAAGATAGAGGATGAACGAGGGGGCAGGCATTATCATGCATTATCAGGTTTTCAAGTGACGTCTGCCAGCTTTACACTGATGAAAGGGGGGGTGTTCTTGAAGCTGCCCATCCCTCGGCAGCGCATGGGGTGTAAAGGTACCCCAGGGTGTGATGTAGTGTCGTGGCAGGGCTGCCTCCACCTGCCGTCGCCCTCTGCTCTCTGCAGCCCGTTTAGCAGCTGCCTGCCTGTCTCTCAGCCCTCTACAGGAAATCCTGTCCCTGTAGAAAACGGTACAGGGGAAGCTGTAACTGTCAAGTGTCTGCAGTGCGGCAGCCTCGTCACTGATGCTTTTTCACTTACTGTCGGCGTCCAGTTTTTTTTTTTCTTTTAAGAGAGTGGCGTGATCTCTCATGATTACCCCCACAGTGTTGTAGCACTGATGGCGTCCTAAATCCTCATGTAAATGTGTGGAAACTGAGAAGGACATGCAGGAGCTTAATCTGCAGCTGTTTTCCAGTTCTACTCCAGGGATTCTATTGCGGCTTTTGATCTTAGCTCTAACTTTTGTTTTTGCGAAAAATCTTTGACTGCTTTAATCTTGTCGTTGTAGGCTGCATGATGGCTGCAAGAGGGAATGATTGGGCACTGCTAGTCACCACCCCAAAAAAAAAAGGTTGAGAGCTTGGGAAAAGGCAAACCTGAAGGTTTGGGCTGTGCACTGAGAATCCATGGAGTGGCGCTCGGGCACCGGACTGGATCTCGCGGCAAAAAGCTGGTCCAAGTCCGGGCAGGCCGAGGGGCTCTGGGTGCTGTGCCATGTCTGCGCCCTGGCCGCTGCGCTGTTCGTGACGGACGGGTCTCATGGGTGTCGGAGACGCCTCTGCTGTTGCCCTACGCCGCGCCCGTGCCAGGGCTGCAGGTCACTGTATCTGGCAGTGCGAGCGCCCCTGGGCACTTGCTGTACTGTATACAGCGTGCAGTGTCAGCGGCGTGACTCAGCTCCCAGGAATGCACAGCCTGCCCTGGGAGGGCGTGGGTGAGTGTTTGGTTTGTGGTTCCTGTCGGGGTGGAAGGTTTAGAAAGCGCTGGCTGCCTGTGTATTTGCAGGGATAATGGGTAGTCTGTGTGGAGACGACAAGCATGCTTTGTGCTGTGCTGTCATTACTCTCCGTTACTACTGCTGCTGCTGCTGGAGCACGGGAAGAGGACTCTCTCAGCATCTGGAGCATGCGTCTCGGATTCACACTGTTTAGTAATCGCAGGAAGTCCAAATCTGTTTGCCTGTTTGCAGCTCATAACACAGTTTGCCTGTTCTGTGCTCATAAAACCCCTTGAAGACTGAGTTATAGAGCATTGTTATGCAATCGCATTCTTGAGTTTCCTAGCTGATCCCTCACCTGAACAACGTCCACCTCTCTGGGAGCTGCAGCCACCTCCTAGTTCAGTTAAAGAGCCAGGCGCTCAGCTGGCAGGCAGCAGCCTGGATCCCCAGGTCTGGGCCAGAGCAGCTCTGATTTAGAGAGGCTCTGGGGCTCCACTTCCTCCCTGTGCAGTTCCAGAGGAAGGCTGGAGCTCGGGATCCCAGAGCTCTTCACTGGGAGGAGGCAGCGGAGTTTCCGGCTCCTACGCCTGTTTCTCCTTTGGGTCCGTGTTCAGCCCCGTGTTCGTGGGGTCGGGACCCCGCGCTTGCTGATGTTCTGACATTAGCTTACAACAGCCCTCATTCTGATTTTGCAGCCCTTGTTCCCCTCCCCCCCCCCTCTCTCTCTGTGGAACAAGAGCTTTTATCTGAAGCCAGTTTTCCAGTCTCTTCCCCTGCTATCAGTGGGAATGAGTCAGAGTGTTAATGTATAAGTGTGTAACCCTTTGGAAAGGCCTGGTTTTTAAACAGTTGTGTGTGTGTGTGCTCAGAGCTCCAAGGGCTCTTAGTAACTGATGGCTACGTCATCTGCCCACACATTTACGCACGATCCTCTCTGCATGACTTCACAGTGCTGTTAGGGTTGGGCATCTCCAGTTGGGGTGGAAATAAGGTTCCCGTTATGGTGCGGTTTGAGCCATTCCAGGAATTACAAGCCAGCAGGGGTTGGTGGTCAAGGCGTGGAGGCTGGCGGACCTGACTTTGAGAGCCGACAGGTACAGTACGTGTAGCCCCAGTGGCGTTGAAGGCGCGCAGCAGTGCGCTTCGGATCCGGAGCACTGCAAATCGCGAAAGCCAAAGGGGACTGAGCTGCAGCACACGGGGAGTATGGAATTTCGTGCTGATGTGGTGAGGCTGTGCGGGGGCCCCACGGTGCAGCACGGGTCTGTGGAATGATGTCACCAGTGGATCAGTGTCAAGTGTGAGGGAGGCTGATTGCAATACCAGAGTGTGGGAAGTGGCTAGCGGAGAGCACAGCTCATTGCTCAGGCTGTCTAACCAATCCCACCACACCACAGGCCGGGGAGGGAGGGGGTGCTCGATGCCGCAGAGACTTCAGGCGGTCTGCCACACTTCTCTATTGGTGCTTTTCCTTAATTTTGTTTTCGGTTTTCTCTTTTTATTTGCGGTGGCCACTGGGGATCTGTTTTAATCGAGCGTGCATTTTTTGTTTTGTTTGTTTTAATCCCCTTACTTTTATTTAGAAAAAACGTGTTGGGCCCAGCGTACAGCACATGGCGATTGTAAGTTTAATAAACGCGCATCATCGCCGCAGGTTTTAAACAGTCTGCATCCAGACTGGGCTGTGTGGAGCCCTGGTGTCTGCGCAGGGCTGCTGGGTGCCGCGATTAGGGCTGAGGGGCTGAGCCTGTGCACAGGAGCTCGGCTGAAGGGAGGCAGAGTTGGGGAGGGGAGATTAGAGCAGCCCTTCCCTTCCAGGCACGTGTTCACTTCCTGTTTTTATTCCCCTTTTCAAACGGAGCCTCTTATTGCAGCTGCCATTTTAAGGGATTCCAGTTCCAGTGCCTCGTGCAGCTCTGGTTCCAGGGCTTTGTGGGGGCCGAACTGGAATCTGGCTTGCCGTTGGTTTGAGTGGCAGTTTTTAAATCGAGGCTGGAAAGGACACGTGTGTTTGAACCCCAGAACCGGACCCTGGATGTGCTCCACCTCTCTTTGCTTATCATATGGGTCATGTCAGACATGCTATGTTTCCAGCCTTGCCCTGGGGCAGCTGGTGTCCATTTCCGAGCCTCAGGCCTTTTCGAGAGTCTTGGCTTCTTTGGGCCTATGTTTGGATTTCCCATAGGTTTAACTCGACTATCAACTTTGTAGGTGTGATGATCCCAGTCCTTCCAGGTGTCCTGGCCAGCCAGCGGCAGTGAGGGCAGGGGAAACGGCAGGAGTGAGTCAGGATGCGGAGTGGACAGCATGCTGAGTGAAACACAGGAGAAAGAACGGGCCTGGTTAAGTCTCAGAACGGACTTGCATGGTCTGCGTGAGATTTATACTTCGGTTCCTGCTGGTGTTGTGTAAAGCACCTTGATGTTCTGTGTCCTTGAAAGGTTCTGTGTGTATGTCGGCTGACACATGGAGTGGTGGAAGATTGAGGAGATCTATAGAAAGCCCAGAGACCCGGGCTCCCCGGCTGTCCTGTGTAGCATCCTCCCAAGTCGCCACGATCTCCAATAACAACAATATCTCATCTACATGAGGCCCTCTGTGTCTTTTTGCTTGGATCCACCTAAGATCCTTCAGTTGGAGCTGAGCATGCGTGTTTTCATGCTTTGTGTGTGTTTTGGTTTTGGGGCAAAAATAAAAAGGCTAGAATTATCGTAGGCCGCTATTCACATCTTGCTCTTGGAGAGATGAACGTTGGCCAGTGTCCACCTCCATTCTGCGGTTTAATTTCCTTTGTCATCGAATCGGGGCTTTGATGGAGGAGGAGGGGAAGGTTCTCGGAGTAGATAGACATTTTCTAATGGTAGGACTTTCTGAAGAGTTACAGGTCCAGGTCTAGAGGACCCTACGGCTGGAGTATGTCATGCACGTTCTGTATATTGAACACATACTGAGGGTGTGATTTGTGGGCTTCGCCTTTGGCCGGGAGAAGAACGATTGGCCAGTGCTGTACCAGTGCAGATAGCTCTTGGGTGGTCTGGCTCCAGTCATCCCTGCTCCCTTTTCCCCCTCCATACAGTGCACAGTTGCACATGGAGTGGTGTTCACGGCGAGATCTGTATTAGTGTGGCCTATTGAATGCCATGGGTGCTCGGTCACAATTCAGAAGTCAGGCTCTTGCAATAGTACCAGTCGTGCACAGGGTCCCCATAAAGTGGAGACAGACCCACAAACGGGAACAAAACAGGGGCTGTCTGAGAGTCGAGATCAGGCAGAGCTGTTCTTATCCAGGCTGGGATTGTTTTCCTTTACAGCAAGGGGGCACATTTTAATTCACTCAGCTCATGCCAGAGTGGGATATGGTCCCCGATAGCCCTTTCCTCGATCTGCTGGCTTTGGCACCTCCAGGAGGCCGAGAGGAGCTGCAGGACCAGACGTGCCGTTAAGTGGTGCAGTGGCCTAAAGCTTTCTTAGATCTTAAGGAGGTTAAGAGGCTATAAATGAGAAGAGGCTAGCTCGTTTCAACTTGTAAGTCTGGTTATGGACCTAACGAAGGGCTCCTGACTCCCATTGCACAACAGTTTGATCCACTTCAGGCTTTATGAGCTGTAGAGTGTTACATAAAAGCAATGCAGGGAGCTGATGTGTTTATATTTGCGGTGCCAAACGTGCAACTCCTAACCCTGAAACTGCTTTGTAGTGGGAGGCTGCTCTGGCTTCAGTCGACCACTGCTGCAGATCTGAGGCTCCCTGACCTGTAGCTCGCTATCCGAGTCTGTCCTCCTCTTCTCCCCATCCTTGGGTGGCAGATTGATCGCTCCCTCCGGCCCGGAGAGGCGTGGGATGAAGGCATGGCTGTGCTGTGACGCACCAATTCAGGGCAGGTCCACATGGCTTTATAAAGGGAGCAGAAACTGACTCAGCCCCATTAACCTTAATTCTTTACGACGGCTGCCTGCTCATTGATGTGTAAAGCGTTAGGAAATGGCTGTGCTGTTTACGAACCTCGTACATTCCTCCCCTCTGGTCTGTGGGCGTCTTTGATCCCGTCTTACTCCAGTTGGGTTTAAATGAAAATGTTTGATTAAAGGGCTGAGGCGCTGCTGGGGGAACTAGAAATGATGTCGCTTTTATTTTTAGACCGGTTTTGTTTGATTGCAGTGTCCCAGTTTGCCTCTGCAAAGCGCCGTTTCCCTAAATAAGACCAAAACTGAGATTATTCAATTTCCTCAACACTCCTGTAAAAGCACATTTCATCGGATTTTTGGTGTCCAGATGAAATTGGACGTTAGAAGTCAAGTATTCTCACCGTCCTCCACATGAATGCTGGGACCTGAACGTTGGTTGTACAGTTCACAGCCATAGACGGGCTTGCAGAGGAAGTGCCTGTCTGTTTAATCAGATGCTGGCAAAAGTGGCCTATAGGGGGTTACAGTCTCGGGTTTCTGCCTTTTCTTTCTCTGACCCACTGCCAGGGGAGTAAAACGTACTATGAGACAAAATGAAAACCACATGTTCTCCTTCTCTGAGCGCAACAGCTCCCTACTGTACTGCGTGCATGGCCTTTATGACTTGAGACTTGCTGCTTGGCAATGTGGGGGCTCTCTCCAGGCACACAGCACAGGGCTTTTGCCTCGAGAGTGCTGTGCACTTCTTTCACAGCAGCCTGTTCTAATTGCTGGCGAATGCAGATGCGATGTGGGTAGTGTCAGAATAATTCTCGACAAGATCCAGAGCTGTGGGAGCTGTGTGGCAAGGCCGTGGGTGAAAGTGTGGCATTCATAGATTTTTTTTTTTTGTGTGTCCTTCTCCACGAGGTACTAATGAAGCTGTTTCCAGTAATGGAGTGTCTTGGCGATTCTGTAATTTTATTGTGAGTCCGTTGTGAATAAAGACTTCTACTGTGAGGGCTCCTCTGTGGCTGATTGGCGAGAGTGTGCTGGTGGAGTTATGTCCCTTTCAATGGGACGCCGGGGGCTGGCGTGATCAGCACAGGTCAGACAAGGCCAGCTTGTCCCAAGATGCTGAGTTTGTTTTCTTTTTAGCTCCTTTTGCCTGTCCTGTGTGGCTCCTGGAACTGTCCAGCAGAGGGCAGGTAGTTTGAGGCACGAATGATCCTCTTGGTGTCTAAGTAGCAGTCCCAGTAATGGCTCTTCAAGGGCACAGTATGGTAAAAGGCACTGCTCTTTCCCAGGTCCAGGGATTGAGTCAATGTTAAAGTGGGGTTTTTCCAAGAGGCTGTAGTTTCCCCTCTCCTGAAGACATACAGGTTAGATTTAAATGTGTTTTGTAGATTGCTCCTGGCTCTCCATTACGGACCGAACGTGGCCTGATGTGCAGTTTCCCAGCCGTGTATTGGCTCTCGCTTAATGATGATTGCGCAGTGCCCTGACCAATTAAAATGAATAGCTCGTGGATAGAGTTCTCAGCTCCTGCGCGACGGCATAACCCCAGGATAGAGAAAGGGACGCGGCTCTTGATTTGTGAGCTGGGCCTGGCGCGTTCCGCAGGGGCCTCGTTCGGATCACGGCTCACCGCGCGCCTGATGTCTTGCAGGTCTCTGGATGGGCGGCTGCAGGTGTCCCACAGGAAAGGGTTGCCCCACGTGATCTACTGCCGGCTGTGGCGCTGGCCGGACCTGCAGAGCCATCACGAGCTGCGGGCCGTGGAGCTGTGCGAGTTTGCCTTCCACATGAAGAAGGATGAGGTCTGCGTCAACCCCTACCACTACCAGCGGGTGGAAACCCCGGGTGAGTGCCACGCAGAGCACAGGTGGCAATGAGACTCCCGTCGCACAGAGTTTGAGCAAATTGCTCCCGATTCCAGCTGGAAGACGGCTAAGAAGCTGGCTGTACTGGACTAGCTGGGAGGGGCTGATATGTGACTGATCGTGTGTGCAAGGAGTGGCGATATCCTCGCCACAGTGTCCTGGCAGTAGGCCTTTCCTGGTGGTGCCACATGTATGACGTTACTCCATGTGTCGTGCAGTGCTGCCCCCCGTCCTGGTGCCAAGACATACAGAGATCCCCACCGAGTACCCACCGCTCGATGACTACAGCCACTCCATTCCTGAGAACACCAACTTCCCTGCCGGGATAGAGCCGCAGAGCAACTACATACCTGGTAAGTGCTCCTGGGGCGACAGCAGAAAGGGAGGCTTTTCCCCTGTGAAGGGCGATCAACCTTTGTCCTTTGACTCTTGATGATGTCAAGCAGATTCAGTGGGCTTTTAAACTTGACAGTCAGATGGGCAATGTTTAAAAGAGGCAGTGTGGGGAGAGCAGGAGAGACCCTTGATGTGTTGTGATAGTCCCTTTTTCTGGAGGAGACAGGTTGGCTTGCTGGCATGTGTTAATCGTTTGATGGCTGGTGAGGGAGTGGGGGCTTGACGGGGGTCCACATTGCAGGCAGTGGGCTGTGACAGCCAGGGCGGCGATCCAGGCCGGTCTGCTCAGGCCTTACTCTTGCCACTGGTCCCTGGCTGACGGCTGCTATGTGCTCTTTCAGAGACCCCACCACCCGGTTACCTCAGCGAGGATGGGGAGACCAGCGACCACCAGATGACCCATGGCATGGATGCAGGTGAGGGAGCCTGGGAAAGTGTTTCCGTCTGACAGCTGAGTTTCAAGCAAGGAAACGGATTTCCTTCTTTCTCACCAGAAAAGATGGCCGCTTTTCATTCCCTTTTGTAAAATAAAAAATTAAGGAGTATCCCTTTGGTATCTCCTAATGCTAGTGAGTCTGACCTAAGGGCAACATTACCAGTTTAATCATTTTCAGCTTCTCTTTCTCTCTGTTTGAATCTGCAGGTTCTCCAAACTTGTCGCCTAATCCTGTCTCTCCAGCACACAGCAATCTGGGTAAGACAGGAGGAGAATGGGAGCAATCGGTCTGTTCTGCCGTATGTCTGCCAGGAGACTCTGGGGATGAGTGACAAGCTGCATATTCTTTAATATTTCAGTTTATTGTTTTTTTTCCAGTTTATTGGCTTGTATAGTACTTTTAAATAACCTGGCTGGCTTCAGGATTAGGATTCTGCTTTAGAGAATTTTAAATCCACCCCTCATATTTAATTTATTAAGCAAAGTTTGGCACAAGCAACGTTATAGAAGCACCTAAAGTCTATATATGTGTCCATGAAAAGAAAAAATATTTATGCTTAAGGGGCTTTGGTTCCAGGAATGTTGTGTGCAGGGCAGAAAAGGCTTTCGTGAATGAGCTCAGTGTGCTGGAGGTAGTGAAAAGTGGAGGTCCAGTTCTCGTCTTCTGTCAGCCCACGCAGGCCTCTCTCATTGTGAGGGGCCGTGGTGTTGAGCTGCATGTGTTCTCCTTAAGGGCTGTGCTGTGGCTCTGGACAGGCCCGGCCCTGGCAGCGACTGCAGCCCCTGCAGCAGAGTTTCTGCAAATACCACAGCAGTTTCCTGCTCCTTCCCCGGGCAGGAAAGCCATCTGCAGTGGCCTTCCCCTAAAGATTACCATACCGGGTTTACCACAAAACCTTGAGGACAGCGGGGCTGCAGTCTGTATCGCAGAAAGCCTCCTGATTGTAAAGACAAAGGCTACAGGATCTCTTGCAGTGTGACCTAGAAACACTACTTTGACCCTGAAAGCATGGGTGGAAAAATCAGACGGTCTTTCACTTCTGAAGTCAGGGCGGGTCGATAGTGTGGTAGCTGCCCTCAGTACAACCCCGTGGGCACTGTGAGAGGGTGGCACTGCTCTCCAGGGTGATCTGTTATTGAGCCGCAAGGCCAAAGAAGGAAACCAAGGACAAACAATGCCTCGCAAGAGGATTACAGCGGCCTTTTTCTCCAAAACCGGAGGCTGTTAAAAGCTCCTACTGCACCCCCTTGGTTTACAGGGTGCTATGTTACCACAAACATGTTCAGTGAAACAAGCGCTATGACCAGGAACGCTCACAGTTGCACCATGTTCCCAGATCCCCTTGAACGGGTTGGGGCAGGTCAGGGCCTGTGAACACGCTTGTCTGGGTCACCGGTGACTGGAACCTGCCCTGTGACAAACCCAGTGTCTGCTGTACTGGCCCGGCAGCTTTTTTCTACTCTTTGTCAAGACAGGAAGATGTGGGTGAGGGGGCGGTGTCGAAGGAGAGGTGATGTCACCACAGAACTGTAGTTCCCTTTTGCTAGGAGTTGGGATGCGTTTTTCCCTGCGCTGCCACGTGCTTAATGCTACCCATCCTTTGAAGTTCAGGATGTGCAGCAGGAAAAAGTGAAAAAGGAGGGAGCTGGGTTTTTGGAGCCACAGGCTGTACCATGTGACTCAGCAGCATAAATGCCTGCAACAGAGTACCCAGGTAGCAGAAAATGCAAGTGTTAAGAAGCGGGGCACGCTGTAAAATTAGGGAGTCCTCGCTGTCGGATCAAAGGTCCGGACCTGGCAGTGCCACCCCAGGAGCAAAGCTGGGAATCCTGTTGCAGGAGCTTCCTCACCCCCCTTGCTGCTGCCGTCGCCGCACAGGAAGCCGCCGATGAAAAGGGCCTTTGTCCCATTCCCATCTGAACGGAGAGCAGTGCCAGGATACAGCCGGCCTGCACTAATATTAATACTAATATCCTGTTTGTCTCAAGGGCCTGCTGGCTGAGGCACGCATGGTAAATGGCACAGGGGACAGGCAGTTGCTCAGAAGTAGAATTGTTTATCGGCAGCAAGCAGTTGCTTGGCATTATTTGTCCACTCCGTTTCTGATGCTAAAGGGGCATCATGAAAATGGCATCGCGTTTAAGAACTCAACGGCTACCTAACCATGTGCTTGGAAGGTTCTTTCTCCCTTGCCTGCAGAGTGATCTGGTTTGCCCTCCCTGGGGGACTCCGGGAGCCCAGTGAAAGATAATATGATTGCTGATTGATTCCCTTGCACTCTTTCTACCTGACGCTATCCTTCCTTTCTCTTTTTGCTCCTTCTCTTTCATCCTGTTTCTCTGCCCTCTTCCGAGGATGTAAGGTTACAAGCAAGAGGGGGCCTGTTTGAAGCTGGAAGCCAGTTGATTCAGGGCTCTCGTCCAGCTGTTTTCTTGAAAGAAGCCAGGGTAATGGCTTCATCTACATGGGTGATTAGCTTGTTCCACACTCCCACAGCCCTTTGTGTAAAGACTGTGCTTCTTGTTCTTGGGCTTTAAATGCACCGCCCCATAGATTCCACTTTGCTTCATTCTTGTTCTCCGGCACTCTTGTTTCAGAAGAGGGGTACCCTGTTGTCTTCGTCAGTGCCTTTAAGGGTTCTTATAGGAATACTTGCGTCATGTTCCCTCATCATCTTCTCTGCTCAAAACGAGAAATATTCCATTCTTTTAGCTGGTCAGTATAGGTTGTTCCTTGAAGTTGTCCTGCAGTGCATGTGGTAGCTCATCTCTGGACTGATTTCAGAGCAGCACTATATCTGCTGTATAGTTTTTAAAGTGCAGCCCATTGTACACACTTCGAGTGCATCACACGGCATCTCCCTCCTGTTGCTCAGACCTGCAGCCCGTGACGTACTGTGAGCCTGCGTTCTGGTGTTCCATATCCTACTACGAGCTGAACCAGCGGGTGGGCGAGACTTTCCACGCCTCCCAGCCCTCCCTGACCGTGGACGGCTTCACCGACCCCTCCAACTCCGAGCGCTTCTGCCTGGGCCTGCTGTCCAACGTCAACCGCAACGCGGCCGTGGAGCTCACCCGCCGACACATCGGTAACCTGCCCTGCCCCGCCGCGCCCCGCCCTGCCCCGCCTGACCGAGTCCCGGCGCGGTGACGTCTCATCACACGTCTTCCTCCCTCCAGGCAGGGGTGTGCGGCTGTATTACATCGGGGGAGAGGTGTTCGCGGAGTGTCTGAGTGACAGCGCCATCTTCGTCCAGAGTCCAAACTGCAACCAGCGGTACGGCTGGCACCCGGCCACAGTGTGCAAGATCCCGCCTGGTGAGAGAGGAGGGCACGAGGGAGGGGGGCTCTGGGTCGAGAGGCTTTGGGAGGACATCTCCCGCTGCTGCGGCATCGTGGCTTTGAACCCTGTGCAATTATCAAGGGACACAGTGGAAGGAAACAATAATAATAATTGCTTACACGTATATAGCGCTTTTCTGGACACTCCACTCAAAGTGCTTTACATGGGGACCTTACAGGTAATGGGGGCTCCCCTCCACCAACACCAGTGTGCAGCCCCACCTGGATGAGGTGACGGCAGCTACAGTGCGCCAGTACTCTCACCACACACCAGCTATTGGTGGGGAGGAGAACAGAATGGTGAAGCCAGTTCAGAGATGGGGATTATTGGGAGAACATAACCGGCAAAGACCAGGGGGAAATTGGGCCTTACGCTGCGATAACACCCCTACACTTCAAGAAGCAGCCTGGGATTTTTAATGACCTCAGAGAGTCAGGACCTCAGTTTTACATCTCATCCGAAGGACGGCACCTTTTTTTTTTTTACAGTATAGTGTGCCTGTCACTATACTGGGGCATTAGAACCCACACAGACCGTGGGGTGAGCACCCCCTACTGGTCTCACTAACACCTCTTCCAGCAGCAAACTTAGTTTCTCCCAGGAGGTCTCCCATCCAGGTACTGGCCAGGCTCTGCATTTTTAAAAGCTTTATTTAAATGATATGAGAAAAAGCTTGGGTTAAGTCTGGATGTCTTTGCATTTATAAGAGGACAACAGCACTGAGTATTGAGAATGCACATATAAGAACCAACATGGCTCTTTAAAAAGTTTAAGTAGGGAGCTGCGTCAGCATGCGTAGGCTGCAAGGAAACGGGTAGAGGTTTCTTCCAAGCTGAAAGGAAAAGAGAGACAACGTTTTGGCTGTGGAGCCTTATTCATGTCATGAGAACCTTCAGGTGTACTCGACACCTGAAATGTGTCTGTTTTCTTTTCCTTTCAGCGTGGAATAAACCTTTACTTGTTCCTTGGCTCTTCTAAAGCCTTATTTAAATGACATGAGATAAAACTTGGGTTCCGTATGGATGTCTTCACATTGTATAAGAGGAGAACAGGACTGAGTATTAAAAAATGCCCATATAGGAGACAGCATGGCTCTGTGCGTGCAGTGAAGGTTTTTCACAATAGTAGCTTTCTTTGCCAGTGGGGTGACTTGGCTCCATTTTTCCGTTTTCTGCAGGCTGTAACCTGAAGATCTTCAACAACCAGGAGTTTGCGGCTCTGTTGGCCCAGTCGGTGAACCAGGGCTTCGAGGCTGTGTACCAGCTGACCCGGATGTGTACCATCCGCATGAGCTTCGTCAAGGGCTGGGGCGCGGAGTACAGGTACGCCAGCCCGCGATGCCTGCCTGCACACCTGTCGGCTCTTGAGGTGTGTAGGTTTGCAGTGTGTGGGAGAGCCCTGGGCGGTGTGGTGGCTCTGTGGCTCAGGATCTGCGCCTGTGGCTGGAAGGTTGCCGGTTCGTGTCCCGCGGCCAGAGAGGAATCCTACTCCCTGAGCAAGGCCCTTAACCCCAACTGCTCCAGGGGTGCTGTATAAATGGCTGACCCTGCGCTCTGACCCCAAGCTTCTCTCCCTGTCTGTGTGTCTCATGGAGAGCAAGCTGGGGTATGCGAAAAAGACAATTTCCTAATACAAAAAATTGTATTTTGCCAATAAAGTGATCTCTCTCTCTCCCTGTGGCTGAACTGAGTGCCGAGGCCTTGTTGTGTTGGTATCGCAGTGCTTGCCTGTCTACAGCAGTACAGCACTTTCTGGAGCTCAGCAATCTCAGGCTGTGGCTTTCTTCACTTTTTCTTTAGTAACGGGGGGGCTGGGCAGCTGTGCTGAATGTTTTGGGCTGTGAAAGACGGTATGAGAAGGCACAGACAGACCAGGCCGTTTTCCCTGATAAACGCAGACCTTGAGAGTTGTGCCGTTGCCATGGAAGCTGGCCAGACCTCTGTAGTGTGCATGCCAGCTCATACCCTGTCCTCTTTTTCCTTTGTACTTCGATATGATGTGCGATTCCTCAGTGTGGCCTTTGTCGTCGGTTGAACTCCTAGTGTTGCCGCATCAGAGTGAACAGAGCTAGGCGCCACCTGGGCTTTTTAAATAAAGCAGCTGCACGCCTGTCTGTCTGTCCATTTCTGAGCCAGGCGTGTCTCCGGCAGGCATGAGTGGGCTCATGCCTTGGTTCGGCTCGCCTGAGGTTTGTGTGCCTTCAGGGAGTTCTTGGTGTCCACACCCAGCTCGCTCTGTCCAGGTTTCCATCTCTAACTTTCTCCTTCCCTTCGACCCTCTGTCTCGCTCTGGCTGGCCCGTAGGTGTTGCAGAGTTTCCCTGGAGCTCTCCAGCACGGTCCCATTCTCCTGCCCGGGACCTGACAGCCCCCAACCCTGTCCAGATGTGCAGCTCGGTCAACGGGCTCCTCTTTGCGCAGAGACTGGGCACTGAGGTCATCTTGGCCCCCGATATGGTGTCCTCCTTGAAGGAAACCGAGTGGCTGTGCCACCGTGATAACGCCAAACACAGAACAGCGCACCAGAAACCCATCCCTGTCTGGCAACCTGGTGTGGTCTTGTGTAGCATTCAGGGCTTGATGGGGACACTGATGCTTAAACGCTTGTGAAGTTTATAGAACGGGCCCATAATTACAGTATTACTGCAATATTGGAGAATTCCACTTTTTCTGGGGGCGTTTGTTTAAACGTGGCAGATTCTTCTAAATGTTAATAGTTTGAGCACTTACAGTACATTTTTTTTTTCCCTTTGGCATGCCACGTTTTGCTGTTGGCCGCGTCTGTGAATCACCGCGTAGCGCCTGCCAGCGAGAGGGAGCCCAGGCTCGTCTCGGAAACGGGGGCAGGCAGGCAGGCAGGCCGGCCGGCTGCGTTCCCAGCCCTGAATTAGTTTCCAGAGTCACCAGGTCAAGAGATGGCCGGCGTTTTTTTGTGTGCGGCTGACTCGTCTACGATTCCTTCCTCAATATAAAACGGAACTCCCAGGGAAAGAGAAATGAAAAGGACAAATGAGTGCGCCTCTTGTTAGTCAGCCGTGGAGCACCGTCTGGGTAGTGGCCAGCAGAGTTAAGGGCTGACAAATGTGACTTGTAAGGCCTCCAAGTGACACAGTTCCACTTTACGTAGTGATGATAAAGTCTGTGCGCGTCTTTATTAAAATAAAGACGAGCACAGCTTCAAGGAAAGTCTTGACTGTGTTTTTTTATGGCTTAAGACTTAATCTTATTGTTTCTGGGGGAACTAAAAAAAAATGAATCCATCGTAATTAAAAGCAGAGCAACGCTTCCCAAAGGGGAAGACTGCTGAGCAGACAGCGCATGTGGAGCCAGTTAAGAGCTTGGGTCGGATTTCTCCCACCCCCTCTCCTTCTCCTTCTCCAAGCCATTAGGGCTTGTTAAAATTTGTGAATTGATTGTGCTGGCATAGAAACCTCTTAAGGTTTTTTTTTTAAAAAAACCTGCAGAAAGTCTCCGCAAAGCTGAAGGCAGATTCCATTCTCACAGTTGCCTTGTAGGTTATCTGGCAGCTGGCTGGGATAATGTAGGCAGAGTTTTCCATTGCTCTGGGAAGGGTCATTTTCTTATCTGAGATTATAGTGCCCTGGACAGAGGGATCATACCATTATCTGGGTGCCAGACTCTCTACTGTTTTTCTTAGTTTCTGAAATTCTACACTGTCATTTGAAATAGGCCTACTGGTGCCTCCCCAGTACTGTGGTTTGGCAGCATCTCGTCAGACCAGAGGAAGCCTCTCTGTTTGCGCATCTCCTGTGTTTATTCTAGAGAGGATGTGTTTGTAGAGTGGAAAAAAATGGTTGCAAATCACTGTTCTGAAGTAGCGGTTTTGTTTAGAAGATACTTAGTGGACAAGAGTTCACCTCCGGTTTGTGTTGCACAGTCTAAAGCAGTGGAATACGGGTTACTGGGAGGGGGGAGTCTCAGGAAGTACATCCTGTGGACTGTCACCCCAAGATTAACACTGAGCTGGAACTCGTAACTGTTTTTTTATCTTATTAATGGAAATACTCTCATGGAGGAGCGGTGTGGGAAGCAGTGTCTTTGCTGAATTGCAACAATAATACAGTGTATTAGAGAGCAGTCCGATTACTGAACTTGATCTGCAGTATAGTATAAACTATCACTATAGACACTGACTAGAGAACATCAGGAACTCACTTGCAGCTATGATGCAGTGCATTGTGCTCTGTCAGCACTGTTACACCTGGAATATATATATAGTAAGTTAGAAACCAAGAACTCCTAACTCTGGACCTTGGAGTAAGGACTCCAGCAGGTTTTGTGTCTAAATTGCCATCTTACAGTTGTAGAGAAGGGGTACATTGATCCAGTTAACCCTTAAATAGATCAGTTTAACAGGGCTCCTGGACAAAGCAGTGCCTATAATATAAGGAGATCTAGCACACATACTACATTAGAGACTGGAGTTAGCAACCTCTTGTTATTCACCACCATCACAGTTTAATTATAGTTACAATGTAGAATGTTAAATGTATCCCAGGCGCATTAGAAAAACAATATTTTCTAACCCATTTATTGTCCAATGATTATTCTGAAATGATAACTATGAGAAAGTAAATTGTAGACTGATTGCACTGAATTCCAACTATTGTACAATAAGCTTTTACCGCTGTTATTACAGAATTAGATTAACTTCGTGCTTGATCATGAACCGTAAATGTTTTGATTTCACTTTTCATGGTTGTGTAGTGAAGAAGGCTGCACCTGACTGTAACTCGGCTAATTACTCTTAAGTCTCCTGACTGTGTGGATTGTAGTTTTGAAGGGGAAGGGAATAGTTAGATTTGGATAGCAGTAGGGATTGGCAAAGAGCCTTCATGCTTTCAAACCTTGGTATGTTATTATTTTTGGCTTTTGAAGTGGTGACATCTTAACTTTTCTGTTTGAATGAAAGTGAAGGAAGCAGGAGAGAGAGAGGATGCCACAGTGAGTACCTGTTCTCAGTGGGATTTCTAGTCTCTTAAACAATGCGCTCACACATGAAGTAGTGGCTTTGTGATGGGTGTGTGGAATGCAGCCCCCTCTTTTCTCTGTAGGTGTAGTCAAGCTTTGTGTTGGCTGCCATACACCACAAAACATCCCCCCCCCTCCCCTCCCCTACATGAAGGTATAAATGCAGCTGACAGTCGAAACCATTGCCTTGATTTATCTCTCCACACTTGAGCTCTGAAAAAACTTGGCTTCAGATTGTAATCTCGTCTGGCAGCCACCCTCTGTGTGTGTTTAGAATAACCGCGTTTAATAGCACAGGAGAGTGTCTTATTAAGATCAATAGCAGCGGCAGACTGAAGGGCCTGTGTGCTTTGTTTCAAGTGTGTTTAAGTGTTTTAATGACTATGAAACTCTAGCCGAGGGAGGGAAACAAAGGGTTGAATTCTTCCTTTATACTGCCGGCCTGGGAGAAGGCACTACAGTAAACGTGATTGGGGTTGTGAAGACCTGATTTGAGAGTGCGGGGGAGTATTGCCTAAGAAAAGGAATGCTTTATGTTTTGGGGCTGTGGGACGTCAGCTAGTTTGTGTCCCTTTTTTGGCGCAGAACCAGATAAAAGCAATCAGACAGACTTCTGCACACTCTACTCCCAAGACACTGGACACCACCAGTGTTGTGGAACGCAAAGCACTTCATGTACATGTACTGGACATTTTGTTAAATGGGGATCTTGTATCACCTGCATTATCTGAAAGCCATGTAAGGGAAACCTTATTTGCCCCATCAGGGAGTGAATTGATCGTCCCTGTTATAAAAGTAACAGTGATATTAAATTGACAGTAAGTTGTGTTCTGCACATCTTGGTTCTTTTTATTCCTGTTAGTACCTTTGAGGTAGTTTCAGTGATACCCAGATACACGTAAGAGCATATTCATGTCAAAGCAGGTGGCAAAAGATTCACTATGTTCTGGGATTCCATTTTGATCTTCAGATTACAAATGCAGTAACAAATGACAGTTCAGAAAAACTGAGTTGATTCCAATCTGCTTTAAATGCGTCTGCACTTGTATCACAGCAGCAAGAGCTTACGCCCACCATGATCATTTAAGATGGGCTGGAGGATCTTCTAGCGTGTCCAGCACTGGCTGAACACCAAGTGGGTTCTGCACCTTTCTCTTTCATCCAAGATGATACCTGAGAGAGATTTTAGAATTGTGAAACTGTGTGACCAGTGGACCCCCGTTTTTTTCCAGGCTTAGCCTGTGGCGCGCGCTCAGATAGCAGGCTCAGGCTCTTTCAGGACTGCAAGTGCGAATGCTGACTAGGATTTCTCCTCAGCAGGTTTGCCCTTGAATCGGTACAGAATCGAAGATCAGGTCCTGGCTGCATAAACACCTCAAATATGAAAGCCATAAGGAATAAATATAGAAACTGTGAACTTGAACTGTTACTGATTTATAAATGCAATGAGCTGCTTTTGTGTAAAAGCTCAAAGATCACATGAGGGGAGCAACTAAGGGGGAAACTAAGCTTTTCTTGTTTTCTGCAAGTGGCTCAGGGCATTTCAGAAGGGCTGCCAGTCTCGAATGAAAGGAGAAAAATCCTATCTCTTGATCCCCTGGGATGCCTTAAATGTGAGCCCCCCCAGCAGACAGCGCTAGGCCTCCAGTAGAGGGAGGTGCTGCCATAGGGGTGTTCAACACACAGCTGATCAGGAAGTGGGCAGGTCAGAGCACCTCCTCATCCTCCCTACCTGTGTGTGGTCACGGGGGGGTTTGTAAACGTCAACCCGGACAAAACGCACAGCTGCCGATTCCGAATTCAAGGGGTGCAGAAGATATAAAAAAAGGCCCAAGCAACAACAGAATAATTTCCCCCTAGAATTGCTTGCTGACGCTGGTTGTTTTTATCTCTCTCTCGGCTGCAGGCGCCAGACGGTGACCAGCACCCCCTGCTGGATCGAGCTGCACCTCAACGGGCCCCTGCAGTGGCTGGACAAGGTGCTCACTCAGATGGGGTCCCCCAGCATCCGCTGCTCCAGCGTGTCGTAGAGAAACCCTTCCCCCGGGAACGCACACAGACCCAAGACAAGTAACCCAGCAACCCGCAAACACAAACTAAATGGGCCCAAGCCCCGTGTCTACAGCCCAGTTCGTCGTGGGAGGACAGTGAAGCAACAGCGCCTCCCTCAGGGGCATCTTGGAACTACATCCACAAACTGGTTTCATCTTCCCAGTGTCACCTCTGCCTGCCACTTTACACGCGTTTTATGAGCACTTTCTACATTTGCGGCAAGGGGAAGAGTGCATTATAAACAGTACCGTTCGTATTGTTTTGTGATGGCCACAAGCATTGACCTTTGTGTTTTTGTGTCTGTTTTTTTTTCTATTGGCATTTGGTGCCAAAAAGCAGTAGCATGTAATAGAAGAAGAATGGCAGAGCTTTTCCCTCTGTTAATTTCTCCTCTTATTGTGATCGTTAAATGTACATACATTATATATAAATAGAAGTTAGGAAATGGCATATACTGAGAGCAGCTTACAATATTGCTTTTTGTACAAAATGAAAAATGAAGTTTTAAAGGTTAAATTGCAATGATTTTTTTTTTAGTCTTAGAGAAAAGGAATAAAGAGCTTACTTTGGCTGATATTTAACACATGTAAGTGTTTTAAGGTGAAAGGTATATGTATATACAGTACAGTGTACTTCTCTGCCTCTGCACCAGGTGCAGAGAGAAATCCAGTGAGATGCTGTTAGCGTCCGTTATCGGCAAGCTCTGGCCTCCTCAGTGTTGTGTGCAGCAGTCTTGTCAGCCAAGCGCAAAATGCTTCACATTCTGTGTGCAGTGTGTATCAGGAAGCAACAGCCATGAAAAGACTTTTGGATTTTTTCCTGGAACACTAAAAAGCAAAGACAAATTGATCTTTTGGGTTAAGCCAGAAATCTTCCCTGGGGTCAGACTGCACGAGCCAGTTGCAGTGCGCTTTGTCCTGGAACGTGATCCGCTCTGTGGTGTTCAGGAGAGCTGGGGATGCTCTCTGGAGCTTCTCCTCTAAGTTACAGTTCCTTCCCCAGGGTGTACAGAAGTGCCTTGGAGTGCAGGAGCCATTCCTTCATTTAGCCATTTCTTAAAAACCTTTCATTTAAATATACCATTTCATCTTGGAATTGGTCCTTGACATATTATAACCCCCCTTTCGAAATCTTGCCAAATCAAAATTCCCCGTTATTTCTGCAGGGTGTATTTGCAGTGTGAGGTGGCTCCGTTAGCCTGCTGTCTCTTGGGTTCTGTCTGTTCGCTGCACTGCTGACCGTGCAGGGATTGTAATGTACCGGATGACTCGATTCTACCTGCGTTTTTTGGACTTCGTAAGAATTTTCACTCATCTCTGTGTGTTAAAAGTGATCGGTACCTTTCATCCTGGGATGAGGCTCTTGTTCTCTGTACAAGGGTTATTCGCACGCCTCTACTGCTCCATGTGCAGCAGTGTGTTGGACACAGTTCGCAGCAGAAAACTAGTTACTGTGCGTCAGTACAAGTTGTAGCATTTCAAGTACGCTATGTTTAGTAGCAGTTGTGATACAAACAAGTGGGGGGGTTCTTTTAGTACTCTATGCGGTGGCCGTGTCCTGTGCAGTTTTTACAGTAGTTGTTCGTGTGGTTCCCCCTCCTGTGTGACTGGGCTTGGAGAGAGAGGGCGCCGTGTGCTGCAGGAAAAACACTAAGGGAGAGAGAGGCGCGGATCCGTTTTATTTTTAATGCCACTGCCTGTCCTGACTGACCCCCCCCCCGACTCCTGCACACGCCCGAGGGCCAGATGTTCATAGGCGCTCCTTTCTTTACGCACAGGGCAAAAGATTCCCAAAATTCCTGCAGCACCAGCAGAGGGCGACGCTCTAGTCCATGTGAATATTAAGCTCTCTGGTGGGGCCGGCAAATGCTATTCCTTTTTTTTTCGACCAAAGCGCGGCTTGGACACCGGAAAGCCCAGCGGCACACCCAAGCACAGGCCCGTGCCCTCCGCAGCGCTGCTGTGGCTGCACCACTGTTGATCTGCTCTGCCGCGGTAAAGCGACAAGGCTGTGTTGTATTGCTAGGAGGAGGGGGGTTTCCTCTGCCTTGTCTTGACAGGGGTTTTCTACACTCGCAGGGCTGACCCTGTGCTATACCACAAGCTGATGCGTTTCCAATGGCAGATGGCTGTGGCGGCAGTGATAACCATTGTTAACCATTTCTAGTTAACAATGGAAAGAGCAGCATGAGCCCAACATTGCCAAGGTGCTGTCCAGTAGAAATCAGAAGTGGTAAGACGAGCTGGACACACACACACGCTCTCTCCTCTATTGATTTTATTGTAGCTTGTCTGTGTTTTGGCGTAGACAGATCTTCACCAGCACAGGATGTCCTGTAATTTTGGTGTAGTGGAGCACCGTTACAGCACAGGAAATGTACACGCCAGCTTCGTTCCTAGCGATAGCGCCTCGGTGAGCATCCTGTGGCACCTCTCAGGAGTCTGGGGTGAGAGGGGAGGGAGGTTCCCACACTCAGGACCATTTGGAGTTTTGTATGAACAAAAGAGAAAAAACTATGTATCTATACATGTAGAAATATAGATATGCATGCTTTCTGTTCTTTGTACTGTATGTTCTATTTTGGTACCCGTAAGTTTTAGAAGATTCATTTTGTTTGTTAAAAGTTGGTGTCTCAATACAATATTCATTGTTGGAATAAAACTGGGGCGAAACTGCTGGCAGGTCTGATGTCCTCGTGTTTTTGTAGCGGAGAAGGGCGACGAGGGAGATCTTCAGGCCCTTGAGCAGAAGAGCTGTTCTCCACGGCCCGCACCGCGGTTCTGCCTCACTTGACGCACAGAACCGTGCGCTGTGATGAGCCTCATTTTGGACCCTTTCTTGAAAAGAGAGCCAACGCTCTCTTTCTGTGGGGCAATGTGTAGATCCCCCCCACACACACACACACACTTGCAGATGGACTTTGTTCCCAACGCTGGTGTTGGTAGCGCAGTAGAAAGCCTTCTGGAGAGGCATGGCATGTGTCTCTGACCGAGCCGGAGTGGATCACCTGCACAGGTAAAGAGAATAGTGTTCGAAGGCCGGAGGGGCTGTTCCTGCAGACCAGCACTATAAATAACACATTGGCTCCCTAGAATGACAATTTTGTCAACGGAAATCGGGGGTACCCTCCGACTGGGGATTGTTTCAGGGGTTCCCACATTGCTGGGTGTCTGCGCTCCGGTGGTCTCGGAGCTCTCCCTTGTGGATTTGGTGGTTTATTAAGCTATCCCCATGTTCAAGTCTTCAGAACTACAACGTCTTTAATTTTTTAATGTGCATTTCTTGTAACTGTTCCAATTCTTCTTTAAACTGGCTCTTAGTGTTTTGTGCTTTGATTTTCTTCCCCCTGAAACTATAATGGATGTTTTTTTTCTAATGTAATACCCAAGTTTTTTTTTTTTCTCTCCTACATACAAAGTGTTGGTTTTAAAAAATATTGCAATGTATTTTTGTTTTGTTCTTGTAATAAAAAGATCTATATATTGAAAAAAAAAGGGGCAGAATAAAGCTGTGTTGTCTGTCTGACCTTATGGCTTATGGCAGCCCCTTCTGAAAGTGGGGGCGCATGCCGTCGAGCGCGAGTGGGGTGCAGAATCTGTCCCACGCTTTCTGGGGGAACCGGGGTGGACGTGGCTGGAGCTCCAGGGATAAAGCAGTAGCTGTGGGATGCTGATGTTAGCCCAGGTCCTTGGACTCTATAGATGATGGATACATTCCATAGGTGGCACTCTTCCCACTCTGGCTTTTCCATATCAGTTCCCCATACGGCGGAGCATGGGCACTGTGCTGTTCAAAGTGCCGGTTTTCAGGGGCGTTCAACCCGGGTTCTGAATACTTGGTCGATGAAGATCATGAGCCACATTTTCAAAATGTCCTGGCGAATGTTTACTCAAAGCCTGGCCTCACCCCCAATTCGATTGGTGAAACAGTCAACGCGTCTCTACCTGGAGTACTGGGGCATCTGCTCCACTATTCAAAATTGCAATGGTCTATCACCCACACTGGCGCAGCACTTCAGAGGTGAGTCCCAGCCCTCATATGAAACACTGAGATCTTTTCTAAATTAGGTGGAAGGGGATTGGGATGCATGTTCAGACTCAAAGAATAAGGCAGAGGAGAGAAGTGCTGAGCGAAGGTTTCTTCCTCCACTGCATCAGCCAAAACAAATTAACACAGGTGCTGCGTTGTGGAAATAGCTGGCAATCTGTAATAGGACATGAGCTGCTTAACTCCAACAGAATAGTGTGCTTTGTTTCATCTGGTTTCACCGGTGTTGTGGGTGGGGTGGGGTGGTGTAATTATTTTTAGTTTTTCAGTATCTCTGATACAGATGCAAACTAGTCATTTAATTATAGGTCTTGCAGCATCTGAGAGCTTGTTTACAAAGCCTGTTTTCAGCATTGCTAGGATACTGCTAATCTAAAACATCCAGCTCTCTGTGTGCTGTAACAAGGCTTGTCATCCTGACATGAAGACTCTTTGTTCCATAGATTACTTGCAGGAGAGGGAGGGGGCTGCACCCCCCCGGTCATCAACCGAGAAGGGTTGCGAAACCACTTTGCTAATTTTCTGTGTTGGGGTTTGTGTGTCAACAGTGTGAAAAGAGAAGCATTACTGGAAATCCGGGATAAAATCCCAGGGTCCTAGGTGGAGGAATAAGAGGTGAAGTGCAATCCAGTGAGTATACTGCCATTTAAATCAAGGTCAGTGCTGACTTCAAGGTGTATGTTTAACTGCTTTACAACTGAAAGTTGGGTAATGAAGAACATAAAGGCCTCATCTGGTTAATCTTCACCAGTAATTTGTTCTGCACCGTTTCTGGGGTGTACTTAAAATGATTTCTGTTAGGGTTTGATTTGAGTACCATGCATGTCATCATTGTAGAAAGAGTGTTGTGCTGTTGGGTAGAAAGAAGCATTTATGTTTCAGCTCTGTAAACCTAGAATCTTAATTAAAGTCATTCTAACCAGTCCCCACACATGTGCATCTATGAGCATTCAGAAGGTGAATTTTATCAGTTTTAATCAGAAATGAACCAAAGTCACAAGAGTTTGACATAAAAAGATGGATCACAGGGAGACACTGCATTGTTATTGAAAAGGCTGGGACCCCTGCCCTGGCCCAGCTCTGTGTGGTGAGCCGCACAGATCAAATCAAGAATCTCCCCTCCGGTTCCCACCCCGTTATTCCATGTTTGAACTGGGCTCTTCCCAAGCCAAAGAGAAATAAAACCAAAAATGGGAGTGGGCCTGCATGATCTTTAGCACTACTTTATCAGTGCCTTCTGTGTGTTACCACCCACGGGCTCTTTTTGCTCTGAGCAGGTGTGATGGGCTGTTGAGGGGTGCTCTCCTGCCTGGGCACGGGACCCGCTGCCTGAGGACACCGAAAATGCAGGACATTATTTTTTTTCTACTTCCGTGTTCCTATTCCTTCTCAGTGGGACAAGTGAGATGTTTAATCCCAACCCAATGCAAAAGTAACAGAATCCTCAGAAGGCAGGAGAAAGGCAGTCTTCATTGGGAAGGGAGAGCCAGGAGACCTCCGTTCTCACAACACCTCCCCCCGTTTAGCTGTCCTCTTCTGAGGACAGCCCATCGATCTCGTCCTGGTCTCCTCCAATTGCCCTCCAGAAAGCTTTGGCCACCTGAAAGCAGAGGACAGGAGGGCTTTTATACCTTGACAATGTCCGGAGTACAGTCTCTTGCTCTCAGTTCTTTCATAACAACAGCGCTGGATGTGTCAGGAAAGACACAGCCAGTGCTGCTCTTAATGGCTGCAATGCACTTTACAGAACCCTTAAACCATCATTCATTAGACATGGTAAAGACCACCCCCAATTAGCAAATCAATTCCTCTGAAGAACTTGAATGACGCAAGACCCTTCCTGTCCTTAAGCCCGTGGGGGAAAGATGTGAAAGGTGTTGCGTTATCAGTTGTGGTTTGAGCTCAGTGGAGAGGTACATCATGGTTTCCAAGTGAAGATGCAGTGAGCTGTGAGGGGGCTCCTACCTTTTCCGCGTGGAGCTTTCTCTGCTCATGAGGTAACGACGATGCTTTGTCTGTGAGGGGAGAGAAGCACAAACTGGAAAAACTGACGTGCTTAGTGGTGCCTTCCTCAACCTCTTCCTCCTGTTTCGTCAATTGCCATACGTTAGAAATAACCAACAAGTCCAGCCTTGAAGAGCTGTTGCAGGGAAATACATAAGTGGAGTGACTGAACAGTGAAGTCTTTATTCACTTAGTCTGTTAGTCTTTAACAGTGAAATCATCACAGCACTGAGTCAGACACCTGTAATGTTGGGAATCAAAGAGCAATTAAATGGCTCTTTATGAGTGGACTATTTTCTGCAATATGAACTGCCCCTAATACGGTGAGCACAGGCCGTCCTCTTTAATATTTTATAGCAGGTAAACTTCTGAGGCCTGTCCGGGCTCTTCTCAACAGGGTGTCTAACTCTCATTTTGACAGGTGGATCTCTTCCAAACCTTAAAGCCCAGTTCAGGTCAGACTATTGGGCTCCCTGCTAGAGGAGGTCACATGACCAGGTTAGGTGGGTCATGCTCGCCTGATCCATCAGACTGTTTCTGACGGGACTTCCACTTTGCATATGAAAGAGTTTACCTTTCATCTCCTTCAGCTTGGTAAAGAGCCTCTCAAAGTTCTCCACATCAGAGTCTCTGGTGGTGAGGCTGGCCAGCTCTTGGATGTCCATGTCTGTCATGGGATCTGCAAATAAACACAGACCGCCTCCGTTAAAGCTCTACTAAAGGAAAGATAGGAATGGAAGATGGGCGCATTTTAGCTATGACACCTACTCTACATCCCAACAAGATAGCCTGGTCTTCTGTATCAACAAGTCTGTCCTTTCTAGTCCCGCGGAAACCTACTGTTACACTGTTCAAAGAGGAAGGATGCAGAGGTGGTATTTTCAACTAACCAGTGAAAGTCCTTTTTTAAATTAGAGATTTATAACTTTAGAATACTAAGGGTACTATGAACAAGAAGGACAAAAAAATTAAACAGCCAAGCAAAGAGATCTCAGATATTCTGGACAGGTGTGGACTCTTAATTAAGATCGGACTGAGAGCACCAAGTGCATTAGTGATCAGTCAATTTGGGCACCACACCTATCAAGCTGTGCATTCACATCACTGAAATACTGCTTATTCAGTCTATGCCCCCCATGTTCATGTTCTTGAGCTAAAGGTACTTGAATCCAATCCCTGCAGGACACAAAACAATTGCATCATTTTCACCAAACCTAGTTAACAGGAAATCAAAAACAAGCGACTTCCTGGTCTGACCACACTCACCCACAAGCGCGTCAATCTGAGTGTTGCTGTTGGCAGTAGCCTCTGTCCTGCTGTGGCCAGGGCTCCCGTGGGTGTCCTCTCCTGGCTGCTGGAGGGACTGCAAGGACAGGACAGAGAAGCAGTTCATTCTCCCCATTTGCATGCCTGTCCCCTTCGCCCTGTGAAATAAGTGAACCCCTAGCCCCGCAGAGAGAGGCAGAGAGAGGCAGAGAGAGGCAGAGAGAGGCAGAGAGAGGCAGAGAGAGGCAGAGAGAGGCAGAGAGAGAGCAGGGGGACTGACCTGTGTGTCTTGGCTGGTGCAGGAGCTGCTGTGTCGAGATGCCACAAGACTGCTCATCAGGCCGAAACACTGGGCTCGCTCTGACAGAGGAAGAGAGCGAACAACACCAGCCATTAGAACAGCATTAAAAGTAACAATGCACAGAAGCTTTCCTGAATGTCATCTTCCAATCTATACACCCATCAATCCATTTTCTAATTACTTCTTCCAATTCAGGGTCATGAGGGGGCCGGAGCCTATCCCAGCAAGCAATGAGGCACAGGGCAGGATACACCCTGGAAATGTCATTATCTTTTTTTTTTTTAATCAGCTCTGAAGTGTCCCATTCCTGCACTGTTCTCCACCTGCTGTTTCAGTAAAACGGCAGCAGACCCAGGTAAACCAGCTAAACCTTCCTTGAACACCATCGTACGAGGGCTGGTTTTTACATGCTTGTTTTTATGCGCCGGGTTTGGTTTTTTGGAAAGATCGGAAGATGATAACTGCTGGTGTGGGGGTGAATGAACTCCGCCCGGCCTTTTCAGCACATCTTCTCAGACGCTTTCAGGGGACAGGAGAGACTGAATGATGGGGCGGGGACGGAATGAGATTGCTGTTGAACATGGTCGACAGTGAGCGAGCGCCTATGCACACACGCACATCCTCTCCAGCCAGGCTCCTGATAAACCCTAGCAAAGCCCTAGCTTGGGGGAAAAAAAAGGCTCCCCCAAAAATTCCTTTTTTCATTGTGGATGTGCGAAAGTCAGGTTTTGAGAGGGCAGCTTGGAAAAGAACCTGGCATTCCTAACTATTCCCTGTAGGATGCCAACCCCTGTGTTCCCACGCCAAGGCGTACCATCCTTCATCTCCATATTAGACCACATGTTGGCGTTGAGTGCCTGAACGATCCGTTTCACGCCTGTCGACTCTGGGAAGTCATCTGGGGAATGAACAGAGAGCACACTGAGAAACGCTGGGATGCCAAAGCAATCCAGGGTCTAGGAACAGCACAGGCACTAGCTGTGAAGAAGTGTTAATCGGCATAAGCATGTGCGAGTGTCTAGTGCGACTGTACAGCAGTCTGTGTGCCTGGCCCTCACCATCCTCATCGGGCAGATCCTCGGGGTTGAGCTCCACCAGTTCAAATCCGTGGGACAGGCACCACTCCTGTGCCTGCTGCCTGGAAACCCCTAGAGAGAAAGACATGGTGCCCCCTGCTGGTCACATGCAACACTTCACAAGACTCCAGCCAAATGCAATTTACTGTCACACTAGAAAATAGTTCCACAGAAAGTTCCTTTCTAATTATTTTTGAAAAACATACAAAAGCCTACCATGCAGTTTCCACTGTATTCTTTTATAGTACTGTGGATTTCCTATTTAGCAAAACCCAAATAAACTGAATTAAAAAAAGTGTATGGGACAGGAACGGAGGCACTGGTAATTTAGTTATAACATTATGGAATCACCAGTTTTCATTTGATATCTAAGGGTTTTTTTTCTCAGTTTTCAGTTCAGTACCACTAAAAAACACTAATCATTGATTCTCTTTTCAAAAACAGATCAAAAAAGATCCATGACTGTTCCAGAGAGGTCAGGGATTTCCATTTTTTTTTGCAATTCGGTTCACTGGAAGCTCTTTTACTTCTATAATCCTCACCAACACTTGTCTTTTCCTCTGGTAATCCCGAGAACTGGAAAAACTCAGATGGGGCATGTTTAAGAACTGAAGATAAATGTACAGATTCCGGGAACAAGAAACACTCCAAGCAATCTTTGCGCTGGCTCTATGGATTCGCCTCTGGCGGGAGGGAGCTGTGCTAATCCTGGTCAACGGGAAGAAGCACGTGTAGCCTGCACGCTCGAGCTCACCGCTGTCGCACACCCGCTCACACACCAGGGTCAGGACCTCAGGGGCCACATCCTCCACTACAGCCAGCCAGGGGGCCACGCTGTCCAGTCCCGCCTCCTGCAACACAGGGCACGGGCGTTAATAGCTGGGCTTCCGTCATAGTCAGAGAATGGCTCAGCAGGACAACCGATCCCCATAGACACAGCTGTGTGCAAGCTTCCTGGCCGATGAGCCGAGGTTGGAGCAGTTGAGGCCGCCAAAGGTCTGAGGTTGGCTTACCGTGGTGCTGTCAAACCAGACGACGAAGGCCTGCACGCTGTCCGCGATCTCCGCTGTCACCAGGTGGGTGTTCGGCACAACGCACAGGCTGACCTGGGCAGTGTAGTACTTGTTGTTGATGGTCCAGGGGTACCAGCACACTGCCCCCTCCTGGCGGGAGGGCTCCGGCACAGCCGCTGCACCCAGGATCTCTATAGACACAGAAGGACAGAACGAGTGAGCAGCCAGGATTCCACCAGCTGACAAACAGGTACTCCATTACCTTCTGTTCTTTTCACACTGCAAAATGTCTCTGACCAACAAGTGTACTCCCAGTTTGGTAATTCATTCAACTACAATATCAGGACTTGATTGTGCCAAAACCCAGGAGCAGAATTTACAGGAGAGTCTGATGGGCCTGGGTATCAATCATGAAGCTCTCCCAGGGGACCTCTTTGAGCAGTGATGACAAAACCACAATCCTCTCCTTAACTATCTGCGTGCACTCTTAATGGACTAATGGCATCCCAGTTGCTTCCAGGTATCTGACTCCACTCATGAAGGGTTTTTCCATGCAAGTACAACCTCCCAAATAGGGATTTGGACCCAAATAGAAACCTGTACCCAAGCCAATCTCATTCTCAATCATAATAGCAATGGAATGAAAAGAATATGTGTTTTTAAAACATGTATATATAATATGTATTTTGAAACCCAGATGGGCACTCCAGGCTGCTCCAGCACAGGACTTGGATGAAGCCAGTCCTTTTACAATAAGACCTATCAGCTTATCCGACAACATGCTTGACTGGCAGAGAAAGAAACAGTGCTTGGTGTTCGGCTAAGCAGGTTATTTTGGATTGAGCCTAATGTTTGGATTTTATATACAATTCCATTTGTTAGGTACCGAGAGAGGGATTATGCACACGGTTAAGCTAAACCGCATTAACAAAAATAGAACGAAACTAATCAGCACAGCTACGAAATCCGTTGTCACAGCTGAGTACCGAGAGCCCCTGACCCTCTCTGTTCATGAACGGTATAGGCCCCGACCATCTGACAGCTGGGCTTCAAGTGATTTGCAGGCATTGCCCATCTCACAGTGGGCTCTCCCTTGCCCCCTCTCCTCTGCGCCAGCCACCCTGGTCTGCATGCAGCAGTCTGATTCTGCACCCTGACATTGGGGCCAGATCCCCGAAATCTTGTTTCAATAACTTCGCATTTCGTAATGCACCACGAGCAAGACGAGGGCTGGATGTCATCGTCCATAAGCACCGTGAACGAGGCCCGGCCTTCACGAGGAGCCTCACAGCGCGAGATCACTGCCCCCTCCTTCCCATCAGCCCCCAGCAGTCCCATGCCCCCACACGCTGTTTCGGCGCTCGAAACTCGAACGTGTCCGTGGACGGACGGAAAAACCTAGCGTGTGTCTCAGCACTGGAGAACAACTCACCGGACATTACACACAGCCAGCCTCCCATAGGGTGGACGGTGCATTGTCACTCTGACCTCCCCGTCGGCTTCATCAAATGACTTCCCCCAAGATTTATTTCAGATGTCTTGTACAGTGGATCGCAGAAAACACACTAGAGCTGAGGTGCAGCTCAGCCGTTAAAACCTTTCTTTAAGGGCTAGAGATTTCACTTTGATAACCCTACGCTACAAACCCAGCTGCTGGGGGGCCTGGTGTCTTCTGGCATTTGTTCCACTGAAATTCTCAGTCACCTTGTTGACTTCACTTGAATTAACAGCTTCTAACTGTAATGACTAACCAGACACTGAAGTGTCAAATAATTACAAAAACCTTAACTTTGCATAAGAATCGAATAAGGTTAGTTGTTTAACTGAAATGTTGGAACAAAAATCAGAAGACACAAAGCCTCCATAAAAATGAATTCATGCCGTCTGTTCTTTTGACTAGTGTTCAGTCTTTACCCTGCAATTACAGGACTAAGGCTTTCACCAAGAAACACTGAGCAAACTGGGCCTTTCGTGTATAACCGAGGCCAATCACTTCCTACCTCGCAACCAAAAGTATATAAAAACCCTCAAACTGACAAAAGTATTATTGCGTTTCTTTGACGAGCTTGGTTTTATTTTATAGTTCATGTATACAAACGAAACGTGCGGAATAGCGGGTCAGGACCTGCGTCGCTACCCTGAAGTCTCTCCGCCCTGCACAAATTCTGAAGCCGGGTCAACACCGCCACCTGCTGGAGCAGTGGCATCACTACTCGGCGCAGACGGATGTAGGAGACAAGTCACTGAAGCCGTTTCCTACTGGCTACTTGGCACTTGTATCAATTGTGACATGTGCCAATAATTTTCAAAACTGGTCAATGACAATTCAAAATAATAACTGGCATGCATATTACATATGAACAGTGTCGCTCATATGTAATTATCAGGTGTAACATTGATGATAAGGTGAAAAAGTGATGACTGCTCTAAGTAAAGCACAAGCTGGGAAAGGCATGGTCTTTTATCATGATTCAGTAATCAGCGAGCCAACTGAGTCCCGGGTTCTACAGCAGGAGGCAGGGAAATCCAGTCCACAAGTCATGCAAGCTTTTCTTAAGTTGCGTTGAATTAGAAACTGGCTAGCTCTTCAAAAAAAGCAGATGATGGGAGCTCTTTAGCAAATACCCAATTCGATCAAGCTGCCGTGTTCGGAGCTGGAATGAAAACCTGCGGGACTCCAGCTCTCATATAAAGTGTGAGGGTATCCAGAGATTCCAGGGAGAACTGAGGTCAGAAAGGAAGCAGATTCTTTTGACCTTGGGCAACAGATCCACAGGACACCATGGGCCAGAACGGGCCTCACATGTTGTCTCTACATGAAAGGAAGTTAACCAGAAAGCAGCGAAGAATTGCACAATTGGCTTGAAGCCCCGTTTGTCAGCTGAAGCCTCCAGTGCTGAAATGGCTTGAAAAGCTGACCACAGTGACTTGGTGTCTCGCAGTGTCCGAGTGCGAGTGAGGAAAGTGTTCAAACTAACAGAAACGAAAACAAAACTCATATCTGTGTGTGCCCTGAGACGGATTGGCGTCCTGTCTAGGGTGTGCCCCGCATGTATGTATGGAAGGATGGAAACTGCAAAGAGTGAAAACATCTAAAATATAGCTTTTTTTTTTTAAAACGCAGCTGTACTGTAAACCAGCCTTCTCCAGCTCAACTCCTAGAGGGACCAGTTTCTTCAGAATTTTGATCCAAACAGAGAAGTAAATAACTACTTTATTAGACAATTCCTTCATGTCTTTTACAAAAATAATCTTAAGGTTGAATAATCTAAACACTCCCTGTAAAGGTATAGTTACCTATAAAACGGTTTGGTGCACAGCGAGAATGATTATTATTATTATTATTATGTTGCTTTATTGGCCATATAAAATTTCTTGCATTAGGAATTCATCTTTTTGCATACACCGGCTTGCTCTCCATGAGACACACAGATAGGGAGAGAGCCTGGGGTCAGAGCACAGAGTCAGCCATTGTACAGCACCCCTGAAACAGTTGGGGTTAAGGGCCTTGCTCAGGGGCCCAACGGAGTAGGATTCCTTTGCAGGATGCGGGATTTGAACTGGCAACCTTCCAGTCACAGCCACAGAGCCACCGCTCTGCCCCAATAAGGAAACGGGCACCACCCAACGTGGGGCACGAACCCACGTCCCTGAGATTAAGAGTCTCATGCTCTACCGACTGAGCTAGTCGGGCACTATGATTGTGTTATGATGATAATTAATTAAACCAGCTATGTAACGGAAGACTGAAAGACCTCTGGGATCTTTATTTTAAATGTTGGCTTGTGATCATTAAGCAACATCTTCCGATCAGCAACCAATTAATGCCCAGCCTAAATCTTTGATGGGTTTTAATTTAGAGGCAAACTGACAAAACCTGTCCGACTAACCTGGGGTTAGATCCTAACTGTGTTCCCATCTCCTTCGTTAACAACGTTCTTTTAATAGCTAAATGTATAAACTAGAAACGTTACCGGACGTATTAGGTTGTTTCCTTCTTTTCTGCAAAGAGAGGATGTCCGAGCAGGCTGTCCGCCTGCGCAGCAACCGGAATAAATGCTTCACGATTACTATACTAGTCGTATATGCAGCTCGAGTGTTATGCACAATGTGTTCGTCCATTCATGTTTCTGCGTTCCCCTAACAAACCGATCTAATTAAAATGTGACAGCGTTCGCCTGCCAGATGTGCAAATGAGAAACAATAGCACAGCACCTCACTTAACCTTGAGTCCAGACAAGATTTACACCACAGACTCAAAGCCAGGCTAACAGATTAGATTCGGACACTTACGTTTAACCAGCTCTTGTTCTTTGAACCCCGGATCACAGCTCGTAACGAGGACGCAAGGCAGTGCCTCTGTATCCCTTTCCTGCTCTGTGGATGACATCTTGAATCTGTCAACACAAAAGCCTCAGGCGGCACCTTTCAACTCTGACCCGCTGCAGCCGGCGAATCACTTCCGACTGCGACAGCAGGTCGGGCTAAACCATTCCAAATTCAGATACAAATGTGATATCAGCGGATAAAACAGACTTGTTGACGTAAATTCGAAGTTAGTGAAGCCGCATACAGCATGAAACAACGGTGCTGTGTTATTAACGCTCCTGGAAATGAATCCTGGGTGTTTTAAATTAAATTGCGATAAAAGCCTGGCGTATAAACATGGCTATAACTGGAATTTCTAAAGAAAAGGGGGATCCTATCGCACTTGACATTTTTTGTTCCTTCGAGGTCTATATGATATGCTAATTAATAACTGTCTTTATACGTTTATGTAAATTATCAAATGGTTTTTAGCGACATCGTTCCCCCTATCCTGAAAAGAACTGTGGAAGCTTCTGCGTCATGTTGCCATGGAGGCCGTCACGTGGTGTACGTTGTCATGGGGACATAATGATGTGTTACTGTCTGTGGGATGAATTGACAGACGAGCAACACCGCTAATTGACACAATTAAACAAGCCGAATGCTAACTGGCACCTCGGCCAAGATCGCACGGAATGGCCGATATAATAAAAAATACCGATGAAGTGGGCAACATTTTAGTCAAGGTAATAAGCCGTAAACTTTGTTTTCCGTTAGAAAAAATAAACCTCCTACATTTCGGAAAATGAATGGGTTCGCTGGAAGTTGCTAATTAGTTGAATTAAATAGCCCATTCTGCAGTAAAACCTGTCTTTGTAATTGTAAAACGCGCCGAGGCCCTCACACTGCAGGGCTGCAGTAATGCGGTGACGCAGTCACACAGCCAGCTCGTCATTAGGCACCCCCTGCTTCGACTGAACTGTTTTAAATTTAGCTAAAGAGATTTTTCATCCGCGAAGGTGAAAAGTTAATTAGTTATTTAATGAACACTTTCGGAATCTCACAGAATTAACTGTATTGTTGGTTAAATTGCAGTCATAATAGCCGAGATTTGTGTTCTCAGTAACGGCTGTGCGTTGGTGTCAGAGACGGATTGCGGGGCTTGCGTCTTCGTTTGGCAAGTTGCTCTTGTGCTGCACTATTAACTCACTATCACAGATGCATCATAATAAAGGATTTAACGCCCTTTGTTTTTCAATGTCCACTTTTACACGTCGTTATTATCATTATTAGTTCTCCATCTAATTCCTTGAGTTTTCTGTGTCAGGTCGTTTCATTTCTTACTTAAGGCTGTTCGAGGTCAGTTTTAATTTCTGTGGCTGAAGCCGAGTGACAGGAGACATATTTCCCATATCCCTTGGAATTTTGGGTGGTTTTCTACAGTTTTTATACCGTATTAAAATATAGTCCAAAATAAAATCTAAAACGTTAGTATTAAAAAGACCTCTCTTTTACTTTATCATTTCTGTTTGATGAAGTTAAACGTGAAAAGGCAATGGTTTCAAAGACATGGATGGATGGATCAGTTTGATTATTTTTTTTGGCCTAACCCTTAGTCCAAATCAACTTGTCTGTCGTATTAGAACCTTTTTAAGTAACTGAGCAAAACGTGATTTAAAAAAAGGGCACAGACTCTGTGTTAGCTCTGTGGTGTGTAATTGTGGACTGGCCCCCAGGTGAAGGAGGACCTGTGTCAGCTGAAGCAGACCCTCACTCGGGTCACCATCCAGGGAGCAGGAGAAACCGTGGACATCCAGGCCCTCCACACGGCCATCCGCCGGACAGAGAATGGACTGAGGGTCAGGGCGCCGGGGTCAAGGGTCAAACACACTAGCGGGGTGGGAGCTACTGTAAGAGAAATCTGCTTCCTGTTTTCTGGAAAGGAATGCAAGGATGTAAAGTTCACATCCAGGGGGTGATCTTGTAGACAAGGATGAGACTGCAGTGTTATATGGGGAATATGAATATGTGTATTTTCTGATGTATTTACATCAGGCAAGTTAACGTATTTTGGAATTTTGGAAAAGTTTGCCCTGAAGTAAAGTGCTAGGGAGATCGATGCAATGTTCAACTCACCAAAGTTTCCTGTGGAAAGAAATAGTTTTATTAACAGGAAGTGAGAGATGTAGATGTGCCTAGCAGTTTCTGTGCTTTAGGTAGTGTTTCTTGGCACTGGTATGTCTGTGAGCACTTCCTGTAACGTTATTCTCTCCTTAACGAAATGGAGTCATCGTGCAATTGCTTCTGAGTGTCCATTGCCATTTCTATGCAAAAGATCTTAGCGCACATCAGTTTGGAACTGCAGACTAGGTGCACACCAGTCTAAGTGTGATGACTGTGTATCTGCAGAAGCGAGCTGAGGAATATCTGAATGCGGTTAACAGGCAGGTGCTGACTCTCCCTGCTATTGAAGAGGGTGAAAAGCCAAACACACAGGCTGCAAAATGGTAAGAGTTTCATCAATCGGAATACATTTGTAAATATATGTGAAGAGCTACGAATTTCAGGGGATTCATTTTTCAGATCTGCTTGGTTGTTAATACAATGTACACAGGTTCCTTGTACATGTGTAGTTAAATTGATCTTGCTCTAAATACTTTTCTCTTTTCAACCAAGTAAGTCCCATTCTTCTGCACTCTGCTGATATTGGTACAAGAGGCTCATGAATTATGCCTCATGTAAAATGGGTCAGATTAAACACTTGTTCCTTTTTCTTCCTCGTGGAAGTGCTGATGTACTATACCTGAACAGCACACCAACATATTTCAACATGCACTTTGTCCCTTCTGGCTCTGCTAGTGATTTTAATGTATGTTACATGTTGGAACTTAAGAAATGTTTGAAAGGAGGGGATTTCATTCATGATGTCTTGTTAGGGCTATTTCTTGAAGGATCCTAGTCAAAGAGTTTCAGTGACATGGCAGAGTAGTTTGTTAAAGACTTTCTGAAGATAAGGCTTTATTTTCATTTTCTGTTTAGGAAGCCTCAGCTGAAAACTGTGCCTGACCTGCGACTGCAGAGGAGCCCCGATTTTGGAATGGCTGGGAGACCCTCACCTGGGGAACAGGTAATCATCACTCTCTCACATATTTGATGCACAAAAGAACTGTAGTGGATTTAATCACAGGAAATGTTAACAAAGTGAAGAATCTACAGACCTAAGAATGATAATATGTTTTCACTGTGGAATTTGTTACACTGTTAAAATGGAAACAGTTTTGAAGCTCAGGCCTGATCAGCCTTTCAGCAGACTGCTGTGGGATGTGCTGCCACTCCTCCAGTGGAGCTGCACACAGCTAACAAAGGCTGTCTGGCTGCAGTTGTTTCCTTGTAATGGAATTGAATCATTTGCTTTCCCAACCCTGAGCACCTGGCCTTTATACCAGAATACATGACTTATATGCTTAGTGCATTTAGCAGAATGACATATTGCAGCTTGTTTAATGCAAAGTGCAATACATTCCATTAAGTATAGTGAGAAATAAAATATTGTTTGATTTATGATATACTTTCACCAGATCAAGCAGTGATCACAATAGAATATTGGAGGGCAGATTATCAGTTGCCAAATAATCAATGATTTACCGGATAAGAAAACAGTACTCGCATATTCCTTGTATAGCTAAAACCTGCACACTTTTTAAGCTTACCAAGGTGTCCCTAAAAGGCACAGTAAAAGTGAAGAGGTAATGCCAACCAGGAGTGTGGGGAAGATTTCGAACCCCCATGTAAAACCGCACATTTTTAAAATTGGCATTGTTTTCGGAGGTTCACATGTTTCCTTTCATTCGCAGCATAAGTCGGGGTTGCGCATGAAGGTGATGTGTAACCCCGCTCACCCTGCGCACAGAGCTCTTCTGCATGAGCAATATGGCATCCGACTGCCAGGAGCGAGCCCAAGAAAAGGGGGTTCGGTGAGTTGGGGCCTGACCTGGCCTGGGAGCTCTGGCACACTGAGATGTCTCTGTTATGGAGAGACTGATGTCTTCATCTGTCCTAACAATAGGAAGCTAAGGTTTCTCAACAACAGCAATGGTCTCTGGTATTTGCAGATTTTTTGTTTCTTGAGATTAGAGTGGTTTTCAGCCCGAGTAACCGAGTGGTTTTTTGTTTTTTAAAAAAGAAATACATTTATTTACAAAAAAAGCATCAGTCCCTAATCATATTTCCATCTGGAGTCTGTGCAATCTACTACAGTGGATTGAAACCCAGTACAGTTACCACAGGGGTCTTTGCACTTCCAGCACTCGTAGCACTGCTGACACTATTGGAATAGTCTTCCCATTCTGTGGGGTCTGTACTTTTCTGAATTTTCATATCGCAGCATATTGACTTTCTGCTCCTTCCACTTAGCTGTGTGCAGCACATCAATAGAAGTTGTTCATCCTACTGGGAAAATTTGATTAGGAATTATTACAGCTGATTGAGACAGATTGTGCGTTATTATAGGACAATAGACTTTGGATTTCCACCTCCATTCATTGCCTGAAAATCAGCAAATTAATACGCTGCCACTGTCAAGCGTTGAAGAAGAAGAAGTTTTAAGTGAACAGATGACTACCGTCAGAATCCTCTCAACCTGGAAATAGAGATGTGAAGGTCACCCGGGCTGTGATGACAGGGAGAACATTTGTTGGTAAACAAATTAATCTTTCGAAAGGTCGCCATTTGTTTCAGCGCCTTTCCCCCCCCCCCTCTTCCTCTCCCCCCTCACACTCTCCGCTTATCCTTTATCCCTCTGCTTGTCAGGACGGATGGGGCGGCAGTGGTAGGGGAGGGGGGGAGTCTGTCACTCCGGTATGTGGGGCGCAGTGTGAGCCGGCTGTTTGGCCGAAGGAGCTGCGAATTTGCAAGATATCAGCATTCCTTGAAGAACGCCGGCACCTGATTGCTGCGCTATGGGCTGGTGGTTTACAGCTGTCTCAGGACAGGAGTGGGTACCTGGCCCTGCATTCCAATAAGATGGGCGCATACTTTCCCAACTGGCGCGCACTGGCCCTCTGCCCACTGATACCCAACTGTCTCAGTCCCAGCCAGCACATTTCCAGCTCTTCCCTTCTGTGCCGGCAAAAATGTGATTTCATTTTTTTTTCTTTCTCACCACCCTCCCCTCCACCCCCCCCCACTACCACCAGAAAAAAACAGATGTGTTGTCTTTCCAAAAAAAAAAAGTTTGTCTTTTTTTTTCAACACCTGCTGTAGTAGGCCGCTGTTCTGCTGGTGATTACAAGATCAGCAGATAACTATAATGGCAGTGATACAAGCCGTGGCAAGAGCAATCAAACAAGCAAAAAAGCAGGTGCTAAATAAATAAAAGGAGGCCTGGAACTCATCAAATCAGTCAAACTTTGTTTTATGTATTGCTTTTTTTGTGAAAGCAACCTTCACAATGTGCATCCTGTTTAAATCAAGAAATCATAAAGTAAATATACATTATCCCCACACAGATCATGGCATTAGAACCACTGTGTGATCTGAGGCAGCTGATTTTTTAAAATTTAAAAATCACCAAATTCTATGAGCCCTGCAACTTCGAGCCACTCACCTTTCAACACGCCCTCATACTGGAAGTTCAGTATTGACTGGAGGAGGGGTGAATCCCTCAATAATAGCACTGCCTTCCTGCGAGTGCCTGGGAAGACGCAGAGTTTAACGATACCCTGGCTTTCTCAGGGTTCAGCTGTGTTCCTTTGGTAACTGGCAATCGCCACATGGTGATCCAAGTCACAATGGGCTAATGAAATGGCCCAGGATTGAACCAGTTATCACAGACCACAACCTAAGACAGAAGACAAGGTGGAGTCTAGAGGAAAAAAGGTGGAGAGGTCCACATAGGGGTGAAAAGAGGAAGGGAAGAAAGGAGGTCAGACTCTAAGAGGGACAGTGTTCATTGATGGAAGAGGAGGAGAGATGGCTATGAAACAGGCAGAACGGGAGAGAACGTGAATACCAGTGGGAGGAGAAGAGAGGGAGATTTGAGTACAAAACACCTCGGGGGGAGATGGGAGTGGACCCAGGGAATGGTAGGGGGACACAGGACAGAACTTTGGGAGACCCGACTGGAGAAAGTCACACCTGGTATATGTGAGCAGGTAGGAAATGAACCAGGTGTGAACAGAGCCAGAAATTCTTGGGTCAGTGAATGTTGACCGGTGAACAGAGTGATCCCCAGTGTCAGAAGTGGCATAAAGGTCAGGAGGGCTAAGACAGAGGAGGTGAAAATGGCACCAGCTGAATGAAAAAGGCTCTCTAACCAACAGAGGAGCTGTTTCTAAAGAGCGTGGGGAGCAAGACCCGGACTAGAGAGGGTCAAGCAGCAGCTACAAGATGAAAGCGGGAGGCTGGTTAAGGGTTTTAGAGTGATAGGGGAAAAGGGAAGTCAGAGTAGACCAGGGAGGGCTGGAGACCTGAAGGTCAGTGGATTAACCCGCTGTCCCACCCATCACCCACATCTGTAGGATTGAGGGATCAGGAATGTTTTTTTTTAAGAGTGGTATTTCAGGCCTATTCAAAAAAGGAAGACTGTCTCAGCTTGTAGAAACTTGATGTTGTCCAGTGGGTTCATTTTGGTCCTTCTTTTGTATGTTTATATGACTGTTACTACAGTCTGTATTAATAATTCAGCAGTACTGACTATGAATATGTAACAAAAGGAAAGTTGGCACTTCATGCCTTGATTTTTATATACCAATCTAACAGTCCAGTGTGCCCTATCTTTTAAATATTAACAGTTTATAAAATTAATATTTACTGTTGAGCAGGACACCTAACGTTTATATCTAACGGCAGAAACGGTAGAAACCAGATAAAAAAGAGACCTGACTGGTAAAATATTACAACCTCTTGATTTACTTGTTCATTAAAACTAATTTTAAACAGTTGTACAGTAAATGGATGTTTATAGGGGTTGCTCAGTATGGATAGCATCTGATAAATTAATACACGAGAGAGGAAGTCCAAGTTTATAATAGGTATGAAAAATAAGACAGTTAGAAGTTGGGAGGGGTTAATTACTGATCCTGAAAGGATGAACATTTGGAACATGAATGCTGTCAGAGAATCCAGACTCACAAATCTGTACAGCTGGAGAAGGAAGAAAAAAAATACAAGTACTGAAAGTGTCCCCTAACCACCGCTGACCAGATCCCTGCCAGCTCTTGATTGATAGCTCCAGGGAAGGGAGCTTATTGGCCAGTTTACAATGTCATTAGCTGCTGGATCCTAGCTCCTATGTTCTTTAATGAATGCAGCAAATCTGCTAGTTGTTAACTGCAAAAAAGGGAAAAAAGCCATATTTACTGACATCTACAAGCTGCCACAATGCTGATTAATGGATGCCATCTTCTCATCTTCCAGCCCCGTACAAAAGAAGTTTGAAGCATAATTCTAGCCAGTGACCCGGAACTAATAACCTTCTACTTGAGCGGGCTATTGAGCTGAAGTGCAGCAATAAGTTCTAAGTCTTTGTTTCCAGTGGTCCTCTGGCCCCCCAGGGCAATGCTGTGCTCCAGGCAGGAGTGTGGGTGATGGGTGGGGCAGCAGGTTAATGCACTGACCTTCAGGTTTTCGGCCCTCCCAGGTCCGCTCTGACTCTGATCATGACTCTTGAATGATTTTGGCAGTGATACCACAGTACCCCCCCACCTGCACTTTGCTATCTAGGGTCTGCCGCCATAAACCTACAGTAGCTGACTTTAAGCAGGACCGTGGGTTTATAGAACTGTGCAAAGGAATATTTGAACATGGCTACCAAACACAGGTGTTGAGCTTTCCCACTGCTGAAATACACAGAGACAGAATGAAAGAAAACGGTGTACTAGAACTCGAGCATTTAAGTCAATAAAGCCCCAAAAGGCGTATTACCTGCTTATGTGCAATAGAATTAATCTGTTGTTTGCTACTGATGGTGATAGAAACCATTTAAATCTAAGAACATATTTGAAAAAAGCCAACCAATCAGATGTATTAAATCTGTTTTGCTTGCTTCCTCCTGCTGCAGTGATTACTCCAATGGCCTGTTTGATTGGGAGGGTAGAAGCTGTAGGCTTGTAGTGTTTGGTTTTATTATCTTCAGTGAAAGCAAATGACTGCTGAATGACAAACGACTAGTGAATAAATTGCCATTTTAAGACATAAAAACATGCCAAGGTAACTATATAAACTTAGGTTCCCCAGTATGAAGACCCAAACTAGGTGGGTGTACTTTCAATTCTGGTTTAAAAGTAACAATAGATGTAAAGGAAGAGCGTCACATTGGCAATGCAAAAAGGGTAGACTTTCAAGCACTCCTCCTGTCTCCTCAGGCCCAGCTGCAGAAGGTTGTCCATGGTCCCACAGTGGGCAGTCTTGCGGTGGTGCCTGCCGCCCAGCGGAACAATCCCTACCTGGCTCCTCCACTGTCCCAGAACGATATGAAGACAGGTGAGCCAGTCGCCCAGGGCTGGCATGCTGTTTAAAGCCTCCATTGCTAGAGAGGAGAAATCCATGCTGCCATTTTCATTGTTTCATGTTTACACTTTCAGTGCTTCATCCCTGGCCTGCAATGGCTGAGAAAAACTACCTGTTACTTTCTGTGTAGTTGAGTGATTGTGCATCAACCAACTAATCCACCTCTGCAGCTGCATGTGTCTCTGAATTCAACCCCGGGCTGTCATACAGCAAATGAAATATGCAAGCCGATCGTGTTACAACTACCCTGTAATTACTGTTGACTGTTGACCAGGGAGGAAAAAAGAAAAACCACATTTTTAAGCAAATACAAAATGTGGCATAAATTGGAAAAAGATTGTTGTATTTTCATATTCTGTTAGTTGTGCACAGTGGCATGATCATGATATAAAGTCTTATAAAGTGCCCAATATTGCTAAAATTGCACAATGTTACGCTTCCACCGCAGTTTAGTTTAGTCCACAATATTGCATAATGTATGTTTAAAACAGACATTGTCCTCCAATCATACTTGTCTCCTTTGGCTCATTGCTCTTTAATCTTGGAGGAACTGAGTCAATCTCCCGACTGACACAAGCGGTAGTATTTCTGTCCTTTCATTAGTTAAGGCAGAACGTCAAATCCTGCTCAAGACACCAAAAATGCAAAGCTGTAATATGATGTGAAACCAGCCATGCCAGTCAAAAATGTTCATTGAAATTCTCATCAGCAATTCATTGCCTGTAAAATATAAATGGATAAAATGAAAGATTAAATTTCTACTGCAGATGTTAAGGCTTTTAGACTTAGAATTATATATTGCATTTGTCAAGACAATTTTTGGTCACTTTTTTAGTGTTAATATAAAATGTATTTAATATGGATTCAGACTGACTGGTTTCCAAAAATATAGGAGGTGACGTACAGTATAATGAGTGCAAACAGAATATTGTTCCAACAAATATTTCTTCAACAAATAGTTTACCCTGACATTTGTAAATTACCTCTTTTAGTAAGGTGCTTTATTTTAATTGATTCCACTAGGGCCTTAGCTCTAAACTCTAGACAGAAATGTCCGTCAGGCGTGTTGTAAGAGTCTGTGCTGTGTCTTGCAGGTATCTCTAGCCTGCTGGAGAGGGGCTTGATTCCTGCAGCAGCACAGCTTATCCTGGAGCAGCCTCCTGTCCGACCCGAGGTAGCTCCTCTACACGCCAGAGACAAGGCGCCCTCTGCTGGAGGGACAGGTCAGGGCCACAGAGGTGGAGAGACAACTGGCAGAGGTGTATAGTCTAGTTCATCGTAATATACAGTATGATAAAACTTTTATTTGTATTTTACCTATTTGGACAGTGCAGTGGCTTTCTCAGGACTGCATACCTACAACATTAGGGGTGCCCATCACATTTTACATTTCCATTTTTAATAAAGAAACACGGAAGACATATTCCTAAAGATTGTCCTACTGCATTCGAACTGGTCCACAGGTCCTGTGTCTGGCAGAGCTGTGGGAGAGAGGATGGATCTGTCCTTGTCCTTGCGTGAGGAACTGGAACCTGGATACAGCAGCTGTGACCCCAGCTGGCAAGCTCCCATCCAGGGCCCTGTCACCCCCCCACCCTCTGTTACCTCAAAGAGATCGGCCACCAAGCACCGACCCCCCCCAGCACTCACCTCCAGCAGGCTGTGTCCAATCATGCCAGAGGTACAGTACTGCCCAGCTGGCCTGTCGTGTCTCAGTAATGGTCTGCCTATGAGCATTGTCTGCGGTGCCATATTGAAAATGAGCAGCACTGACACAGAGATAACAAAGTAATATGGCAAAATCATCATAAATACCTCCATGTATGGTTTGTTGACCTTGTGCATCAAACAGGTCCTGATGCAAATGTGCAAGCAGGCGGCTAGCATTAAAGTATAATTTGTGAAAGTGCTCTCGAAAAAATTGTTCAATTCCACTGTTTTAAACAAAACACAACTTTTGTGTAAGCATTGTCTTTCACTTTCTAACAGTTTGTATTAAAAAATAAATCTCTGGGCTATGAGTCTGGAATGCAAGCCCTCAAACTCTTATTGTAAGGAAAGTAGCATCTCTTTTAAAATAGAAGATAGAGGAAACAGCATGAACAAAACATTTTTAGCTCCTCGAAAACTATACTAGAAGAACTGTTAAATTATTTGGGGTGATATTTATGCCATAACATGATACCACTTATTTTTAATACACTCATTACACTCTGTGACTGTAATTAAATTAATTAAGAAACAATTCAAACCCTGATGTTTGCAGCACTGACTTTCTTCCTCCTGTAATGAATGCCCAGTAAGAGGCCAAAGTCTTACCTGTGAGTTTTGGAGTTCTATTACATGATTAAATAGCTGGGGCTCTTACTGTCAGTTTTGAAAACTTCAGATGGATCTTCTTTTCGGTTGCCAAGTTGAGCAGTTTTAATTTATACCATGCACACTTCATGGAAGAAAAGAAAGGAAGCTGAAATGCATAATGGACCCTAGAGGCACTTGTTCTCTTGTCATGTTATGTAGTTCTCTCCATCTAGTTATGCCAGATGTTTTATGTTTTATAAATATGTAGAATACATTAGGAAAAATAGCCACAAGCCATGCAGAGAATGGTGATTTTAAGTGAGAATTTTAAAAAATGACAAAATGGTCTCGTTATCTGAGCTGGCATTTCCCTCCGATGTTGTGGTTTTTGTGTAAATACCTGCACACGAATTGGCAGTAGTTGACAGGCTGAATGTGGGAGGCACTCCTTTTCCTGTGGTTATACAAACCGAACTACCAAAACATGCAGAGCATTCTGATCAGCTACCATGCTTCAGGAAAAGTTTCACTAAATCCTTAGATTGTTACACCAGTAACAACCCGAAGAGCATAATCAGTCCCCTCTTTTTCTGTGTTTCTCCATTCTTGTATGCATTACTGCGTCTGCAGCCTCTACTGGTGATGGAGCCTCTCGGCTCGAGCAAGAATCTCTCCTTCACCATTCTCAACGGGCAGGTGGAGGAAACCGCCCCAGAGTTCTCCAGATTCAAGCGGCACTACTGTCTTTCCTGGGGGAGCCTGGCAGGAGCGCTGAGGAGGCTCACGCAGGTACTGCGGGAGTATGCCGTGCCCGTGGCTGTGGTGAGCGGGCCAAGGATGGCGGAGCTGGCTCAGGGCGGAGAGCTTGATGGAGGAGGGCTCAGCTCGGGCGACCTCATCTCCACTCTGCTGAACCAGGAGGAGGTGTGGGAGATAGTGCGACGCCCTGGCCAGCGCTACAGGGGGGAGGGCGGGACAGAGGCGGCTGCCGTAGCAATTCAAACCTCTTGGAGATGCTACCGTGTCCGATCCGCCTACCTGCGCTACCGGCGGCAAAAGTGGGCGGCCGGTGTCATCGCAATCTCCTGGCTACTGCATGCTCAGATGGCACGCACAAGAAAGGCCCTGCAGGCATCTCGGCAGAGACACCTGGAGAATTTCCGCAGCAGGGCTGAGGTGAGCTGAGCCGGCAGCTGTCATCTCTCTTTCTCCATCTCTGTGTCTCTCTTTTTCCCTCTCTTTCCTCTTCCTGACATCCCCCGCTTCAGCGCTCGCACAGCTCCCGTCCCCGCCACCCCCTTCCTGCGATCTCTCTCCCATTAAAAAAAGATTCCTTTGTCGCCTTGCAGGGATTCAGGGTCACCAGCGACAAAACAAATATTGGGAAGAAGGAGCCTCGAGATCTTTTTTGATCTGGCTGTCAGAAAATCAGTTTCGATCTCTGTCTTCCGATGTGTCTGAAGCAGAGAAATATATAGACTTACCTTTGTGGCAGTTTTCATTCGGTAAAAAGAAAAACAATACAGCTTCCCCTTGTCTGTGCCCTGTCATCTTTTGGTAACGTCTTTATAAACGCAGACAGCCTTGTAATTAGTGCTCACAACTTCGGTTCTGTTTGCCTTCACTCTGTTTTTTTTTGTGCTTTAAACATTCATATTCTGTTAATTAAACCCCCTAATCTTCCCCTGCCAGTAGCATCATGTAGCCGGCTAATTGAATTAATTGGGGGGAAGATGTTTCTAAGTATGTAATTAATTTAATTAATATAATTTATGCTTGGCTTGTTTCTGTTAAAGCAAGTAAAAAAGACAAGCTTGACTCCCCTTTTTTTTTTTGCCTTCCAAGCCTTGACTTGATGAATGTGTGCGCAGTCCTGTCACTGATCAATGTTTGTCTTGATTTCTAGCATCTGGCAGCCAACTGGAAACACATCAGGTCTTCCAGGAGGAGTATTATCCACATCCCGTCATTAGGTACCTCTCTCTCCATCAGCCCGCGCTATTACCCCGCTGTATTACGGCGGCGTTATTGAGTTCAGGGAGGGCCTCTTGTCTTATTCAAATTGGTCTCGGCAGGAAAATGTTCTCGAGATGATGAGAGTAATAACACAGGGGAGCCCTGCGCTTCAAACGCCATTTAATTTGGAGATTAAGCAAATAAAAAGTCATTACAGAGGGCCGCTTACACGCAGGCTGAGGTGATTTGCCTGTAATTCACTTTCATTTATAGGAAATGAACTATAAAGCATTCGGATTTTCTTTCGTGTCTTTATTGTATGTGGATATTTTTTTCCCTGCTTCCGTCATTATTATTTATTATCGCTATCCAGCGTCAGGCCAGGGCTCTGGTCTCTTCCACCTCTTGCAGCGCGTGCTAGAATGTCTGAGGCCTGGGGTCTCCGCAGCCCCACCACGGCACGCGGAGAACAGCGGGCTCTGTGCATCTGCACCTCGTGTTTGTGCGCTGGCTTTAATCAAATGTGCAGTCAAAATGATAAGCTACATTGTCTGAAATTATTTAGATCTAATTACGAGCAGATGGGATGCTTTATTTGCACTTAGGGCGGCTGAGCGAAAGGAAATGCTGTGTGAACAAGAATAATTAGGAAGTTGAATAGTGGCGTTTTTTTGTGCTTAAATAATCCGCACTTTCATGCTAATTAGCAGTAATGTAATTATTTAATTACATTTATGCATTTTAAACAGCAGCTCCTTTTTAGAGCTCTGAGGTCCTGGAAGTGAAACAGATTTATTATTTTGTTTTTGCACGTTTAGTTATTCAGTTGTGTTGCAACACTGCAGCAGTGCTAATGACAAATTGTCATTACCTGCCGTGAGTTTTTCAGTCATGGAGACTGCACACAGGGATGCCGTGGGAAGCACACAGGCTTAATTAGACTTAACTAAACTTCAGAACCCCTCTTTGTGCTCATTAACACATATTTATGCCTCTGAATGCAGTCTTGTATCTGATGCTCAGATTTAACCTTCAAAATATTGGTAAGCAAGCCTGATGAGAGCAAAAATAATGTTAGTACTTGTTTTAATTATCTGGTGAAGAAGAATGATACTTCTTAACCTCCCCCGCAGATCAGAACCAAGGCTCTTGCTTTCTGATTGCATTGTGAAATAGTGAATAGTTTTATAATTGCACTGCTGATGAGGCAGCATATTCTAGATAACAATCTGTTTTTCTCTTTGCTTGCCAATTGAACTGCGCATCAGTGCTAAAAGACTTAATAAAGCAGAGACCTCTCCACAGTATGCACTGAAATCATTGTGCACAATTCAGGCAGATGAACAGAGTGCCTGGCAGGCTGGGGTTATGGATAGCTCAGCCTGTAATAGTTCCACCAAACAGGCTGGGATTTATGAAAGAGAAACAGAATAATGTCAAGGCAATTAATGGAGTTTTCACTCAGTGGAACAAGTATGCAGAAACTGGTATTTAATTATAATGGATAAGAAGTCTAAATTCAACAGAAACAGCAGAGATATGTTCTTGTGAGAAGAGAATGTGTTACGCAGTACTCTGGGGCTCACAGACCAGTGAACAGGCACATGGTTGTCCAGGTTCTAAGAGTATTGTTGCCAGCGGTGGCTGCACATGCTACTAGCCTGTGACTTGCGCAGCAGACTCTCTGTTGTTCTCTGTTTCTTCAGAATGCAACATCGTGCCCAACTGACTGTTGTAGATTCCGGGTGTTTCGTAGTTGTCCCTATGCAGATTCCTCAGCTGGTTGCTCTGCTCTGGTTGACAGGGCGCTCTCAGCCTCTGCGCTTCAGCCTGAAGGACCTGGACATGCAGCAGGGCACACAGCTGGGCCGGCTGTGTGATGTGCGAGGTAGGAGCTGCCGCATCGTGCCTGTGATCCCCGCGCAGCTCGCTCTCAGCCAGAGTACCAGCCGACCTTCCTGCTGCTGCATCCCACACCCTCTGTCCACGGGTGCAGAGCCCTGCTGTGCCATGTATATGGGCAAAGAAGACCTGTCCAGCTCTCCCGGGCCGTGGCATCTGAATCACCCTGTAGTCTGTGACCAGGCCCATTGGGATGCACAGCTGCAGAATACCACAGTCTTCTGTGCTGTGCTTTGCTTACATTTTTCTGTGTATTTAAAGCATAGGATGCAAAGAAATTCAGGTTTATTTTGCCATTTCCTCTTAATTGTGTAAGCTTTTGGTGCGCTTCTCGTCAGAAGCGCTCATCTCTTTGTTTTTAGTAGCAATTGAAAGAAAGTGACTTTCATGGGAAAAGAATCTCTCGTTTGTATCTGTTAAACACTCTGCAATTGACAGATCCCTGATTGAGTATTGACTGCATATTGATCATGGTTATCTAACAGGCTATTATCAGGTTATTGGAGGCCATCTTTTTCAGAAATGTAATCATTTGCTTTATTGAGAGGCTTGGGTAAAGTAACACACACCAAATTGTCACTACGTGCAGTATCTACACTTTTAACAGGAGTGTAGAGTGGGAGCTTATTTGTATCAAGGCAAGTGCACTGTAATAAATAGAAAACCTTGGTGGCAAAAAGTCTTTTTTATTCTGCAAGTAAATTGGAATTTATTACTACTAGTGTGATGGATTTGCTTCAAAGGCTGTGCCTTAGTAAACAGATTCCTACAGAGTCATTTATCCACTCCTGAAAATTTGCATAGAAAGGAAAGCAGTTTCTTTCTCGAACACCAGCTATGGGTCATGCGTGGCTGTGTCAGTACTGCCTGTGCCTTTTCTCTGTTTCAGATGAGAATGTGGAGGTGATCTACGTGTCTCCTGTAGCGCTGGGAGAGGAGATGCAGCAGTATTACTCCCGGCTGCTGGGGCTGCAGGGGGCTGTGACCAAGGCCGAGCCGGGGGACACCCCCACTCCCTCCGTTCAGCGCTTCACCATCCTCACCCCAGACGCCCTCGGCTACTTCCCAGTAAGAGCCCAGCCAACTATAAGATAGCATCACACAACACATGGCAACTCCGCAGTGCTCAAACTCGCATTATGACAGAGTTTGAGAATTTCTTATTATCCATCTACCCACTTTCTAATCGCTTCATCCAATTTAGGGTTGTGGGGAGCCAGAGATTTGGTGCCAAATTCTTAATAATAATATAAATAATAATAATAATAATCTGAGGCACCACCTAGTGGTTAGATACAGCTCCTCCAATGTCAAAAGTAGTGTTTTGTCCAAATTTAATATAATTTGAAGCATTACAGTATATCTAAATCCATTATAATTGAAGAAATATTTCTAGATTCTTTCTCCTCCTTCTATGGAAATGATTTTATAATGAAGATATCAAGCATGCATGTGCCCAAACAGGCAGGCTTCTGTAGCACCTTTTGTACCGCACTTAATTGTGATTACAGCCCTTCAGCTCTCTCGCCTTGATATAGGGGGCGCCAGAGGTGTTTCTTGTACAGGATGTCTGAGTGAGTCTGCTGACTCTGACGATTCCATTTAGAGAGTTTGTCCATATATAAATGTTGAAATCACCATTTTAGATGGGTTCTAAATCAACTTTCAAAAGCAGGACAATATAAAAAAATAATGCTAAACAAACACATTTTCAGAACATAAGGATGGAGGAAAGTTGAGGAGGAGGCTGTTCCTCAGTGCTTTGTGCTTGCACCCTTCAGGGCCCGGCTTCCAGAGCTCACTGATCGAATTCATTTGGTTTCATAGGTTTTGCTATTTCAGTTGACTTGGATTAGCAAACACTTGTAAGAAAGAGATTTAAATAAAATAGAAGTGAACCCTTTGTGTACTTTTGGAGTATTTTTTGCATGTGGAAGTATGTCTTTCGTGAAAAGCAGTGCAGCAGAGTAAAACTGTTAAATCCCTGCACTGTGAGTCATTTGTTCTTGATGCCATGTGTCTAAAAGCACATCTTTTTTATGAAGCTGGTGTAAACCAGCTGCTTTGAGCAAATTAAAAAAAAGGTTTATTATTTACAGGTTTATATTTGCAGGAATCGGCGTCTTAAAACTCGAAGGAGGACCAGCCTAATACCTGGAGATGCTTTCGGTTTTTAAGCCATGTTTAAAAAATTACCAACTGAGCAAACTGCAGCGATTCCATCTTCAATCTAACTGTTTTATTAAGGGTGTATCAATATTGTGATAGCGGCCTTTGACTGATTCAGCAAAAGAGGAGAGAAATGGCTTTATTTATTGCCGTGTGTTTTATGCTTGGCATTTCCTCCGAGTCGACGTTTGGCAAGTGAGGAGTTCTTCTTCTTCATTTTTCCTATTGATTTTCTAGATGCTTTGATGTTAAACTATGCCAGAAGTGTCACTGAGATGAATCACTGTTAGCCAAGGCTGGCAGCATCTTTCGCGAGTGACAGAAGGATAATTCCGCGTGGATCAAATAAATACAGATGTGAAGTAATTAGTTGTATTCCCAAGGAGCCCATTGCCGACGCGCTAAAGATGTGAAGGATTGGGCAGCCTCCCACCAGCAGCTTTTATCAATTTAAAATGCTCAAGTACAGGATAGGTCACAACCCAGCCGGCTATTAATAATGTATCTGTTGTGTGTACAACATAATAAATTAGACCCTAGAATGGGTGCTGAAAAGGACAACTATAATTCTCCTAACGGTGGGGGGGGAATCTGTTGCCTTTTCCCTTTTTCTTCTTTGCAGACCCATAGCATGTGCCTTTCCACACTGCTGAAGTACAGCCCGCGGACGCTGAGGCGCATTAAGAACCTGATCCGAGGAAAGCCCGCCTATATCGTCGGGGGGGCCCTGCACGCAGATGACCTGGACGTAGCGGACACTCTGGGGGTGCCGATTCTGGGCCCCGAGCCCGCGCTGGCCGAGCTGTATAGCACCAAGTCCGGCAGCAGGAGAGTGTTTTCCAGCGCCGGAGTTGCCCTTCCGCCAGGTCACGGCGACATCTACACCCTGCAGCAGGTCAGCCCAGCCAGGGCTCAGGGGCTGGGAATGGGAGCTCATTCCACTTGACCGTGGCAAATCTTCTCCACCCTGCGCTTTTAAAAGAAAGTTTCATTTGCAAATCTTCCAGATGCAAACTGTGTCATTTATGTAATAATTTCTCACTGCAAAAAATATAGATATATTTTACTCTTGCAGGCTATAATACAATGAATGTGCCAGTTCTTAAAACTGCAGCTTTAAAAGTCATGCAGCTACAGGACAAAGCTGGCATTACTTCCTTTCTGGCGATTTGAAGTGGCAGTCATATTTCGAAATATTTAAAAATCTTTTGAAAATTATTTTTTATGAAAAGAAACTGTTGTGAAACTCTTAGATACTTACTGCATGCTTTCTGTGCAGTCCTTTCAGTCTCTAATTTTGCACAGAATTTGCTTAATGAAGTTTAAACTAAGTCTCAGCGTGATATTCTTTTTTGTAAGGATGATACATCTTAGAGTTGTCAATTCATAGGTTTGCTGAGATGCTTCTAATCTTTTTATTGTCCTCCTTCAGTTGTACGATGCTCTGAGTCAACTGATTACTGACCACCTGGAGGTCGAGCGCTGGCTATTGAAGGTGGACAGTGAGTTTGGCGGCAGGGGTACAGCTTTCTGTGATGTCTCCCACATGAGCTGCTATGCCTGGGCACTGAAGGAGTTCAGACGGTACGGGCCAGATCGCTGGAGCCACGCCTGGGCCCAGGTCAGGAGTCCACCAAACATCCCGAAACATTTATTCACTTCTCTGAATAAATGAGCTTCACTGGTGCACAGACCTGCATTGCCTGAGTGAGCAACAGAGCGGAAATCTTACCTTAATCAGTCAAAACAGCATCATGGGATACAAGCAAACTGAGAAGCGTGAAGTTATTCATCTTTTTTATTCTTTAGGTGAGGGAAGCGATAAGACATTTAACCAATTTAACATCACTCCTCAGGCACTGTGTGATCTGTGTTCAATATGGGTCGCTATTGCAGATTTGCATTTGATGCGGATAATATTAGCCCTGACTAATATTGTCTCACTCTTTATACATTATGACCCTCATGTCATGTGTTCCTGTTTACGGATTTCCACTTTATCATATTCAAAAGGGGGCAAGAATGAGGTAATCCCAGGGCTATAATTCTCTGTCACTTAGCGTAGGAATGCATCCATACCAGCTTGTCCGCTGTGGTTTGCAAACTGCAGCATACTCCAGTGTTGTGCATTATCAGAGGTTTTTTTTTCAATGGCAAATACAATGTGATATCTACATACAAGGCAACCAGATCTGAAACATATGTTGACAGGTTATTAAAAATATCAGTGCCTTTGAGGAAAGACGTTAATTCTCCCACACAGACCAGTGTGTGTGTGTTTTTTCATCTGCAGTTTTAGTGGAGAGAGGCATGAGATGAAGGCTCGTGCTTCACATAAACCTTAGTTTACAGAAACTCTGTCTTTACCTTCACCTTTGCCAAGTCAAATTCTTAACATACTTTTAATAATTATAGACGTTATTTATAATTATAATAGTTCATTATAATTCTAAACTAGTTAACTATAAAAAAATGTACAGACCCTTGCCTCATTAACACAAGAACATAACAATTATGACAAAATGCAAAGCACAAAGTAGAGCAGGCACAACCGCCTGTGTGTTTTGGTGCATTATGCAAGGATAGATGCATATTCCGAGGGGAAAGAAGCAATTCCATTATGTGTGGGGATGTTAGTTTTGATGTGACAGTGCTATTTACAATCCTGTTTGGTTTGGACTCCATTGTGCATATTAAATCTAGAGAAACACAATGTAGCCTACTGTGCGTGTTTATTGTATTAGTTAAATATAGATATTTTATTGGTTGGTTATAACATTGGGCCTTAGAAATTAGAAAAAGGATCCTTTATTATAAGGCCTGTTGGAGGCAGGCTGAGATATTGCAATCATGTGAATATTGAAAATGGAATTGTGATTGGTATATTTTGAAAAACACATTTAATTGTCCTAAAGCTGGTGATTTAAAATTTAAAATTTGAAGCCTCTGTTTTACCCTTTATTTAAACCTGCTTCAGGAAGTAATGTAAAGTGTGACGACACCCTTCCTAAAATTTGCTATTGTCCCTTTTAAAAAAGAAGCATATGTGCAAGCAGTTAGCGTTGCATTGATTTAATATGCTTGTAATCAGTACGTACAGCTTCAGGCCTGCCGTGTTAATTTTTCATACGCTTACAAAGTAGCCTTTGATTTTCTGTCACGCGTTAATTACAGTGTTTTGCCATTAAAAAGGGGAGCTTTGTGTAAACTAATTACAAGGTAATCATTGTGTGCTGCGAGCACGCTGTTTTCACCTTTTATTTTATTTTGAAATACGTAACATCTTGCAGTCTGGAGCTGCTATACCTTCCAGCTATTAGCTCTCGCTAATTCATAGTGTTATTCTGTTTAAGATCAGGGCTGTAATTGTTGTGGTATTGGTGCTGTTAATTACTGGAGTAAACGGTTGAACCGAAGCCAAGGCCTATTGTAGTGGGGTTTGAATGGTGTTTTTACCATCTGGGGCCGCGTGGAGAGGCGAGTGAGAGACAGAACAGCAGCAAGGCCCGGACCAGGAGTTCAGACCCTCAGGGCACAGGGGCCATATGGAGCTGGCACTCGAACTTTGGCTGTATTGTATACCTTGCTGTTTTAATCAATGGCAAGCCTGTTCAGAGAATTGGAGAACAGAGGTTATTTCTCAGTGTTGTCGTTCTCTAAAACCATTCTTTCATTGCATGCAAGTGCCTCCCTGTGACCCGTATTAATGCTGGCTACTTTCAATTTTCATTCTTCTGCAAACAAAAGAGTAAGATATCCCCACACAACAGTAGTCGACACTATAGTCAAAACTTCCAACTTCTTGTCTTCCAAACCTGTAGACTATTAAAAGGTGGTGAACTTTGATTTTGTTATTGTTCACTGTTATTTAAGAGTATAATTGTGTAAAGTTATTATTGCCATAAACATCCCCATTTTATATATTTTTTTACTACAGTTATTTTGAAGCTGCACATTAGTGCCTTAATATTCTGACAAAGTCTTGTAAGGATGTATTCATGTTTTGAAAAGTTACTGTTCACTTTTTGTAGCACATCAGTGTCTGCCCCCCAATTCTTTTCCTTCCTATCTGTTATTTAATTCCTCTCTCTAAAGCAGTCAGACCCCAAGAGCCTTTCCCAAATTGTGCCTATGACAGAGAGACAGCTCTGCAACCCTGGAGTGTGTATGTTTGCAGGCTCACCAAAAAAGATCCCCCTGCTATTCGGCAGGCTGTGTGCATATTGTTTAATTATTGACTGTGCTGTGGCTCAGCGTGAGGAGGCACAGAGAAGAATACAGACCCCCATGTGGTCCTAAAACAGCACAGTTGCTCAGCGGCAGCTGAGAAGTGCAGAGGAGTGAGGTTTTTGAGAGTACCTCTTGTTGCAGGCAAGTGGCTATTTGGTGAGTATGTCGCTGAAGCCCTGAAGCACATGGCTCAGTGCTGAAGCAGAGGGCCTGGGGTGACCCTGCCTGTTACAGGCTTAGTCACGAGGGCCAGTGTGTGTGTGTTCAGGAGCAGATATCTCTACAACAGACCCATACAGTTCTCCCCCTCTTTACTGACTGCATACAACCCCTCCCCATGCACACACACAGCCGCCACAATGGATCATTAGGTACAACAGAAAATTGCACTTAATAGCATCAACAGATGGAGCGGAGATTTTTTTTTTAAATTGTGTTTGCACAAACAAAATTAAAGCATTCCGTGCGAGGTGTGTAATGGCTGGTTATTTAATGTTACTGGTCGTGTTTACCATTTTCACAATAAGGTTAATAAAATCGAATCAGACGCAACCCCCCCAGTGTTTCTTTATTTGAAACGCTGGCTGGTCAAAACTATTTTTTTTTTATTCTGTCGCTTACATAAGTAAACCTCCTCAGAGTAGCTGCTATTTCCTCTTCTTCTCTTTTGTTTCAGCTCTGCCTGTTGTAGCTCTCCTCTGCTCTTTGTCCTTATTTCCTCTTTTTTTCCTTCGTCTCCTGACTCACATCCAAGCCATAAGAGTGATTTCTCAGGGGCGCCGCTTATTTCCGCTGTAGGTACCTCTAGTTCCTCCAGAGCAGTTGGCAGGGACACTGCTCTGTTCACACATGTATCTGTTATGTGAAGTTTATAGTTTATGTGTTACAGGACTAAAATTCATTGGTGTTTGTTAATTCATTAGTTGACTCTAAATATTGGACATATGTCAAACAACAAATTTATATGTGGCGTACAGTATGGTGAGACCGCTCTTATCTGAGTGACAAATCAAACGATGCTTCACGCATTCAGTGTGTTTGAGTGCAGAAGAAATGTGCGCTCTCCCCAAATTGAGCTCGGCTCTTCAGCGAAGTCAATTGAAGCAGGAATCCGCTTAAGGTACAAAAACGCGGGTTTGCTGAAATAAATAAATGGTAAAATTCCAGTTTTGGTCATTTGATTATTTGCGGCCACACTGTGATAAGTTTTTATGAGCGTGGCTACCGTTCCATTAAAGCAACAACAGTTTTCTTACACTTTTTCCCGCTCCATTGTGTGCTCTATGGCTTGTGCAGGAGGGGAAATCACCATCCAGCGTTTGACCTCAGCTCTGACAGTACTTTAATATGATGGCTACTTTGTGACTGGAATTTCAACATCCACTCTCCCTGAGCATAGAATCTGGAGGAATATGACAGAATAAAGTAAACTGTGTTGTATCGTAAATGTAAGGTCTGTCAGTTGTACTTCTGCAATTGCAAATTCCAATTACAGATCTATAGGGAAGGTGGTCAGAGCAGGGTGGCCCTCATGAAGAGCAGGAGGATGATGAAAAGGGTTTTTATGAGTTCCGATTAATTTGATTCCATTGCAATTCATTGTAATTGTACCATTGGTACAGTTGTTCTCGGTGTGTCTGCCACCACAAGTGGGGTGATTCAAGGCTGGACTCAGCTGACTCTGTCCCACTTCCTTCATTCTCATAGCGCCTCCGGCCTGAGAAGCAGGCCGACAGCAGCTATTTGTGACCAGCAGCCAGAGAAAAAGGACGGGGCAGAAGCTGTAATTTAGCAATTAACAGCATAATTAAGTGCTGAAGCCATTATGGCATTTTCTAGTTACAGAAACAAGAGCTGCATTGATCAGCGGGATTGCGAGTCGGACCTTGATTGACTGGCTGATCGATCGGTTTGCACATGCATTCATCTGCGACAGGAGACGAGGAGGCTGGAACTTTGGGCCAGGTGGTGCAGTTTCCCCTCCGATGTTCTTGGGCCCTCAGGCACCTTGCCTGACATGCCTATAATGTGCCTCCACATTAAGTCTGGAGCTATCAGTCTCACCTCTCTCTCCCAAGTGCCAGGCACACTTCAGTTTCTGATGCTGCAGAGCAGCTCAGAGGCCTAATGACACTACTGAAATTTTAAATAACCTCCTAAATTCCCTAATAATAAATGCTGGCACCAGTACTTCACCATTTTTCCAGAGCACTGATCCAGAATTTGTTTGTTGTTTTTTGTTTTTAAAATGTACTGATAGATTTTTATTAATTAATTAATCATTATGAACTATTATTATTATTTTTCTAGCAAATGGTCCTAAGAGATAGCCATACTGTGGTCCAACTGTTGAAATTTTGCAGTTAAAATTTTGATTAGTAAAAATATATAAATTAAAAATAACAAAATAATAAAAAATAAAAGATTGTTGTTTAGATTTTTATAAAATTAGTATTTTTCAAATTTTACAATTGACAGTAAATACATACTGGTATAGTAACAAAACCTATTCCTGCTGTATTCTGTAGACAAGGGGCTTTAACTGACATTTAACACTGAACATGCACAGTACCCAAACTCTAGACATTCTACTACTCTCCTTCATTCAGTAGAAATAAAACTCTGTACTTTCTGATGCCCTTTCCTCTCCTCACACTTTACTCTTGAGTTACGTCTTAAAAACTAAATTACCACACAGTGAAGATATCTTGGATATTGTCATAACCTGTTACCCTTCTGCTACTTGTTTTCATGCAGCGTTGAGCTACTGGCTGCTCTGTCATGCAGAAAGGGAGCAGGGAAGGGAGCACTACCTTGCGCTCAGCGAGGGGCCGCTGGGGTGTGCTTTAACAGTGTGGGTGTCATGTGTCAGCTGATGCCTGCCTTCTCCACAGGAGCAGGTCCTGCTGAAGGTCCAGGAGGAGCTGCCCAGCCTACTGGCTCGCCACGCCCAGCCCGTCAACACTTCGCACTACCCCACGTGGGACAACTTCCTGCAGCACTTCCTCCGAGAGGGTAACCCGCACCTTCCTCCTAGGGTGCTTCCAAAAGTTATCTGCAGCTCATTCTAAGTCTTCGGCAGTTTTTAAAAGGGCCATGTGATCCACCTAGTACTATAACGCAAAGGAGAAAGTTCACCTCTTTCGTAGACTTTCTGCCATTAACATCATGAATAAAGTATTACAGTAAATCGCAGCATCCTTGTATGATTTTCTCATTAGGAGTAAAACAGGCATGATGTGAGTGGAAAGGGAAAACCTTTAACAATCAGGCCCATAGTATGATTGTACCATACTATAATGGTCCCATTGGCCCGTAGTTGATTCTATCAAAGAACATCTTCCAATAGTACTAAACTAGTTTTCCTATGAAGATTTTTTTATATGGCTTTGAGTTCTTTTTTGAAGTTGTTCTGATTGCTCAACCTCACCTGCTGGTTGTTGAAGAAAGGCTTTGTAAATCTCCCTTTGAAAGTCACTTTCTTCTGTGTGGTGCTGTAGTGTTAATATGCGCACATTATATTTCTGTGTACAGTACATATCCCTGTGTGTTTCTAATTAAGCACTGGCTGTGTTTAATGTTGCTGATTGTACAGATCAATTCATTCTGTTGCAGTGCTGTGGCAGCAGGATGCTTAATTATTAATCAGATTGTAGAGATGATCGTTTTAAACAGTGAGGGAGCTGGTAGGAGCAAAGTTCCACAGGGGTCATAGGCAGAATTGAACTACTGATGTCTATACTCTGTCTCTCTTTCTGTCTGTGTGGCTTTGACTATGCATGTCTGTCTGTTTTTGGCTTTTCTGGACCAGGTGGGGTAGTGGAAGCCTACCCTCCATCTGACAGCGTGACCTGCCTGACAGTGGACATGCTGATCGAGCCCAATGGGGAGGTGTCTATGCTGTCCTGTGGGGACCAAATCCATGGTTCCAGTGTGTTGAAGGCTATGGGTTCCTCCGTCCCACAGGCATCTGTCTGTCCTGACACCCTGCATGCCATCTGCACCCACATCGCCCGAGCCTGCCATCAGCGTGGGGTCATTGGCCACTTCTCTGTTGACCTGGCCACCTTCCTGCATCCCCGCACCCTTGAACAGCAGGTGAGCCACCCCCATCAGCCCCACATCAGTTGGAGACGAGCTAATGAACAAACACGTACAGAGCCCTACTGTTGAAAAGCGAGCAGCATCGATTCGAATATAGAAGGCCAGAGCGAAAACAGAAAAATGGAGCTGGCGCAGGCACAGAGGCATTTGGTCCCTTGGCCTCTTGCATCCTTCAGGGCCTGACACTCAAGGCGAAGATGTGAAAGTACTGTGAAATTGCCGGACTGTTGCTGGCACATCATACTCAGCCCATCTTCTGCTGCCCCCTCCTGGGACAGTGTTCTGCAGGACTTCCTCAGGCGAGCTAAACTGCACCTGTCTCACAGGGCGCTTCATAAGACCATTTTAACTTCTGGCTAAATCTTTTTTTTTCTGGTTAAATCAATTAAAACAACTTAGATATAAAACTCCTAGTCATGCTGGAATAATTCCACTGTACTTGGGGGATGCTCATTTTTATGTGGCAGGGGTCTGCTGATCCTCCATACTCCCTGTCTTCCCCAGGGGGACTGGGCAGGAGAGAGTGAGAGAGAAAGAAGTGGAAATAGCAGAGGAGCCTTATCAAATAAACTGCCAGGTCTTATTGTGTCAATAAACTAATCCTCCTTTTAAGGCTTGTCCTCTGACCCCGTGGCGGTCGGCCTCTGCAGGCATCTCTGGCAGTGGGGGGCGAGAGGTCAGCCTGAATCTACTGCCTCAGTCGTCAGATTTAATACACTTCATCGGGTTGACACAGTAACAGAGACGTTTGGATAACTGTCCAGTGACAAGAATCTTATTTCTGTTTTGTAATGCCCTGCCACATTATAATGGTAGAATGCATTTGTTTTGTAACAAACAGCAGCAACATCCCGATCTGTAAATCAAAACAGACACAAAACATCTCATACTCAACATAGGACTCACCTGCTCTATCATACAGATGGCTGACATTTCCAATGTAAGAAAAACAGGCAGGTAGAAATTGCACAGTCCCGCAGTTTTGTTGGACTGTTTGTTGCGTGTTTTATTCTAGCAGTACTGGTGTGAGTTTTTTGGTTCAACCTGCTGGTTTGATAATGGTTTGATAAGAGGAGTGAATGTTTAGACTGTGACTCCCTGTAACAGCACCTTCAACTGAGATTAAGTCATTGCAAACCTTTGCTCTTGGCTTACCCTACATTTCTCTTTATGTGTATATGTGTAACACAGGCACTTTATAGACTGAATGCACTATGATGAACAATTTTTATATACAGGAGCAGCAAGCTTGAAGAAGGAAAATCTGAGAAGTGAGTTAAGTGAATGTTGAAGCTCTGGGGTTTTTCAGAGAAGACCCCCCCTCCCACACCTCTTCTCTCTCTTTTCCTGTAGTCACATGCTGATTTCCTCTCCAGAGCAGATACACAAGCTCACAATGGCTCCCTCGTGACTAACACTGCAAACCCATTGAATTAATGAATTGGCGTCTATTAGGGAAACTGCTGAAACGTGGCCATAAACTGGCTTTCAGATGATATCAGATCCCGCTCGTGTTACTTGACAACCTGGGTCTTACAGTGTCTGCAGTGATGGGGAATGTTTCCCTGGAAAGCCTACAGCCCCCAGTACCAGAACGCCGGAAGAGCTGGGCCAACAGCCCGTGTTTCTCTGACGAGCTGCGTGAACTGAGCAGTGGGGGTCTAACTGATCGACTCTCGGAGTGTCTTGCACCATGGGCGGCTGTTTGCATTGTGCCGCTACAGAAGCTGTTGCTTTGAAGATGTCAAAGCTTTACCCTGTGCATTTAAATTGACAAGACACCCTTAATGTACCAGAGGACGGACACCGTGTGTGGTTGATTAACAGGCAGTCACTGCCAAGAATGGAATAAATAGCTTCTGAAGGAAAGGGGCCTACAGAAAACTTTGAAGAGTGGAGGTGTTACTGTGAGACTTGGAGTCCCTTCTAAATTTTGTTTAAATTCTCATTTGAACTATCTTTGATTTTGTAAGGTTCTTATTGAGAGGCTGAATAGAACAAAATGTAGTTATTGATATAATAATTCTGTGCAAAACTTGTTCTACTGACTGACAGCTTATTAATTCCCATATTTTGCAACCATGCTTGCTATCTTTGGAGCTACTGGTTATTAGGCCTGGCGACTTTTTGAGCTCTGCCATTCTTCACTTGACTGTGAGCATTGAATTTTGAGCTGCACTTCTAACATTTTCCACTAGAGGGCAGCATGATCTGGATGCTGATTAGGTTGAAGTTGAGTATGGTATGCTTGTTCAGTCATTTAGATTTAAAATGTACAGAATATCCCCATCATAAATAAAACGTAGAGAAAATCTATGAATGTGTTTTAATTGTTTTCAAAGTACAGAATGTAATAGAACATTTATTTTGCCAGACATGCTGACTTATTGCTTCAATTGGAACACCAAGGTCCTGATGGGTTCTTCCCCCAACCCCTGAGGTACTGTTTCTGGTAAAGCACAGTATGAAAAGATCCTGTGCACACAGAAGACAGATGGACATGTTGGTTGAGGGGCTGTCCTGAGAGATGTGTATGTGGAGTAGTTGAGCTGCGTGTATTGTAGCTGAGGTTCATCCACTCCTGGCTGGAGCTGAGTGTGTCCGTCACCCGTCCTTGTGGAGTGAGGTGTCCTGAGGCAGAGAGCGAGCCACCACACAGACAGACCGACAGACAGATAGGAACTGGAGCCTTTATTTAAGCAGTATGGAGGACTGTTAATCTGATCCCCTGTGAAGAAGCAGCATTAGAGCCTGTAATACTGCAGCAAAAGCCGCTTAGGACAAAGTGTTTTCCACTGTCCAGTCAGCCCTATAAAGCCCCTCTCCTCCTGGCTCTTTCCAATAGGTATTGCATCCAGCAGGCAACACTGGGGCTCTACCGCAGTCCCCCAGCCAATTAACCAATGTTCATTTGGTATAGTGTCCTGTATAGCTGAGTACCATCTCACTGCTGTCATACTTTACAGGTTACAGCAGGACACAGAACGTGTGTGGTGCTATACATGCGTCAAGTACAATAAATAATCAAGTTTCAGATACATGCAATCAAAATGATTAAAAACATATACAGATTGCATCAGGCCTAACAAGCCATTGATAAATGACTCAATACATTTTAAATCTAAAGCATTCATCACCGGGTTTCCAGCATTCATAGGAAGTTTTCAAGATGGCTTACAAGAAAAGAAAATTCTAATTAAAGCTTTGCTCTTTAGATTTTTTTAATTGTCATCTTCCACTTAAGCTAGACAGTAAAGGTGTACAAATATGCTGTGCCCTATTCTGAAGCCTGAAGTCATATTTAGTGTGCTCCAAGCAATTTTAAATGACATTTATTTTAGTCAGGAAATAGATTTATAATCCCTTCCATTCAAAAACAGGCATTTAAACAAAATAAAATACAAGATGTGTAGTCCGATATGTCATTGGACCCCTTAACGATGAGCGTAACTTATTTTTAAAAGCAGATTGTGCTTTTGAAATGATACAACATAAGCATTAAAAAAAACAAAACCTAAACAAGCACAAAGTGGTCCTGAGCCATTAACAGAAGGATCTGGATTACAAACCGCATCTCCCCATAACTGGAGCAGACAAGAGCGATGCATGTATACAAACGTGTCTGGGTTTGAACAGCCATTTACATTCAAACCTGTTGCTAAAAGCCGTCATTTTTTTTAAAAGAGAAAAGTGGGTCGCATGTGTTTGCCCTTGTATTCCTGCAGCACATTGTGAAGTAATGGAGCCTCAGCTGCTGGATTGTGGCTTTTAATGAAAAAGTGGACTATAGAAACAGGTACAATCCAGGCTCGTATTTCAGCTGGCTTTGTTATGTCTGACAATGAGGCAGGGCTGTTTGATTCTTACAGACTTGGTAAATGGCTCTCTGGAGCCTGCCCATCACCCAGCCTCGGGTATTAACTAGAACGGAGCGACCACGGGATCAATATGGTAATAAATCAGGGCAGCTCAGGGCTTTATTTCTGTTGATTCCCAGGTTAAAATTAAATTTAGACACAGTTGGCTTCTGTGCTGGGTTATGCAATCAGTTTGGTACGTTGTAGTTTGTTGTTTATGTACCGTTTTTCACATCACTGGTCAGTAATTCAGAGGTTCGTTTTTTTTTTCATTCAATACAACCAAAGGTTGCTTTCAGTACAGCAGCGGGGAATTGATACATTGCCTTCACAGATGGATCCCTTTATGGGTTTACAAACAAAATCAGCAACAGCCATCAGTGGGGAACAGTTTTTCCACTGGCACTGTGCATTACTTCAGGAAAGGAAAGTTTGTGTCATGTGAGCTACAGTAGATAACCATCAGCCTTAAAGCATGAGTTCCCACAGTGACAAATCATCTGTTACAAACCGCAGACTTTCTCTATGCCAGACACAATTCAGATACAGTTCAGGTATGTTAAGCATTAATATATTTTGTTGAGCATATGAGAATTAGCCTAAATTTGCCTTAAATTAGCCTAAAGTTATTGAGCTGTTAAAATTGCGGGGATACCATAATATCATCTCAGTAGAACACCTCTTCTTTTATTCATTGTGATTCTGGGGAGAAAAATAATAACCTTGCAAATGCAAATATAAGTAGGTGCTTCAAGATGAAAAGTGTGTTGATTGGACAATATAATATATATGGACAATCCGGCGTGGTGTATACCTAATCGGTACTAAACCACTACAGCCTTTTCTTACAATCCTGCCCCTTTTAAACCCGCTAAGTTTTAATTATGCCATCGATGGGCACACCCCAGTCCCGTAACTCAGGTGAGCCAGGCAGCACTGGCCCGTGCACAGCTCTGACGGATTCTGAATTTGAGCTGTAATAAAACGCAGTTAAACCAGCAGAGAACAGGGGTCAGCCAGCAGACTCCATCAGTAGCCATTTGCATTTGATGGCTGCAGCGTTTAGGTTGACAAATAGGATCTATGACTAGACGAGGGCCACCTGGCAGTTAGTTATTAAGAACTCCTTCAATTGTGATTTATTTCCATGCTCCTAAAGAGGGGGCATTGCTATTAAAATATTATTCAGAAATTAGCCCTGTTTTAGCATAAGGCCTTGACTGTGTGACCCCTTAATATCCTTATAATGATGCCATTTACCATGCGGATCTTGAGTCGCTCTCTTGCGAGTGTGTTGGAGAAAGCCAGTCTCCTTGCAGAATTCCTCCTGCTCCACACACTAACTCAGGTGAAGTGATGGAGTTGGGGTACAGGGACCACAGAGTCACAACGCCCTCCCCCACCTCACTGCTTTCAGATATTTATGACTTCATGGCTGTATTTTATTATCTATGGGGAGAAATTCCTTAAAATTCTGGCCTGCCAGCAGATTTGTGGGTCTTCTGTAAAGTTGTTTATTGAGGTGTTTATTTCAACCTTTGTTGTTCCTGTTGCCTGTTTGTTGCTTCATTATTACCTGGTATCAGAATTTACGTGTTAATCTGTCAAGTGTTGCACACATAATATAGTTAAGATGAATAGAATTAATTCAACTAAATACTAATAAATACTTTGTTTTACTTATGGCTTACCTTGTTCCATGTGGATAATTTCATTAGGAATAAAAGGTATGTATTTTTGTAAGTATTTTACTAAAAAGCTATTTAGAAAAGACTTCCACTTTAACAGTACTGTAGATCTTACTATTGCTACAACCTTCTCATTATGTTAACTACGCAAACCCTGGGAACCAAGTGTGCCCCATACTGCTTAAAGAATGTTAAGCAATACTTTAACTTCAGTGAGTAAAAGAAAAAAAAGCTTTGCTTTTTGACATATGCTTTATTGTTTAAAAATGATTTTACTCGGTTTGAGCTTTGGGAAATAATGTAAATCCAACGACCAACCGATAGTATCATACTGCATGTTGAAGTTTTAATAGAAACTTCATAATCCCATGCTACTTGATTCGAACAGACTATAAAGAGTCCTGTGTCTTGAGCTGTGGTACTGAGCATCACGAAGGGATTGGGCATGACATGGTAACAGCCATCACCCCCTGGTGTTTCCATAGGTATGGGCCATTGATCTGGACCTGTGCTACAGTGATCAACTTGCCATGACCCAGCTACTGCTGATGATGACCGGCGGACGTCTGGACTGCCGGGCAAGCTGTCTGGAGGTCCCCGCACCCCCAAGAGAAGTCCGTCCAGCACGGCGCCAGAGAGGGCCAGCAGCAGTGCAGGTGCTGTTGCCTTCATGCAGACAGCATCTCTCTTGCTACACTGCATCTCTCTTGCCTACAGAAAGTGTTTCTGAAGACTGGCTTCTCATCACCAGCTCAAATTAATTACGAATCATTACAGAGCCATTACCTTCTCCTGTGCGTAGCTGGGGTTAAACATGGAATGGCGTAATTACTGCTTATTACAGATAGGGGTCCCTCAGAAATGGTGAGGACTATACTTAATGAGGGCTTTGGGTTTATGTCTTTTAACAACCCCCTCCTCAAACCCAATTTCAAACGACATTACTTTTAAACGCCTGTATGGAAACACAAGTGGTACACCTAAACGTTGGGCATTGTTTAAAAAGTTCCTAGAATGATGCTTAGGGGATGTATACACACACGCCAATTCTAATACAGAGAAGGTGGTGAGCTTGCAGTGCTCCGGGGAGGGGGATGGGGGGCATGTAGTCATCAGCCACCATTCATTTTTGCAGTCGTTGTGGTGTGATTGGGATTGTCTGTAAGAAACACATGGTTACCTGGTTCGCTGGCAGGGTGATGAAGCTATGCATCCAAAAAAGCCATGTAGAAGGAAACACTGCAGAGCAATAAAGTGAAAGGGCTGCTGTGTCTTAGAGATCTAGGTTCATCCAGATAGGAATAGGCTCACAGTTTCATCCTAAAGTCTCCCCAGATTCCTTTTTTTTGAGTCATAGCCTTTGGAGTTATTATTTTTCAAAGTATGATTTGTACCCATACCCCTTTTTTTAGGGAAGTGTGTGTGTTTCATGAAAAATGTTCAGCTGAGGAGGTTATTTTGCATGTTTTGAATTTTTTATTTGTGTTAAATACTACTATTACTGTAATTATATATTAACCCAGTCGGTTTATGGATGCAGAATACATTATCATCCTGATAGATGAGCCTAAATAATCAACACATTAATAATTCATACTGCAATTCATTATGCATGTGTATGCATACATTTAGTGGCCACAATAAGCACCTCATCAACCTGATGCCAGGCCTTAAACAATGGGACTTCATTATTAGTGGCAAACACAAGTTTACGCTTGTTAAGCTGCTACTTGTATTATTTTATCAAACATTCATTTAGCTTCAGCCTCACGCTGAAACACACCAGATTTCGCAGGCTCCTTCTTTTTTAAAGTTAATGGTTTGAGCAGTGGCGGTTATTAACACTATGAATATTACAAACATGATTAAATCCCAGCCAGACACTTTTATTGTTATGTAAGGACACCAAGTATGTCAACTTAAATGTGTCACGATGAAAACTAATTACGGGATGTCTCTGGAGAAAGAGACCATTTCTTTGGTTGTGTTTATTTATTTTTCAAAGCACACATGCTTATGATTCACTTCGGATGTACAGTAAGTATTGGAGCACTTTTGACATTAATGAGTATTTTACCGCATTTTACTGCCTCTTCTCTGGGTGGCATCCTGCCCCTACCAGTAGCTGTGTTCTTCTGACCCTTGATGAGAGTACTTTTGTACTGCGCATAGGACTTTCTACTGCCTCACTAGGCCTATGTTTGTGTGTAAATTGATGTCCCCCCTTTTCTTTCTGCTTGTGTCTGTGGACTGTACTTTGCTGTGCTGTTAAGAGCCCTTTTGCAGATGAAGCAGTTGGAATTACTGTTCTCCAGCCTGGACTGTTTCTCGCTTCTTTCAGCTGTTCTGCTCACACTGTTCTGGATTGCAGGGATTTCAGCCTATTCTGGTTAGGGGGCAGCTTTGCAAAAAATAAAGACTTCTAACTTAAAAACTAAAATCAGATCTAAATTGATGACAAGTGTTAAAAGCATCTTTCCAGAGGAAATCTCTCTATATTAGTGTTGATTTTTTACCCCACTAGGAAAGGGGTGAAAAGATTCTGCTTGTCCCAGGGGATCCCCTAGAGATCTGAGTGCCTGGTTGGAAATCAGCTGTGATCTGATGTGGCGGCTCAGGCATTAGGCAGTATCCTGTTGATCCAAGAACCTCATCAGACTGGGTGAGAACAGAAGAAAGGAGAGAAATGACAATGCCCTGTTCCTACTTTTCCTTGGCTAGCCGGCCCCGGTGACCAGCCGCTACGTTGTGATGAGCAGCCGGCTGCGCCACACCAACTTGTCCATGGTGCACTACAGCGTGTTCTTCCAGATGTGCAAGGCGCAGGGCGTGGGCTTCGACATTAAGGTAACGGCTCCACTCTGCCCTCTCGCTGTGGAAAGACAGCACTTACCTGGCAGCCGCCATTAATTATTGACTGGGACGCAAGTTTCAAACAGCCACCTGGCTCAGACTCCCTCTCTCCTTATCTGTTGGATAAATATTTCATCAAACATGCACGCTACCCGACACTCCCCTGACGGCTTCACACAACTTTGGCATCTGTTTTGGACTCTGATACACAGGCTGGCTGGCAGAGGTCACCGGGCTGTCCTCTGTTAGCCTTGTATGCTCCCAGCTTTCCTTCACTGGGCTTTAAGGTTACCACCACCATAGGGCTGAAGCCTGATGACTGTTTAATCGGTACAGTTCCATTAAACAATGGTAAGGTTCCATTCTTATTTAGATTCACTGTCTGTTTTAGCTGAGATACACATACATCCACCTGTATAAAGGTATAAAAAAACATACGCATGTATTCCTGTAAAGAGGGACAAACTCTGTTCGGCATCACAATATGTCAAATAAAACATCTAATTTCATTTCACATGTTATTGTTCTCCAGGAAAGGCAAGGAAGCCTGTTTGTCCTGCACGACAGCAGTCGGAGATACAGTTTGGGGATGTTGTGAGTACTCCCTCTGTGTAACATCCAGTCAGCAGTGAACACTGAAACACAGGGATGTTTTGTTACCCATCATCCACTGTGGGCTTCAGAAACAAACGCAAGGGCAACAGGCAGGAACATGAACATTTTTAATGGGAGGGAATTGGGGGAATAAATTACCAGTTACTGGTGCTAGATGTGCTGCATGCTGTTGATACCCTCCTTTTTAACTAGTGTTACAAACACCCTAAAAATGTACAGACACGAAACTGACACGCTGAACTTTTGAAGTCTTGTCTATTATTAGAGTTAATCCTTTAATAGTTACATTTGTGTCTCAAAAATATTTCCTCTTGGTCGGCAAGACAAAAACTTGTACAGTGACATCCATCATCTTTGGAAAGCAGCACTTTTCCCTGACATCACGCCTCTTTGTGCCACAAGAGGTCTTGTACTGTCGGGACGAATAACATGTGACAGAAAAGAAGTCACAATTCCACCTGTCTGTGTTTCTGGAGCAGTAACTAGAATGGCAGCAGTGGCCCTGTTTCTCTCTGCCTGTACAGGAGCAGTTAGACTGTCAGGCAGCCGGAGAGACTGTGCACCCCTGACCTCTCACAGAGTGAAGTCTCTGTTGTTTGTTGTTTGCTATGGCCTCTTCCAGTGGTGCATGATACTCATTAGAATCCACAAAATTTATCTTTCCAAGAAATCCATGTGGAGGTCTAAGCAGGGAAATGAAATGCTAACTGGTGTCCGATCGTATTTGCGGACTACTTGCAGGCTGAGTGAACCCCATTGGTATGCCGTGCTGAGTTGATTAATAAAAGATATTTATTACACAAATCCTTATGTTGACAAGTTAAAATACTACCTCATCTTTCATCTCTCCCCAAAGATTGCTGCTTTCTCAGGTTGAAAATACTCATTAAATTGCTCCAGCGCTGCTGTCCAAACGAGGGGGTGATTGTTTTTTAAGCACGCAGGGGGAATCATTAGTAAACTCGTTTGTTTGGGTATCATTAACAGAACAATCGCTGAAGATCTCCAGGGAGCCCTCCTGACCTTTGCTCGGAATCTCTCTGTCATTCATCAGGAAATATCAGCCCCCAATATGCAAGGCCAGACCAATTTTAAGGTAAGGCGTTAATTGACTAACGATTGCTGTTCTTCTTTTTATGATCTACAAAAACCTTGGATTATGCAGTTTGGCTACAGGCTATCTCTCTATCTCTGTCTAATCAAGGAACTAGGAAATGTGTCTTCTATAAATTCTTTGCATGTTATTTTCCTTGATATGTATACAATACACATATGATCAACATAATAAGATAATAAGTGCATTGTATTCATGGAATTGATTCTTTTCAATTATCTTTTCTGTTTTCCATGATGGACGCACACATTATGATAAGTATGGTACACAGAAAGAACAAACATTGAAACAATAAGGCAAATAATGTGCTCTGGTCTTTGAGTCAGTGGAAACTTACAGATCTCACAGTGGCAAGGGGTCTTATTGAAGTGGTAAACTGGGACACTAGAAACTTTTTTATCCCTCAGTTTTGCCATAGAGCAAAACTGAGCAAATTATTGTTTTAGTAATTAAATATTTTGCTTGGTCGTTGTGCCCCACATAGTGTCACTTTTTCACCTTAATATCAGCTCAGTTATCACTTCTTACTGATCAGGATAGTCTTGCACTCTCCACAAACACACCAGTAAGAGAATCTCTTTTGGTAATGAGAGACAATTAGTAATTCAGCAGTCAGCGAGGTAATTAAGCAGTGTGTTGTGTTGGGCTGAAGAGTGCATTTGCTTGTTTAGCACTGCAAGGTGGCAAGTATGCAGTTTCCTCTGACTGCATGCTCAGAGCCCCTTGGCATGTTATTTATTGGGTGGTGCAGCGTTAACAGAGCTCATGTCAAGGTCCAGCAACAACTTCTCTCTGAAGACGGGGGTCTGTAAATCATGAGCTGGCTGGGCTGAAAGGGTCAAGAATGGGACAGCTTTTCTCTTTTATGAACTGCTAGTTATTCTGATGAAGAAATACAAGTAAAAAAAACTCGGTAATAAAATGAAAATAAAGAAGTGAGAACTCTGACCTTCTAGAGCTGCGCGGTACCTACTCTTTTCTCTGATAAGATCCCATGGACACTGTACAGTATAGGGTATCCCACAGTGTGATGAGTTATGATCAAGGGCAGACTGGAAGAGAAACTCCTACTGAGAACTGGAAAGCCATCTTTTTTTTTGCGTTCAGAACAGTTTGTTCAAAGTGTATTTCCATACTTCCTTGCAAATAACTGAAAAAAAAAATGTAGTTCAGTAGTCGCTTGCATGTTTTATTTTGATGTTTGAATGATGCTAGAACAGCTCATGCACTTGACCCAGACTGGATTAACACATGGCCAAACTAGGTCCCTGAAAAGTAAAACAAAAAGCACATTTCAGCTACAGACCCTTGTTCAGGGCTGTTAGAGGGAGAGGAACACCTGAAGAAAATGCCACAGGTGAAATATAGTGTTTAAAGGTTTTTTCTTTTTACTTTTCAGTGTGGAATTAATGTCTACTTTCTATGTACTGTATATACGTGTTTGTCAGGTCTTTTTTTTCATGTGTGTGGTGGTTTATTAACATAGAAGCAGGGGGCCAAATGACGTCTTAATCAGGCCCTGCTGGTGACAACAAAATCTCTGCTCGTGCGTCGCTGTCTCCTGAGTCATGTGCTGCCTCAAACTGTCCAGTCCAGCTTAATTACAATTGGTCGAAATTGTGTTCACTTACCCCCAGAAATGAACTAGGAAATGGAGGCCTAGTTTTGTTTCTTTAGGAAACTGCAATAACAAGTTAGAGACAAACCTTTATAATGTTTATCACAAAACAGTTTTTAAATACAGCGCCCTCAGTAAGGCACAGGAACTGAAGTACTGATCACAAGCATCCTCACACCGTAAATGAGTCTAATTATATAGCATACATACTCCTGAGCTGTTATGCAAAGAATTCTGTTTTGCCTGTAACCAGGTCATGGTGCAAAAAATGTGTTGCTTGATTAACCTCCTTTCCCCTGGTGAGGCGTGACCTACAAGATGTGACCGAACATGGCGAGCGCTGCAGCGATGTGGAGCGTACGATTTGGAGCTTACAGGCGGCGGGTGGGTAGCAGGGGCAAGGGGGCGTGGTTGTTGTCAGTGCCACCGCAGGTACTGTCACTGCCTCGCGCTGACTGCAGCGTGGTCTGTCCTGAAGGAGCTCATTCGGGACATCGAAGGCATCCTGGGCGTGACGGTGGAGAACCAGGCCTCGTCATCGCCGGGAGAAGACAGCTCGGCGTCGTAGAGCCCCGCCGCCCATCAGGCTGAGACAGCATGTGGGCGCGACAGCAGAAGACTACATGCAGCTTCTCTTTGGAAGCACAATTGTGCGTGTTGCAAAACTTGTGGAACAATTCACAACACTTACCAATGCTTATAAAGTTGTTTTTTTTTACAGAGGCGCAGATTTGTAATAACATATCTGTATGTATTTGCATGACAGTTTTATACCAGAAGATGCATTTATTATGTAATATAATTTTTTCCTTGTGGAAAGGAAATGCACACTGGGATATTAGTACATGTTATTTTCCATATTTTTCTCATTTTGATTCATATCTCATTGTACTGTATATGCTTTTAGTTTCATACTGTAGTCTTTAATTATTTCCTTCACAAAATGTGATACAAAGATCGAAATTCAGAGCTTGTTTATTCACTTTTGTATGATTCACTGCATAATGAAATAATCCACAATCCTATAACTCATAAAACATGGTTTTGAAACATCTGCAGCATTTATAAAACTGCTCTGAGTACTTGTGCATCTCTATACAGTAAACTTGCTATTTGTTTACAGTGAAATATAGTGTAAAAGTGCAATTTTTCACTTATCCCATTAGAAATAGGACAAATGGATTTCAAAGAAACAATAGGCAACTTTCTTTTTTTAATAAAAAGTCAACTTTTTATCTTCAGTAACATATAATCCCAGGAGCTGTGTAGCACTGTGTGGTATGTGATCCTAGCAGATACACAGTGCTGACAGTGATCTGCGAGTCAGGTGTCATTATTGCTTGACTCCTGGTGTTTGATAGTGTGCGTGGAAAAACATGTACAGCAGCTTTCCTGAAAACTACCAAAGGACTTCATAAAGGCTCTACATATCAGGCAATAACATCATGAGAACGCACGTGTTAAATTAATGCACCTATTCTAGAAGACATCCATTTATCTCTAGGAGCACAGCTGTCTTTATCTCATGGTCTATCCAAGATGTATGCCCGCTAGCAACATTTAAATATAATACAACACGTACAAAGATAAATAATAACAAATGAACGAAAAAATACGAGGATCTGGGAAATATGGTTTGGCAAGAACAAGGATATGAATTACAACCCCTTCTCCCTAGATACTGTACTAGACTGTCTCACACTTAAGCCTGCTGCCTCCATCACAAATTTACTATTGCAATGTTGTAAAGTAATAACATGTGTATCTTTCAATGTGACATCTTAGACGAGCCACACTTAGGCAATAAAAGTAAATAATTTTATGTGTGAGAGGTATGCAGTCATTTTAAAGTCTAGAATCCTAGGCTAGACACTGTCAAAATTGTGCGGTATATTAATATCGTAGCACAAGTGCCTATTCAATGGAATTTTCGCGACACACGTCATTAACTCCAGGCGCCATTCAGAATGATTTCACCTTTTATCTATCACATTCACGTCTAAAACCATTGTCGTTGCCATTGAACAATAAATGGTTTGTGAAAATGTGCTGTTGGATTTGCTGTGCACCTAATTCACCGTGCCCTTTAACTTGAAGAACGAGGCTAGTAACTGCGTTTCAGCTCCGCAAGATTGTGAAGGAATCCGAAACCCAAATTCGCAGACTACTTTCTCAGCCCAGGAACGGAAAATAACGAGTCCAAGTTTCTCACCGGAACAGAAGAGGGATGGGCATATCAAATGGGTGAGTGAAGAGAATAGAATGTTTAAAAAAGGAGTAGCAGAGTTGAGCTTTCTGAAACACGATAAGTAAATATACCCATTTAAGCTGCCAGTTCACCCGAGGAGTATGACATAATGCCAGGGCTGTTTGTAACTGTTTCGAAGAAAGGTTCAACCTGTGTGTGATTTATAATTGGTGAAATTAAACGCGAAGAGTCATAGGTGGTGCTTGTAATTTTCGAGCACTCACTGTTTTTTTTACAATGCGATTCTTGTATTGCTGTCAGCATATATGTGAATTAAAGTGAAAACTGAACGCTTTAAGCTCCTTAAACGATTGCTTCGTGTCATTCAGAATGCGTACAGTAGGTGGTGGTTGACAAGAGTACCATATATTTAGGGTTTGTGAAAAGCTGCACTGAAGACTCCTGATACTCGGTATAGCTCAGAATACATTTGCAGACTGCAAAGACATTGTATCACTAAACAATAAGTCACGCCACCAGAAAATTGTCGTGTTCCCCGATCAGTAAATTTCATAGCAGTTCAGAAATTCAGAAAACAAGCACTGTAGCTTTTAAAGCTTTTAAAACTTCTTGTTTGGGGTTTCCTTGCCAGCACAGGGAATCTGGTGTTTTTCGTACGTTTTGAGTGCATAAAATACTTTAATACTGATTTGCATGAAAGTTTATAAACGCTCATTGAAGTATAGGATATTATGCCATAATTGTGTGCCCATGTATATCAGATTCATGAGCCAGGAAGTTGTGTGTTAAGTACATAAATGCCTGGTTTGTTATATCCTAGGTTTTTATTATTGCTTTACTGATTCCCCCTCTTGTAGCAATGACGGAGGTTCTCCGCCAGATCCATGGGGTATTCCTGAAAGTCTTGCTGTTCCCAAGCACATGGAGAGGAGCTGTGCCTCGACCCCCAGCCTCAGAAGTCCTGACCTGCCACCTGGCTCAACGCCAGCTGCCCCACTGGACCTCCTTCTGTGTCCCCTACCGCTCGGTCACCAACGATCAGTTCGGCCTCTCGCACTTTAACTGGGCTGTGCAGGGCGCCAACTATCACGTCTTGAGGACCGGCTGTTTCCCTTTCATCAAGTACCACTGCTCCAGAGCGCCCCCACAGGACCTCTCCCTGCAGAACACCTTCTTCACAGTGCTGAAGGTCATGAACTTAGGTGAGAGGGGCAGCTGCAGAGATGGTGTAGATGTGAGTCCCTTCATGCGTCCTCACCTCATTTTGGCTAAATAATAAAACCGTATCCTCCAGTCCACTTGGGATGACAAGGCCCACTTTGTGACAGGGTCAAAAATGCATCATGTTTTTAGGGCTTCAGTTGAGGAGCATTAGTGGATGTCTCTAAATGTCCTACTATAAGTGTCTTTGTGAACGACTTCTCTCAAAGGGGTGATAATGTTTGCAAAATACTGCAAATCAATAACGAGGACTGGTTTAGCTGTGTAATGGTGAATGAGCCTGTAGAGATTAGGCCCCTCTAGAGGAGTTTGAGTTAAAAAAGAAGTGAGCGAATACCATTGAAAGACTCCATTGTGGCCGGTTGCATGAGTTTGGCATTCACATTTCTGAAGCTATCTTACATATCCGTCTTCTTGAAAGAATTTCATTCTGTCTGAAGACCTTTAAAGACACATACGGGTTTGTGCACACAGTTGTTTGTTTGTGGATTTCAGGATAAAATGTGATGCAACCCTTCAATGCTGTTAAAATGCAAGGCCTATCCTATCTTGAAATTCTTCACATCTCATCACCTGTCAGACGTGCCACACAGCCTCTGTACCGCTCACATGGCACTGCCCTTGTCTTCGCCAGGAATCCCCACTCTGGCCTACGGCCTGGGGTCGTGGATGCTGGTGGGAGCAACAGAGACTGTCCAGACCAGCACTGGGCCAGTCAAGGTCTACTTTCTGTACAAAGAAGAGGAGGGAGCGCGCTTTTAGTGTTTCTCCTGCAGGTACAGTGGGAAAGAGAGGCCCTAAATTGTGTATTAGAAGAATACTGTATATTTCAACTAGTTTTAATAATAAAATGTATTTATCAGAACATGTCTTTTTTTATTTTCATTGGGTCACGTCCTGACAGATATTTTGTTGACAGAATTTTCCTTTTTATTTGTGCTGGTAGTATGGTTTTCTAACAGGGGTCACCAGCAATCCAACTGAAATACTTTGAAAGTTCAAACTGGAAAAAAAAAACAGAAATAGAAACTGGGGTAGTGCAGTGGTTAACATTGTTGCCTTGCAGTGCTGGAATACCGGTTTCAGTTCCTGGGGTGCTATCTGTGTGGAGTTTGTATGTTTTCCCCATGTTCAGGTGGAGTTTCCTCAAGGTGCTCGTTTCCTACCGAAGACATGCTAGTAGTTAATTGTCTTGTGGGAGAATTGGCCCTGGCGTGAGTGTGTATGTGTCTTTGTGTGCCCTGAGATTGACTGGCGTTGCTTGCTGGGATAGGCTGACTCCCCTGTGACCCAGAATAGGATAAAGCTGTGAGGAAATGGATGGATGGACAATAGAAACTGGAAAATTCAGAACAAGTAAAAAGTCCCTCATGTATTCTTGTTTCTGTGCTAAGGCAGGATGTTAAATAACTGCAGCTCATATGTTTAAAGTCAAATAGTGCTCACTCACTGCCAAGCAGACTGTCAATAGTGAGCGAGGAAGCAGGCGCGCATTTACGGCTGATAAAATGGTTTTTAATTACCAGACAGTGAATATGGCCTTCCTTCAGAACCCCCCTGCACCTCCGCCCGCAGCCTGGCCCATTGGCTTTGATTTCTGATAATGCGCCTTGCTGACTTGGCATACCTGTTACTCAGTCCAGACAGGCTCGCCAGCCTCTGACCACGGGGCCCACAGAGATGGCTTTTGACAAACTGCTCTATTGATCGCCACCCTCCTTCCCTTTACTGCTGTGCTGCTGGAAGCATTAATCCTGGCTCTTGATTTCCTTGCCTAGCTCTCTTTCTCCCTCTCTGCAACAATTAGGAAAAAGTAATAATTTCTTGTGTTACATGGAAATCAATGGACCTCGTGATCCCCCAACATTGATTGTCCTGGAGGATGAGCCGGGAGTGGGACAGGTCAGAGGTGAGGCATGGAGGCCCTGTTCCTGGGCCCAGTACAGGGAGATGAGATGTGTTGGTTGCAGGTGAAGTGGTTCAGTAAGTGTGAGCTTTGAGGAGGGTGTTGCTGAAGGGGGCTGGCTTGGTATTCTGCTTTGCAAGCTCTCTGAAATTGTAGGTCCCTTGAAACTCTACTCATGTTTTTCCTTGAACGTGCATCAGGCCAATAGGCATCACAGAAAAAAAATGAATGAGTCCATGCATTTTTCCTTGACTTGCAGTGATGACAGGACTGCGTCACCAATCTGAATTTGATAACCACTCCATTGAGATCAGTAGCAGATTTTGAGGAGCTTCACAGATTGAGTGGAATCAGCTGACCCCATTGCACCAGGGCACCAATACTTAAGGCAGTATCTTCTTCCCTGAAGGCAGACACTCTACTGATATTTACAGTATAGGGGCTTGTGTACATCAACAGGTTTTCTTCAGGTTAAGCAGGGGTCTGGTTTGACAGTCCATTGTGAAGGATCCTCCTAATGGATGTCTGGGTTTCAGTAGGAAGCAGCAAAGGAGAAAACTGAGGGAAGGAGTAAATTCAGTCAGCAAGTAAGCCAAGAAAGCTCCCTTCAATCCATTTTATAACTGCTTCTTGCAATTCAATCACCCACTTATCAATAATACTTTGTTCAGACCGTCTTTCGGATGAGACTATAAACCGAGGTCCTGACTCTCAATGGTCATTAAAGATCCCCGGGATCTTTTCTCGATAAGAGTAGGGAGTTATCCGGGTGTCCAGGCCAAATTCCCCACCCTACCGCCCTTTACCGTGGCCTCCAAATTGTCCCCTTGTCTGATTGGCTTGCACTTGCCCTACGATGGGCTGGCGCCTGTCCAGGGTGTACTCTGCCTTGCGCTCATTGCTTGCCAGGTAGGCTCCGGCTTCCCGCGACACCGTATGGTATAAAGCGGTTCAGTGTTCAGAGCCTTTCATATTACAATCATGAACCCATAGCACTTCAGTTATGATAGAATAAATATCAAGTACTTTATAATCTGGGGTCTGGGCACATTGGTGGAATCTGTCCATTGCTTGATGGAAGCATTCACAGAAATGTTGAGATGCTGTGACGTTTTTCTGTGTGTGAGTGCAGAGGCACGGGCCCCGAGGAAGATGCCTACGTTGCGCGACTGTTACAGACAGGCTGCCCTCCAGTGTCCCTCTGGCCCAGCTGAGAACAGCATATTTGAGTGGCCTCCCGTCGCCGCCAGAGTGCAGGGCACACACCCCTGTGGGCCAGGGGTCAGAGAAGCTGCCCTGTCATTCCACAGCACTGACAGCTCCTAACGAGACGTACATGCACCCATGGGATCAGGGAAATCTGATCCACCCTGACAGAGCCTGCCTATTGATAACGGGTGTTCTTTTGCATTGAGTATTAACTCTGCTTTTCATATTTAAGCTTTTATCTTTGGTGCATTAAGGGAGCATAGATGCTCAGGTTGTCATTACTTAATTATCTGCTGACCTTTTGAGTGCTGTCGTTCATTGACAGCGCAGTGCAGGGCAGATAATAGCTCTGCGTGGCTCTGGGATGCAGCTTTGTTTCACAGCTATTAAAGTCTGATGCGAACCCATGAAACCCAAGCCCAGATCATGCTGATCAGATTGCGCCTGTTTTTCAGCACACGGTGCTCTGGCCTCTTGGACTGCTTGAGCTGCTTTAGCCTAAACAGCTGCTTAACATTACACATAACCTGGGTCAACAGTCTAGGGTATCGGAGCTGAAAACGTGTTACTGTAAGTTAACGGAAAATGTAACTGCGCTTTGCTGAAAGATCAATGTCCTATAAGGCCTGTGCAATCAAACCTTGTCGCTGTGATTGAGCCTCTTAATTGCCTCTCAAAGATAAGGTGGTAATCAACATAGGTTTAAGTGCTCTCTCCTGCAAGTTCAATTACATGCTAATGACTTGTGCCAAGTTGAAATCTTTAAATACTAAAACTGTTTAAATCTTATGTAAGTAATGAAAAATGACTTCAGCTGTACATTGATTGAACCCAGACGTTAATCACTATATTTTTCTTTTATACCACTGATGAATTTCACAAGAGACTTCAGTTGCTTTAAAACAATGAATATTATAATTAACTTGTTGCCTCTTGCTATTGATTTATTTTTCTAATTCCCCATTTTGATGAATGATCAGACTAAGTTGGGATTTACTCCAGTTTTTACATTAGTGGTCTGTATGGATTCCTAATGACTTTCTGGCCCCTTTTATTATGGGCTCTTTTAATTAGTTGTTTTCATTTTGCAAAACTTCAGTTTTTAAACAACAGCTTGCAACTCCTATAAAATGGGAGATTCTGCAGTCGTCTGCTCCTGCTTCCTGACGGTGTCTCATGCCGCTTCATTGCAGGGCAAGAATGTTATTTCCACCTTAAAATCCTGGAAATAAAAGAACTGTTTTGACACTGAGTTGTACTACATTTTATGCTGTAGAAGCAGGATAAAACAATTAAATTAATTCCTTAATTGTTTTATTACATTATTTTCTTATGAACTGAATCAGTATTCTTCACGAGTTCGCCCCATTCTCGTACAAGGACAGAACAGGGATGAGGGGAGGCCAAGTTTACCAAAAACTAAGAGAAGGTTAAACGTCTTTGCACAGACACAGGCGGTTGGACCGAGCGCACTGTGGCTTATACAGAGCGACTGAAGTTTCCCAGTATTCGAGCCTGCACCAGATGGGACTCTTGCTATTTTTGGTCTGCCTGCTCTGTGTTGTGCATTGGTATTGTGTCTGCACCTGTACCCCGTTGTCAATACAAACCTTTAACATGACAGGCTCTGTACTGTTGAGTGACTGTTGAGTGTAAGCAGTTCGATACCGCCCTGACCCTTGTGTTTGTGGTCAGAGTGGTCTGTGACCTTGTGCTATTCTTCCACGTTAGCGGGAGTCTCCTACTTGCACTTTTGTGGCATGGGTGAAAATGAACGCTCTTATTATTGTCACATTCTCACAGTAAGGGTGCGAGCTACATAAGCCTCCACTTAAAATGCGGTGATTCATGATCCCTGCTTCTGCCATGCTTTCTGATTATCTATTATTTAGTAGGAAAAAAATCACATTAATTTTTCCGTGCCTGAGATATGTACGTCTTGGCAGAAACAATTACTGTATGTATATAGCCCCTGCGGCTGTTCTGCAGAGGTTACCGTCTGAGTTTGTACAAGCACCGATCACCTGGAACCCTCGAAAAGCTCCAGGATTTCTCCGGCATCTCAAACTGGCGGCAGGTGTCACAGGCATGGCGGAGGATTCATCATCCGCTATAGAGAATGCCGACGGAGAAACTAGGTCCCAGTGATTTTTACCGCATTGGTCCGGTATTTGTTCAATATCTATCTGAGCTTGTGTGACACAGCACAAAGTTTAAGCACACATAACTTTGGATACAAGCTACATAAAACGTGGATTTTTTTCCCTTTAAAATTACATTTTGAAAAGGTATATATTTAATTTTCATTTTAATTGCGGTAACTAACCTGTCATATGATGAACTTCAAAGTAAGGACTGAATTTATAGTTCATGTGTTAGGCGTCTTGAAGATAATGATGACGATATTATTATTGTTGCTGTTGTTGTTATTTGATATCTTTACAATTTACCACCTGTTACCACAGTATCAGAGTGAGGCAGAACGCTGTGTCGATTCATCTCTTCTGCTAGCTCGTTATTATAACAACTACAGTAATACGAAGCTCTTGTGCGCCCCTGACAAAAATGGCTTCCGATGTTTTGCTCGTCATCATTCTTTGACGTAACGCTTTAAGCATTTGATGCCGGGGTCAAGGCACGAAAAACTTCCGGTGTACTTCCTGTATCTTGGACAGGTTGGGGTTTGAGACTGTTACTTCACGGCTGTAGTGATAGCAAATATAAGTATTTAGAGGCAAATTTATGATTCGAGTTTGAGTCCGTCAAGGCGTGAGGCGTCGGCGAGCGGGCGGCCTGTGTGTCTGATGTTGATGTATTCCGATTTGCCCCCGGATTTCTGTTCAAGACTGGGAGTGATTAGAGTATGTGATGTTGAGCCCCTGTCGGAGTGGAAATTAACTATGGTTATATTCTTTTGTTATGCTCTTACTTATTCTAAATAACTTCAGCGACATGGAAAACCAGACACTAGTAATTCGAATAAAGATACCGGATGGGGGAGATGTGGACTGGACAGTACCCAGCGTTTCCCAGCTCATCTTCAGAGACGTACTGGTAAGCAGCCAGGATCTTATTGGGTTAAATAAACTGTCAACACGCATCTGCAATGCTAGTGCTACTCGTAATGAAATCGACGTGTCTTTCTACAAGACAATAGGACATTCGGCAACTTCCTGTCATTAAGTAGTGGGATCACTCACGTTTTCGCACTCTTGTGATTTGCCTGTTATACATGAGTAATTGCCATCACCAGAGCTAACTCTCAGCTCCTCCACTGTCTTGTGTGTGTTTAAGATGGAGGTCTGGTATGAAACAAGGCCAAACATTTAAACTGGCTAGTGAATGTGAAGTGCAGTGTCTTGTGTGTTTGTGAGGGGAGTTTATCCCTGAGGTCTGTATCAGGTGTGAGGGATGCTGAGGATCTATTAGTAGTCTTATGAAAGCTTCTCTACTGACTGCCAGATCTTCTGTAGAATTCATACAAAATAAGATTTTTACCACATCTTCAGTGATTGTTCCTTTGTTTGTACAACAAATAACACTGTAAAGTTGCTTAGTTGTGCTTATAATTAAACTGACTCTCTGTCCACAGCTTTGTGACTGTCTCCTTCCTTTATTGTCTGATTTAATGACACCACACAAAGGCTTCAGAATTAAATTATACAAATTAGGCCCTACCTTTGAAAGACCAAAACCCCTTGTAGGACACAAGCTAATAACCTGGAGGGGTGAAAGGATTACTCTCGGAACAATAAAAACTCTGAACAGATCCAGGTTTCCTCACTACAGATAAGGTATTTCTGTATGATTCAGTATTACTGCTCATCTGGCCTCACCCTGCAGGTTTCAAGTGGAGAGAGATGAGGCACATATTCAGTCATTTCCCAGATTCTCTGACCTTGGTTACCTGACTAATGTTTTTATACCCATGAACACTTGTTCTGCTGACTGGCTTCTTGCAGTTCTCTCCTGTTACTCACACAAATCATTCATTTGTATCGCATCGTCCTATTTAACCCTCTGACTGCTCCACCTTCCTGTTATGGGCTGCCTCTCTATCTCAAGACCCGTTAAAAATGTTATAAAAGTAATATCTGTTCTGCTTTTGTAATGTGTTGTATGTGGTTACACTGGGAATTTAGAGACCTGAACATTGTGTGAAATAAGTTTTTCTGTAGCACTGGAAAAACCTGACCACTGATTACCTTCAGCAGTTATTTCTCCACAGGCCCTCACATACTCTTCTGTCAACCATAAATGGGTCTTTCTGACCTTGGCAGGATCTGATGTTAAAGATGGTAGGAAAGGAGAAATCAGGCCAACACTACCACTGTAACTTGATGATCAACCACTTTCATACAATGATTGTAGCTACACACATATGTGTGTTGTTCATATTTGCACATTTATTAAACCGTTATTTTAACACGTCTTCCTAATCCTTGTCTGTAAGCCCACTCTCAGTTTGTTAACCTTTCAGCCTTTCAGTCCTAGAGCAGGGCTGGCCAGCAGGACGTACAGGTCATGCTTAAATCATTAGTTTGTAAAGGCTTGGAGCATGTTGTTTTTAGTAAGCTAATTGGTTCAGGTAAGTCAGGAATGCCCAAATGGCCTCCTTCAGAGCTACTAAGAGGAGTTAATAGTTTCATTTCAAACAATCTCTGGTGTTAAGTGCTTATTTACAAGCTCACAATTTGGTCTTCACAAATTTAAACTTTCAAGTTGCCCTGAAATTGGGCTGCTGAATTGTGACTCTCCAGAACCCAGAATGGCCACATCTGCCCTGGGCTTATTTTGTATTGTTGTAAGCAGTCATATTCACCCCATTACACTAACTAGGTGTTTATTATCAGTAACTGACAAGTGTAAAACCACCTTGAAACCTTAGATATAATGTAATGCATTGCCTTGTTAATGCCTGTGTTCTTTTTTTTCCAGGATGTAATCAGTCAAGTCTTGCCAGATGCCACTACTACAGCCTTTGAATGTGAGTTGGTACAGCCCACCTCTTTGACATGCCTTGCACACTGGATCTAGAGTCCACTAGCTCAAATGCACACATACTTCAGTATTGTATTGCTTCGGTCAAGTATGTATAACTGTGTCTGTGTTTATATGCCAGTACATTAGATACCTGAGTACAGTATGTCTTTAATCTTTATGAACAGTAATTAAAATGTGGAACAATTTTTATGCTGCCAGGCTGGGAAAAGTTTTTCAATGTTATTTTACTGAAAACGTTTGGAGATCATGGTGAGGGTTGAGTTTCTGTTTACACTGATCAGTATGCTTTTTTTAACAGGTGTCAGTTTTTATTTTGCTTAGCAGATGCCTTTATCCAGGGCATGGGTATCCAGAGGTTTATTTTCACCTCTGTATGGCATGGTATCTTACTCGCTAGTAGTATTCAGTGCTAGTTTCACATGCTGAGAGCAATGCATTGTCTTTCTATCCATCACTGAGATGCACATGCCATGACATTTCTAACTACATCTACAGTGATATTCTGGGCTCAGTATGCATGTCGCAGAGCCAGATGCCTGCGACATTGCCATTGAAAATCATGATGCTGTCATGGGGAATGCATACCATTATTTCCCTTAAGTGCCCAGCATTATAGCCGCATACCATAAGGCTTACCCAGGAAATATCAGTGGTATTCTACTTTAAAGCAGGTAATGCTGACAGCAATGGCAAATGTGTGGGAGAAGTTTGGGATGAAAATGAGACTTGTCAGATTTTCAGACTCAGAATGGTAAAAATTGGCGAGGGTCCGTCACAGATCCTGCTAATCGGGGGGGGGGGGGGATTAAGCCGCCGTTGTCTCAGAGCCTTTCGCCATTGAAGAGTGTCAGTGTCTGAGGAGCGCGGGCTGTGCCGTCTCTTACAGATGAGGATGAGGACGGGGACAGGATCACTGTGCGGAGCGATGAAGAAATGAAAGCCATGCTGTCGTATGTAAGTGAAGTGGGAGGTGCGGAGGGTGCTTGTGTGGTGTCACGGGGGAGCGATGGGTGCTGCCCAGTGACCTGCTGCCCATGTGTCGAATCCTCCTGCTACTGCAGCTGAGGGTCCAGATCCACAGTGCGGCCCGAGGGCTGGGGGAAAGAGTCTGCAATAACTGAAACGACAGCAGCTTTTAATTGAGGCTTCTGTCTTTGTGTTAGTGATGTTTTGTGAAATCGCTGGGAAAAAAAACCCGCATTGGAAGATAGATTTACTTTAATGGTAAAAGGCTTGAAGTTTTTTTTTTTTCCCTGTGATTTCAATGAATTATAATTGCTGACCCCATACCATTGAAGCTGGAATTACAAGCCTTTTTTCATGCAGCTATTGAGTGCTGGAAGTGTTTTTTTTGTTGGGAAAAAAGCTATTAAAAATCTATTATACCAGATCTTTTCACCCAGGGGGAAAATGTTCTCATTACTAAGCAGATTGGTGGGGATGACAAGTGGCAACATTTTTCTTTGCTTTTTTTTTTTTCCCCGTCCCCTTTTTTTTTTTTTCGAGGGGCTGAACAGCAAAAGACCACCGTCTGCCGGCCTGCTGTGCCAATCAGCGTTGCCACGGAGACGGGCAGCGGGTGGCTTTGTGAAGGACGGGTCGGCTTGCTTGGCCCCGCCCACTGGCAGGCGCTGTCTCCTCCCCCTTGTGAACCAGGCTGGCTTGTGTGCGGAGCTCCATTTATAATGAGAGCCCTGGCTCTGCTACGCTTCTAGATTGACGCCCATAATGGCACGGGGCTCTAAGTGCACAGGACTTCAGACCTTCTGCAGGCAGCCAAAACTGTCACTCCGTGTGTGAATTTCTCCTGTTATCTGATGTCGCATCAGTCTGTTTTCACGCTGGTTTTATCTGTTCATTGTTCCATTGGGTTTTTTTTTTAATAGAAGGTGTAGCATTTGGGCAGCTGGAGAAGGGGGAACCTCAGCTTTCTGCAGACGGTGTTTCCTGCATGTAATGTTACTGCCGCAGATCACAAGATAGGAAGAACAAGCGAGTCAACAATAATTAAGGCCAGGATAATTTAGAATAATTCCAAATTATATTATCGTTAGGAACACATGCATATCAGTGTCTGTTTATATAGCAAAACATGTCTTTTAGATAATGGATAACAAGCACTAAATTAATGTGCCCGAACAGCTATGGTTTGTGTGAACACTATTCATTTTTTATTTGTGGGTGTAGCTTATTTTTGTAATTTAGAGATCACCTACTGCATATATTTTAAACTGTTTTTGTAGCATGTTTATTAGCTGAATGTCTCTTTATGCATATATAGATGTAGTTTATTGTTTTTTTTTTTAAGTCAGTGCTATGGGTGTACTTTCCTTCATACTTACTGCTCATATCATGGACATTAAGAAGAATAGATTTTAATGGTTTTTCCATTAGGTACAGTGAAAGCTAAATGAACTATCAATTTTTATTATTTATTACGCAGTACTTAAAGTTTCGGCTCATTAAAAATGGACCCCTGGGCTGGAAAATTTTTCAAAATCTACTTTCATCTGGTGATGTCTTTTACCCCCCATCAGCCTGCAATGATGTTGTAGCCATGGGCTCAATTTCATTTGATTTACACATGCAAAAGCTGCTCTCACATACTTATTTTCCTGATGCTTTTCTGATTTTTTTTCCCCAAAAAATCTTGCATTGCCCATTAAGTGCTGGCCTCAGTGGGCCAGGGTAGAACTGTATGGCATTACCCTGATAGGGCGGGGCTGTTCGCGCACAGTGAAAATCAGGGCTGGAGCTCAAGAGCAAATTGAGGATTTATCTCTGTGCTGGAACAGAATGTACTGTTTTACTGGGAGCGTTATAGAAATCGGCATGTGTAGTGGTTTAAGACTCCTATAATTCTGAACAGGAGATGGGAATAGCCATGTAGCCCAGGTCACCAGCTTATCTTGGGACTGTCAGGGCAAGCTTGTACCGGGATGATGCGCATTGTTGTAGCAGGGGAACTTGATATGGCTGGGCTCCTGGTTCGATCATTTTCACTGGGTGTCTCGGTGTAGGTCAACTTGATTGAGGCCTCTCATGGGGTGGAGGGTCACCTGGGGCCAGAGTGACACCCCCCACCTCACCTTGTCTTCATCCACTGAACCCAGGCTGAGATCTCCTAAGTTGGATTGTCCTTTGGGACAGCTGTCAGATGTCGGGGCACAGAGGTCCCTACCTTCTTGAGGACAAGAACGAAACCTGGATTTGTTTGTTTTTTTGTCATTTTAGGGGGTTGCAGTGTGTGACTGGTGGAAATGTGCTGAATGGCTGGTGGCATGCGCGCATGATACCGTCTATAGAGCTTTGCTTTTAAAAAAAGGTAAAATAATCAGTCCGCTCTGTTAGGGGAAGCGCTGAATATAAACTGGTAATAATCTTTAAAAAAAAAATTGTCCCTCGCATTGCTCTTGCTACGTCCACATTTTCGGATACCATAATCTCCAGTCTTTTGGCAAATGAGTTGCAATTCTCTTTTAATAGTTTTTTGCTCCTTGCGGGATAGCTGTGTCTGCAAAACCTGCTGATTGAAGGGAAAAATGTAATACAGGTGTAAAAGCAGACGTGATGGGGTCTTATGCAAGGGTTATGCATTTAGCAATTATTATATTCATATTCAAAGCATATGGATTTCGCTCGTGTTGGCTATTTACACTCCATCGAGACCCACGATTATGCTGCGGTGTCGTTAATTCCGGCTGAGTGGATACCTATTATGTTAAATTAATAGGAATTAAAAGGGGTGATGTGGAAAAGTTAAGCAAGCAATTCATTTGTCTGGCGATCTGAGCCTGTCCTTGGAAACGCAGTTTACAGGCAGCCTGTGTAAGGGGGTGGCAGGGGGCACTTCAGACCCTGACACCGGCACTTCTGACAGTGTACACAACCCCCCTCCGCCTGAATTAGGCTTGTGAATTTCTGATTCCTCCTTGCTTTCCCATCTTTGTGCTGTGGGCACTTTAGAACGTTTCAATAGCTTTAATCCTCCTGTACGGTGCAGTGTGTGTGACGCGGTCCTTAAGGTTCGCTTTCAGAACACTGAATGCTGTGAGGTAGTATTGGCTTCAGCAGGGCTGCAGTTGAAGACTCTCTCATCTACAAAACAAAAGGGAAGCAGTAATGTACTTCGTGTTGTTATTAAGAGTAGTAATGTTTGCTTGACTCCATTGTCCGGCAAGAATGTGTTAGCGTTCAGTGGGGTTCAGTAGAAGACGACTGTTTGAAGTAATATGTTACTAAAGTGTCAATGTGTTACACAGAGTGCCGGGACAGCCTTTCAGTGCTACTGATCGACTCCCTGATTGCAGGAGTCTTACTGTGCCATCCTTACACTGTGCCGGGGGACCTGCAGTCCGGGGGCGCCGGCATCAGGCTTCCCATTGACAGCTCCGTCTGCAGGGTCCGTAAACACAGGGTCCGCACTTCCTGCGCCCGTAGTCCGAAGTGAAGAGACTGAAGTGAGTCAGCTGTGGTCGCGTGGTCTCCACCCCTCCAATCTCCTCACAGCCGACTAATTAAAGAGCGCTCCTCTCTGGCCTGCTAATGATGATGATAGCACTCGGGGAGTCGCACTCTCACTGTCCCCCCAGGCTGAGAGATTGTGTTCCTGATGTGGCCTTTAGTTTAGTTATTGTCCAACAAAGGGGGAATCCTTTTAATACACTATCGCAGATTAGACTGTAATTGCAGTGGTAATCAATAAAGTAGCAGAGTGTAAAATGAAGGGCTTTGTGTGTTGGGGTGGGGGGGATGCCCGGAGGGGGTCCGCGAGGAGCCTCATTGTTCCCGCACGGCCTGGTGCCGAGCCCTCGGGGCCACACGGATAAACCTGACAGGCAGTGACAGTGATAAATAGCCCTTTTAATAACAGCTGTCCCCGCTTGGGCAGACAGACAGAGCCAGCCACCTTCCTGTACTCATCTATTTATTTATATATTTATGGGCTCGTGCAGGACAGGCTATCGCCACCATATGGATGGCAATGTGTTTGTAGGTCGGCTTCATGCCCCATGCCTCCCACAAAGGCCCATCTTCGAGCTGGGCCCTGCGTTGCCAACGTGCAACTCCCTGTCATTTGAAACAAGCCACCTTGCCAAGTCTGGTAAAGCACCATGCACAAAATGGAGCCGACACAAGCACATGCACATCTGGTTGCTTGGCTTTGAATATGGAGCATGCCATGATACAGAACGTATCTTTATACCGTTCTCCTTAAAAAGGGGTAATTTCCACTAGTTTTAGGAGTCTTTGGGTTGATCTATCAGGGCATGTAACGTATAAAGTTAATGCAACCTATGCACACAACCTGATCATTAGAAACTCTTCCTCCAGCTGGTAAATTCAGCCCTCTCTAGTTGAAATAGCAAATCCTTCTCTGCTACACGGCATGTTGTGTGGTAGTGCTGTAGTCAATTTGCTTTACAACCACCTGACTGTGGTTTTGCTTCCAGTCCAGGCAGAAAAGGGCTATGTGTTGTCCCTGTGGGTAGGCAGGTGCTGCTGTTGCTGCTCTTGGTGGATGGAAGGTGGGGAGAGAGCTGTGAAGAGTGACGTTCACTCCGGTAGTGCTGATTCTTTCCAGACATTCAGAAAAATTACATCTCCATCTTTTTGTTGAACAGCTGCAACAGGGTTCCTTTTTAAATAACCTATTAAGTTGACCTTGTTATTAATGTGTGAGCTCAGTCCTTGCAGTCTTGTAAGCTGTGATTGCACTGGCCCTGTGCGCTTGTAGACAATTGGAAGTGATTTGGCTGCATTGTTTAATGACAAGTAATCCTGTCTCCCATGTTATTCCTGGTGCCCTAAGTGGCCCAGCATAATTCCAGAGGCTGCAGAGAAAGAGAGTGAGTTTCAGGAGCAGCAGGAGCAGCTGCCCTCTTCTCAGCCCGTTGCTGTGCTGACTGAAACTGAACGTCCCATCGCTCCTCTTCCCTGAGCACCCTGATCCTAGCCTCACCCCCGCATGACCTCCAGCCCCCTTGCTCTTTCACAGGTCGGCCTATGCCATGCATCTCTAGGCTTCCAAGGCAATTAAGTTCCATTATCCAGCCTCCTTCAACATGACCATCAATCCCCAGCTCTGACACTAACCTCTCTTATGGAGAGCCCTGTTGTTTTAAAGTAACTCTCATGCTTGATCACAGTGTGGTGTGATTGCACATGTATATGTGAGGCTGCTCCTTCCTGTTGTTTTCAATGGAGGGTATTATAGATGGTACGTTTCAATAATAGGGTGTTCTCCGGTTGGACCAGTGTGGAAACACTTTCCGTTCCTGTGCTATTTTATCCATGTCGGACCCTTTTTAAGGCTCATTCTGTGCCTGAACACACAGCAGAACCAGTCTACCTTCTGCCCACGTGCAGTGCAGGCTGTGGAGTGACTGTAGAGCAGACCCTCACAGGAGATGCTGTTTGTCTGGGTCAGTCTCTGAGCACCCAAGACTTGTTCCTCAGTGGTTAGAAAAAAAAAGAAAGAAGCTAGAAGAAATTGAAGTAGGCCACACTCCGATCACAGAACAGCTAGGCTGATTCTAACATGGGTGCCCAGCAGACTGGCAGCTCTAATCCCTACACGGGCAGGGTGGAGTGAGGGCCTGTATCCTGCAGCCCAGTGAGACAGCTCTAGGACACAGTGAGAGAACTGGGCTAGGGATTGACAGCTGGGCACAGCTATGAATGTTAACAAAGGGTATCCCACACGTATACATTTTTACCGAAGGGAAACTGACTGTTTTGCTGTACTAAGCTTAAGTATCTACTTTGCCTGAACATGGTTTCCCCTAGTACTGTATCTGGGTTCGCTGTCCGGAGCCGGTGCCGGTGCTGGTGCTTGCAGCAGTAGAACTCAGCTGCTTTCGGAGACTCTTACGAAGTGCACCAGCGCAGTTCGGACAAGTCCCTCTCCCTGCCCCGGCAAGCCGTGTGCACTGGTGTAATGTGGAAGGTAATTAACGGCAGCAGGGTGATATTGCATTGCACCGCGCCTGGGACAGAAAGGCTTTTAATGTTTTTGACAGCCAGTGATTGGAGTGTAGCTGGCAGGCATTACAAGATGTGGATCAATAACTGGCAAATTTTCCATTAAAGAAAGATTACCTGGACAATGCTCCAAATAGCCAGTGGCACCTTAATTTTCTGTACTGTTCTGAAACATTGTGGACAAGTCAGAAGGAAAGTGTTTTTTAATAAATATATATGTCTCATGCAATTGTTTTAATAATAGAAATTGAATCGGAGGCACTCTGTTTTTCAATAATTAAAATTAGAACCTTTTACTTCTTACTGATTTTTTTGTGTTTGTGCTGAAGTGGCCTGGGAAGTTACACTGTCATAAAGCATGGTGCATGATCGTATTTCTTAGGGAGCCTGTAAACATGGAGTAGTTTGACTTTGCAAATGGGTTTTCTGGGATTTTTCAGTTTGCAGTCCTGGTGGGGTGCACAGACAGTACAAATACTGTAACTAGCGAGCTTCTGGCACAGAATCGAAAACGGGTATAGGGATTTTGTAGGAAAAGATATCTCTGTGATGTGTTTTTGTTTTTCAGATTAAAATGTCAGTGTTTAACAAACAGCCTAAACTGTAAGGTTAGCCTTCGTCGGTGTTTATCTCACTTTCCTCCTTACAGAAAACCATTGCCTTTTATGCAGTAACTTAGTGAACAACCTTCTAAAAGCTTTGTCATGGTGCAAGCAGAGTGTTGTATAGCACAGAACATCATGCAAAAGGGTAACAGTGTATGATAAGAATGTACATTGCAGGCTTTGAGAAAATGTGGTGAAGCAAGGTAAAAGTGTGGTATGCACTGTGAAAATGCCATGCACGCTTACAGTGGCCAGGTTTGCTAAGGGTCTATAGGTGTGCCTGCATACACTGTGGTGTTCCTTTGTTTACAGTATTGTATCCAAAGACAGAGTTGTGTTTTATGCCCATTGTGTGCCAGAGGTTCTCTGGAGAGGCCCTTGTTGATCAATGCTTATTTGTAACCATGCAGATTGTGAAAGGAATTGCCTAATATAGCCTCTCTTCAGATCACTTTATAAACAAAACAGACCAAGTGCTGACGATTTCTGGACTATTATAAATTGTGTGCCCACAATTCAGACTTCAGATGGGTTAAGATGAGATCCTACACGCAGCCTCTTTAGTTGTCATTTTAAGATCTGTGTAATCGGCTAAATTGGTCTTAATAATAATACCTTTGCACTTCTATAGCCCTTTTCTGGATACTCCACTCAAAGGGCTTTACAAGTAATGGGGGCTACCATGTGCAGCCCCGTCTGGATGATGCGACAGCAACCATAGTGCGCCAGAACGTTCACTGCACACCAGCTCTCGGTGGAGAGGAGAACAGAGTGATGAAGCCAGTTCATAGATGGCGATTATTAGGAGGCCATGATTGGTGGGGGCCAGTGGGAAATTTGGCCAGGACACCGGGTAGCACCCCTACTCTTTTCAAGAAACACCCTGGGATTTTTTATGACCACAGGGAGTCAGGAGCTCAGTTTTACATCTCATCCGAAGGATGGAGCCTGCTTACAGTATAGTGTCCCCATCACTATACTGGGGCATTAGGACCCACACAGGCTGCAGGGTGAGCGCCCCCTACTGGCCCCAATAGCACCTCTTCCAGCAGCAACCTAACTGACCTACTGAGTTTCAGTGGGCTGCCAGTTGTGAGTTGCAGGGTGATAAAGCTGCTGGCTGGGAGGAGTGAAGAGTGAGCTTACAAGTCTCCTTAGCGGTTCTTAAGTAAAGGAGTGAGCGAGTTCACTGTTTTTATTTCTTTTGCTCTTTTCCCAGTATTACAACACTGTGATGGAGCAACAGGTCAACGGACAGATGATCGAGCCCCTGCAGATCTTCCCACGAGGTGCGTGTCTCCGGCGCTGTCCTTCTCACCCCTGCACTGCACGCCACACGCCTTCCAGCCGCCGCCTCCTGGAAAAGACGGGATTTGCTTTCCACTCAGAGTAGGCAAACGTCTCAGCAAGACGTCCACTGGCTCGTTGGCTCAGCGCTGCCCCGAGCTCCGCTGGCACCTCCGTGATCTTTTTGTTCAAACAGAAGCAAAAAAAAATCCCTCCGCGCGCGAGCATGGGGACGAGTCCCAGCCCACGCGGCATCCGTGAGCATTCCCGCGGATGGGAAGGGATTAGCAAAGAGCCGGAATTGGGTCTGAGCTGGAGTCTGACCTCATCCTTGAGGCTCCAGCGAGCTTGAGACAATGAACCCCGAAGAGAATGTGTTGGGAGTTGGGTTCCTGGACGTGTTTCACTGGGATTCATTTTTGCCCCCTGCCATGCCGCAATTCAGAAGGCAACTCCTTTCTGGGGGGGGGGGGAGGGACGGTGTCAGTGCTTCCTCTTGCATGGATGCCCGATCAGACCGTCTCCCTAAACAAACAGAGCGCGGCGGAATTGTGCCACGCTGTGCCCGTCACGACGGCGCGCCCAACACCACCCCCCCACCCAGCTCTTCCCCATGCGCTGCTGCAGGTCCAGCGAACCTGTGGCCGCGCTGACCCGGTTCTGGCCGGAGAACTGAAACGTCCTGGGTTTTGCCCCGCGCCTAAAGACCCGGCCGCTGCGCGACGCTTCTCGAGTCGCAGCGGTAGGAATAAATCATTAAGCCGTTCATTAAATGTAAATTTGCAAACCACCGGAATTTAGCACAGTTGATGTATTTAATAATTACAGCTCATTGGTGGGGAGTGTTGGGTGGGAGTGACGGCGTGATGGGGGGTAAAGTACATGCGCATCTGGGAGAGAGGAAGCACTGCCGACTCTGCAGGACAATCAATCAAAATTGACAGGCCCTTTAACATAGAATTTGTTGAGAATTGTACTTAGGAAATGAGTATAATCTGTAACATGTAGCTAAGATCCCTTCTTTATTTCTTAAAACACCTTGCAGCCAGTTTTCCTCACCGTTAAAAGCCAGTTGAGGACCGTGTCTCTAGAACTGTGACATTTTTCTCGTCTTGTCGTTGCTGCTGTTTCTGTTTTTGTTGTTTTTTTTAGACCCAAAGATGAATTTCTCGGCGTGAAACAAATTACCTGAAGCAAATCACTCCCTCCTGAAGAATTTTTACTCCTTGCTTCTGACTTTAATATGTTCCGCGTTTAAAGATCTTGGGCCTATACCTTGTTTTTTTTTTTTGCAGCAGAAAATATCAAGTGCATTTTTTTTTTTTAAACCGTGGCCTCACAATTCAGCACAGATGGATTGAGATGCGAGTCGTGGAATCTGGAAAACCAAAGCAGAGCAGGGGAATTTTCACGAAGCATACTTAGGAAAGCATGCTCGGCACTAATGAAATGCTTAAGATTTTATTGCAGCACACAGAGACTGCAAACATTGTTAGCTCTTAGATTTGAAAAGGTATCTGCCAATTACTTAATACGTAGCCTGGTGCTCAGGTCTTCCATATACAGCGCTGTGTGTGTGTGTGCAGCGTTTAATATAGTATATAAATACAAGTCAGGCTCGTGCAGTGGGTAAGGCAGCAGCCCATTTAGAAACGCTCACTTCTGCAAGTTTAAAAATCTCGTTTCCTAATTCCCAGCCCAGGTCTCCAGAGCCACATCTCAATCATTTTCTCTGCTAATTTCAGTGTCACCCTCATTTCTTTTTAAACGATTCATTTTGAGCAAATTTGTAAATGGCCCTGATGTGTTCTACAATTTAGTCAATTACTGTTTCAGCCTGCAAGCCTCCTGGGAAACGGAACATACATGGCCTGAAGGTACCCATTTCAATAATTGTTTCAGGAAAGTTGGGAATGGATTTGGTAAGGCTGTGTTCCACTTATTGAAATGTCAAGTGAAACCAGGGCTCCCTTTCAGTCTCGTTTTTTGCTCGTCCCTCGCTCTCCATTCCTGTGTTGGGTTAGGAGGTACACTCAGTGGGATGTCTGCTCCTCTGAAGTGGGGTGTCAGGCTGCACACTGAATGGATTTCGGGGGGGAACTGTTGGGTACAGGTGCCTGACTGGGGCAATATCTCCAAGAGACTGGGGTTCTCCCAGAGTATTCCTTCCCATACAGAGGATTACAGAAGCCCATAGAGAGGTTGTGAGGTTGGGCTGATCCCTGGTGTAGCACTGGGTTTTAGCCCCTGAAACTCTGCCCCAGTCTTCCATGATTTTTTTGAAGGTCCTGGCATATTAAAATGAATGGCCTGACAAGGAACCATCATGTCTGTAGAAAAGCATCTAGCCCACAATGAAGCAGATTTAAATCACAGCTGTGTCTGGGTAACTTGGCATTGTTTTAAACAAGAGCCTGATGCACACTCATGGATATTTATTTTAGGTGCCCTAGAATATGTGTATCTTCAGCTGTTTTTTAGGGATGTTCTTTTTTAATATGGCCAGTGATATGTTGTATTTTCTCACACATTTACCAGAAGGAAATGCTTTATCTTATTTTTCCAAAAGCTGGAAGATGAGCTCCATTGTTTCATTGAAGTATGAAATGTGTATGACTGAAATTGGGCCATAAAAGAGCATTTTGAATTGAAATTTTAGTGAGAAAATGATATTAAAGCTTGCACATTGTTCTTTGACATTTTAATTGCTGTTAATCCTTTTAGAGAAAGATTAACGCGGATATTAATTTCAGCATCCTATAGGTGATTAATATACCTCTGTGATTTTTTTTTTCTTTCTCACTTTTGTTTTTGTAGCTTGTGTGAAACCCCCGTCATTCGCTTTTTTCTTAATTTAAAATTAATTGGCTTGGAAACAAAAAAAATATATATACATTTAAATTAGGTCTTTATCGGCACTAATTAATGAGAGAATCCCTGCTTTAGCCGGGCTGGAGAATATGACCTCCGGACCTCAATTACACAAGTTATTTTTAGGCAGATTCCCTGTGTTTTTAATTTAGGTTACATATGAGGGAGAGAACAACAGCAGCATTGCTGTGTAATGTCCAAGCCCTCTCTGGAACAAGGAGGCCCTTCCCCATTGGGGCGAGCATGCCTGCACATATTTCTTTTGTGGGTGCTCTGTTTTCTGTCTGCTTCTTGCCATTGCTGCCGTAAAGCAGACACCCCCACAGGTCCCTTCCCTTCTCCCCTCTCCCCCTTTCTTTCTAGCACACAAAAGCCAATTAACCTTGCCGATGAACTGAGGAGATTCATGGCAAATCACAGGTTAATTAGGCCTCGGATCGCAGTCGGCTGATCGAGACTGTCTCTGTGCCCGCAGGTGAACACGCGCGCCGGCTCCTCCAATCACTGCGCACACGTCGCCTCCGAGACACTGCCCAACGAGAGGTGAGGCCCAGGAGGCGGGGTTTGTCGGGGGACCCCCCCACCCCACCCCGACTCTCCAGCACACGCCGAATAATGACGGGCGACTTTGCAGGCCTGGCGATAATTTTAGCAAGCTCTCACCACAGAGGTTTAGGCCTGGGCCGTCAGTGCGTTGCAGAACCACCGCAAAACAAATACCGTTGCTGGAAGGATGAGCAAAACATGAGGAATTTGAAAGCACATACAGCTTTCAGGGTGCCAGCTGAAGAGTTGGCATAGATCATTTTTGTATATCTTTTGATTGCCTGGCATTAGTCTTTTGTGCTCTGCTTCGCTTCCCGCGAAAGTGTTGAGTTTGTCACAGCAGAAGAGTTGGTAGGAACACTGCATGTGCTTTGCCAGTTCTCTTAGCGGCAGCGGCAGTGCTGGTCATGTGGCCATGAGCTCCCACATTCTGGACATTGCTGAGATGGGCAGGACTTTGATAGAGCCACTGGCACTTTGTGTGCAGCCAGCACTGATACACAACCTCTGCAGTGATGCAGTATGGTAGGACGTCCACTAAAAACCCTTCCTCTTTTCTTATTTGAGCTGATCTTGATTGATCGTGGAGGTCCTTAACTCCGGAGACGCTTTTTGCCACTTCTCCCTCTGCTGAAGCTTTCCTTTCTGGATATTCGGAGCAATCCCTTTGCTGCGTGCATTGAGCTCCAAAATTATTAAAAAGTCCTGCGGAATAATATGGAAGACAAACAGGTTTGCTTTGAGAATAATATGTTGTGCAGGGTCATCTGCTTGTGGAGATTTGTGCAGGGCAGGTAGGAAAGATTTTAAAAGAAACTCAATTCGATAAGAAGCGCCTCACCTTCCCCTTCACCTTAGGGTATGGGTATGGTTATTGTTATAGTGCAGTGCCGACACACATTCATTTGGCATGGTAGGTTCTGAAAAAGTATAAGAGTGGCCACTTATTAAACCATGATGAGCAATAGTTCTCTGTGAAAGAGACCATAATATAATCAAATCACTGTAATAATAATGCTTAATATTAAAATAGTAATACAAATGACTAGTGTTACTATAATTATTATTGGGAAGTATTGATGAATGAGCACTCTGTGGACTGGACTTGGCACTGAAGCTTCACAAGTGTACTCAGTGATAAGTATTGATTGGGTGATTGATGATTGATTGGTTGACTCATTCTCGGGAGCAGGGAAGGGAGTCCATGCCTGCTCAGAGATCACCACCGTGTCGCAATACGGCTGCATACAGTGGACAAAAATAAAGCCCTACAGAAAGAAACAAAAAGTTTAAAATATTGAAAAGGTTCATATTTGTAGTGAGGAAAGCCACTGGAGAGTCATTTGTTATTTGTAATTAATTAGCGTCCCCTGAAAAGCACAGCTTGGAGTATTGGAAGATACAGCTGAAGAAATTTGTGCTCATTCTCAGCAAATTGTACGTTAATTACAAAGAACAGTTAGAAGGCCGTTTTTGGAATAGCCGAATTAATTGTACAATTAATTAGTGTAATGACAGTGCAGTTGAATGGTTCTTTCTTACATTTCTTCCCCCCCCCCCCTTCTCTCTGTCGCTCTCCTCCCTTTGTTCCGTGGGGGTTTATAATGTCTGCTGTCAGATCTGTATGCCAGCTCAAGGCACGGCAAACTCGCGCTGGCTCGCGAAGTCCTGGGGCGCCGCCCACGGGGAGCAGTGTGGGGCGCCACAGGGGCGGAAACGCAGGTCACGCCCCCAGAGCACAGACCAACACCCTGGCGGTGCAGATCAGCAGCAGTCCAGCTGGACACGGACAGCCCCCTTGTGTCCAGCAGCTTCTGCTGCTGCTCAGCTCCTCGGGTCCCTGCGGGAGCAGGCGCCAGGATTTTCCCAACTTTTTTTTTCTCCCTAGAGCACGTAGAGCATAACCACTTAGATCAGGGGTTGCAGTTCCATTTATAAATTTATAAATTCATTACAGCTTCTGGAATCTTAACAGAGCATTAGTTAGTTAATACGTTGGCGTGTGTCAGTAAGGACCTGGAAACTGACCTCAGCTGATGAATAATTGCGTTTATGCGTGGGGTCCGATTTTGTTTTCATTCAAATCCAAATGCTTTTTTAATGCATGATCGAGCAGCTGTTTTCTGTTTATTGAGAAAGTGCTCTTTGCAACCCCCAACCTCAAGAGCTTCTGAAAATATTGGTGTTCTTCCCTTCACATACTTTTGGAAAGCAGTCGTTAGTCTTTTTACAGTACATGCCGATCTCACAAGAGCCAGCAGAGGGTAAGATTTACATTAGCTGAATAAAATAGAATCAGGGGGATGGGGAGGAAAATCTACCTTAGACAAATATGCTTTTAAAGTCACGCCGATAAATGTTTTTTTTTGCCCAACAGCTTAAAGAAATCCTCTGCTGAGCTGAAGAAGATCTTGGCGAATGGGCAGGTAAGGTCTCTTGTCACATTGCAGGGACTCGATCACTAGTTCACTAGATTGTACTCGATTCTGTGGCTTTAAATCTTGCCAGTCCTCTCTCTGGACTTCATAAATGTAAGAATATTATGCTGAGAATGTCATGCAGTTCAGGGGGAGATTTTTACTAAGCATTTTCCTCTGCTCCTTGGAGCAAAAAGTGTTCCTGATTTGTTTTGGTTTTTTCCCCCGAGTACTTCTTAAAATTTAAAGACACCGTTTAGCTATGCAGAATGGACAAAATTAATATTTTTTTACTTCGGACAAATTGTAAAAAATAGAAAAACTGAACAAAACTTTCTCATATCTTTTGTGGCTTCCTTATACTTTCCTTTTTCCATTATTTTACTAAACCTCAGTTTTCCAGTGTTTTCTTGAGTATGTAATCAATAATACTGTTTTTTTTTAGTAATATATAGCCACCCATTACACGTCAGCTCCCCATAAACTCTGACACATTCTGTCCTGGTCTGTCTTCCTGAGTCCTTTGGATTCGGTTTTGTTAGGAGGAGTTTAAAGCATGCCTCAGAAGACACGACGCTTGGTTCTGAAACCTTTGATGGTTCTCTTTGATGAAACAGGACAGAGCAAGATGAATATAGCTGAGTTCAGTAGGAGTACCTGTTCTTTTTTTTGTGCCTCAATGGGTGGGGTTAGAACTCAATAAGGTCATTAACCATTTCTTCCATTTCCGTTTCGGCTTCCTTGCTCCCGGGTAGGGCTTTCCCAACCTGTGTAAGGGACATAGGAGTCCCCCATTATTGTGATCTCGCTTTTTTAATTGAATTATGTAATGAAATGTCCTTATTGTATCTTAGAGGTGGTTTAGAAGAAGCAGCTCCTTAGTCTCAGCCCTCTAGGTGTTGCTTTTGAAAGCACTTCGATGTTTGTTAGTGCATGGGATTGTGCGTTAGTGTGTAGGAGTGTGCTGCGGCTGGCAGCTCCTGTCTTCAGCGATCAGGCTGGCCTATTAGCTCCTATTGACTGAGACATGTGTGTCCTCTCGAATGAAAGATCCTTATTGATTTTCTTAACTGCTGCTCACTTCCCCTTTCACGCTTCTGAGGGTTGAAATCTTTATCATCCGCGATGTATATTCATTGTCCCTTTTGTCGCGACCTCTTCGAGCTCCATTCAGCCTCCATGTATCAAGTGGCTGAAGCAGAGTGTGTCAGCGAGACAATTAAGAAGCGGCTCTTTGCGCCGGTCCCCTGGTGTCACCTGTAACACTCTGGACTAATGGAGCTGCATCCCCCTGACAGCTGACAGCAGCTCTCCCTCGTTCTCCTCTGTTCTCCTCTCCCCCCCTCCCTCTCTCTCTCTCTCTCACTCCTTCACTGTCGCTTTGTAACTGAATCAATTGTCCTGAATTGCAGGGGCATGCTACAGCTGCACGTTAACAACGAGACTCTGCTCTCCCTCAAAATTAGCCCTGACAGTAACGTATCGACTTCATATTAGCCTCCATGAGAAAAGTAAAGAAAAATGATGATCCTTCAGTAAAATCAGATATCGACAGCTCTGGAATAGCTTTCTCTGCTCGAGCCCTATTGATATAGGTTATGTGATATAAATATTTATCTAATATCTGTCACTCAGCTTAAATGCCACCCTGTTTGGTTGGGAATTGATAAAGTGTCAGCTGCTCGCAGGGAACATGCAACCAGGCTGTGTTTCTAGATTAGTCTCGGCTCTGTAGAGTGGAATTTGTTAAATCTCCCTGTGAAGTGTGACTGCCTGCTGCAGGAGAGTTTTTTTTTTAATTTCTGTTCCCTTTTTTTCTTCCTTTTATTTTGCTCGCTCATACTAAATTAAATCTGTGTGTTGTTGATAGTGCAAAGGAGTCTGATTATCTTATCAAAGGTGCTTAGCATTTCTTTTGACTCCTGTATTCCAGTAATTGTTCTGGTGTAGGGTATGTTGTTAGACTGGCCCTGGCAGAAAGAATACATCCTAAGAAAAGTTATATTTATTAAACTATTTTTAAAGGAGGCTATCATTCTGTAAGACAATCTGTATACCCTGTTTTATACAACCTGACTTAACAAGCTTAGGGTCAAGGTTAACTTTGATATAAATAGGTTAAGCATAAAAACATCAGTTGCATGCCTTTATAAACAGTTTCATGTTAAGTACCTGGTTTAATTAAGCCTTCCTTAATAAAAACATTCAGCCCTCCTCTCCAGTCCTGACAGTGATAACCTGTGGTCTGAGACTCCTGTCACACAGCTGTGTGTTTGCTCTGCTAAGTTGAATGAGCTCATTCCCATATGAATGAAGCAAACTGCAATCTGAAAAGCCCACAGTCTTACAAATTGGAGCAGTTGATCCACTGATTGGGTCTTATAAAGTGGAATCAGTTGATTTTTGGTTATCCAGTTACTTACTGAGCCACGAAAATCACTGGGTGATTTTTTTTTAAAGATCTCCCTGAACAAGCTTCCGTGCACAGAGTTAGGTAGTTTGTCGGGAATCTATACCAAGAGCAGACTGAGAAAGGGGGTATCAAAAAATATTAGACTTTTTGTCTATTTCATGTCCATCTTAGAGGTAATTGAGGTTGAAAAAGGCAAACTTTTATTTAAGAAGGAAAGGCAAAAAACTGCATTCTTTTACTTTGTGTGACCCTCCCCACACACACACACAAATAAAATTCATTGCATGGGACGTTCTCGCTAGCAGGTAGCTGCAGCCCGCGCTGTGTTAATTTCACTGGCAGGGCTGAGCAGTGAGACGCAGCACCGGGGAGCTAGCTGTGCAGGCATCGGGGAATAGGGTCAGCTCGCCTTTTAAAAGTTTCCCCAGCCTCACAGCAGCCGGGCCACATTATATCATTCCATTTTGACACCTTTTATCAAACTTTAATGAAACGACCCAGGCAAACAAATTGTCATTAAACTTTCCATCACTTTGTCCCCTGGTATTGTCTTTTATAAATTGGACAGCAAATGTTGTATTGATCTCTCTTTTCTTGCTGCTGAACTTGAGATGACCTGGCCTGCTTGTTGTTTATGGCCTTGAGTCGCTTTTCCTTGACATTTCTATCTTCCTCATGGCATCTCTCTCTCTCTCTTTTTTTTTATTCCTTTTATTCCGTCAGATGAATGAACAAGACATACGATACCGGGACATGCTTGGCCATGGGAACGGAGGCACCGTGTACAAGTAAGTCAGGGGCTGCTCCGCGGCAGCTCGTTGGGTCTTGGGGTGCGTGCACGTACCCCTTGGAGAGGAAGCCCTGCAAACAGGGGGCAGGTTCCTTGTTCTCCTAACTCACACCTTCCCGCAGAGCCCTGTTCTGGTATAGGACATCTTAGATTGGCCCTGGCAGAAAACACAGGCCTAAAGAAAAGTGATATTTATCATATTACATATTACATTTTTTAAAAAAAGGAGAGTGTTATTCTTAAAGTCAGTCTATGTACTCTGTTTTATATAACCTGGCTGAACAGGGTTAGGGTCAAGGTTAACATTGGCTTAACCTTAGTAGGTTAACATTGGCTTAACCTACTAACCTTAGTAGGTTAAGCATAAGGAGAAAATCAGAACTGAGAACAAAACGGGATCCGAATACAGAAGGGTTTCCCAGGCTCCACAGCCTCAAAACATGAGGATCGCATTGCCAGAAAGTCCGATTTTCACTGTGGCATAGAGCTTTCTCCCTGCGCCTCAAAGAAAGCGGAGCAGTTTAAAGGCCACGTTGCTCAGCCAAAATGTGAATTTCAAAAGTGAAGGAGAAATGGTGAACTCTACACCCTATATAGCGTGCACTGGGCTGCAGAGAAGTGAATAACGTCGGATGCAGAAAGGAAGATTTGATCCGCTTTAGAAATCTGCGGCGAGCTGTTGTTCTGATCGCACCAGATGCAGACGCTGCCGGTTACTGCCTACGAGAGAACGAGTGTAACATTTCTGCCTGCTAATTTAACACTCAACGGGACAAAGAGGCCCCGTAAATCTGTAATGTCCCTTTGACATCCATCAGGCAGGTTAGTGTGTGTCTTGTGTGTGTTACTTTTTTTATTTTTATGATCTGAAGGCCTGGCAGCCTGCATGCTATTGATTCTGAAGTTGAAGAATGGGAGTGATTCCCTGCGCGTGGCTGTGTGTGAGTGCGCACCTACTCATTTCTGTTACAGGAATGATGTATTATCACTGTTCAGCAAACATGACAGCGTGTCACAGGTCGCTGAGCTGAAATTCTCAAACCCCGTTTCCACCTGAATCCACTATTATTGAAATAGTTTATTGAGATTGAAGTATTGATCACTTCTCAGTCTAACCTTGGCTTAACAGAAGGCTTGTCGTCTTTGGGCGACACTAAATTTCATTAAAAAATGAATCCTATTTATTTTCTGGGGGGGGGTTTTACTGCCTCTTGCCACTTCCTCCCTGCTTTACTGCAGGGACCCGGTTTCATTAATGGCCTTTCTCTTTTGTGACAAAATAATTATACTTCAGGAAAAGCACCTGACCAGTCTTCAGGCAGGGAAATTGTTCCACTATACTGGGAAAGCCAATATTGCTACACAAACAACTTTTCAGTCAATTGAGCCCAGTAAAAAAAAAAATCAATATGCTCCCGCTATATATTCTTTTATGGTAGTGAGTAAAAACCTGCTGAATTTAAAACTTGTCGTTTTATTATTATTATTTTCTTGATTTTTTTTTTTATTTCCTGTGTTGCCGGTGCGGGTGTGTTGTGTTGGGCGTGTGTGTGTGTGTGTGTGTGTAATTGTGCGCGCCTGCTGGTGTGTAGATCCCAGTGCTCCGGCTCTGAGTTTAGTTAACCTGTTTTTAAATGGCCCGGCTCCAGGCTGTGTCCGGTGGGAATGGTGGGGAACTGTTTACTTTAATAAACTGCTTTTCATTAGCCCGGCCGGCAGGGCTGCGGGAGGCTGGCCGCGCCTCACCTCTGAGATGAGATGTCAAATGATGTTTTAATAGCCGATCACATTTTGATTTTTGTATATATATAAAATATTTAATAATGCCTTTTTTTCTCTCGAAAATAGCTGGTTTAGCAATATTTAAACGTTTAAGAGTAACCTTTTTTTAGATCGCGTTGCTCAAGGAACTCGTGCTGATCTTTTCAAACACCACTATGCTTTGTCTCGATAGTTTTTCCTCTCCTACATGGTCAGTTGTCCCTGGCGTTAGGTAGGGTTGTTTTCCGAAAGAGAATAACCAAATCCCAGCAGCAAATTGTCGTTCAAGTCCGATAAAACATTTTTGTTGCGTTTAAATGAAATAAAAAAGGCGTCTTCTTGTGTATGATATGAAAACAAGCGCATTTTATCTATTAACGTGTTTCCTGTAGGATCCCAGTATTTGCATACAGTATATCTTTCTCAAGATCGCCTGCATCCAAAACTCACTAGTGGTGATTTATTTTAAAAAAATAGAAATAGTTTCTTTGAATTCGCAGGCCGTTCTACGTTGTGTTTACTGTAGCTGAGGACAAAACATTTGATGTAACTGAGCTTACATCAAAGGCAATTCCGGGACCTTTTATTTCTAAAACTGAAGCTTTGACCAAAAAAAAACCCGATAGAAAAACATCTAGCATGGTACGCCCCGCTTGGGTCCAAAGGCCGCACGGTGGCATTTGTTGCCCTGCCTCTGGGTGGTGTCGCCCGCGCTGAGCCCGCAGATGGGGCAGGTGAAGGGGGCTGCGGGTCAGGGGATAACAGCTGGGTGACATGTACAGAGGCCGGGATAGCGGAGCATGGGCGCAGGGGCGCGTGTTGCAGCCTCGCTGTGCTGTAATTTGTTTTGTCCGCCCAGACTTCAAGGAGCGGCGTCTGTATTCTAAACAGCCCCCGTAATGTAAAACACAAACCTGTTTGACCGTTGAGCGCTCCGGCGAGCATTTGTATAGGAGCGGCACCTTGGGTATTTTCCTTAAATTGCTTTTTGAAAAATAATTCAGCGGCCGGTCTTCAGGGCTTCCGCCTCCTCGTCCCTCGCTGCCGCGTGATTATTTGGGCTCCGCGACCGGCTGCTCCGCTGTGCGCCGCTCGTCTCTGACACACAGCCGCCCGGTTCCCCCGAGACACCCCCGTTCTCCGTATCACTTGTTTGTTTCCAAATCGACAGTATAGGCGTTAAACACTTCTCAAGTATGAGACTAGTGCAGTAGGAACAGATCCTCTTAGCTTATTGGAAGGTTTTTGTTCTGGTTTGTTTCGTTTTATGTTTCCCAGACTCTGAAAGGCGTTTTGAAATTAAACTAAAAACCAATACCGCCCCCCAACATGTGTCCAGACGGACATTTGGTGATTTCAGGTGATCAGAATCGGCTCCCAGTGCTCTGCATTTCTGTTCAGCTCCTGCTGGGAAAGCTCATTTCACAACCATGCGGGTTTGTTTTTTTATGAGGGCGTCGAGAACAGACAATATTGAAATACCTTAAACTTCCAGTTTTCCACTTGCAACAGCATGTTAGACATATCATTGCCACACATACTGTATAAACCTGAGCTCTACTTGGGTAAAAAAGGCATGAAGGAGCAAGTATTTTTGAAAATATTTTTTGTTTTGTTTTTCCTTTTTGATTGGGTTTTGGCAAAAAGAATAAAGAGCAGTAAGGCAATTCCAGCTGTTTGCAGCTGGGCACTGCCAGCAGTGAATTCCTTCCTCCTCCTGACTCGGCTCTGGGGTGGCTTGCCGGCGTGCCTGAGCGATGGATGTTGGCAGAATTGCATCTGGTGGCCTTCTTCTCCTCTTCTTCCGGCACCAGCACCGTGCCAGCCCTACATCACCTCGGCGCCGGGTTTTATTCGAACAGAATCAGCAGCCCGGGCTGTCTAAACTGTTTACGCTGCACGGAGCCTAAGCTGTGGGGAGAGAGTAAATAACTGCTGTCCGGACAGCTTGCACGGCCTACTTGATGAAACTGGTCAATTAAAGCACATGCATTTACATGCTGTAATTTCCTTAAATTGCCATTGGGCTCTTTGGATGTGAACCGTGTTCCCATTGATTTTCCCATTGATCTTTGGCTGAAGCTGATAAATTTCTGCTTGTTAGTTACAGTAATTTTGCAGAGGACTGTATAAAGCAGTATTGAAGTGTGCATTTAGCCAGCGATTAAAAGGAGAGTTATTTAAAGTGGTTCACTCTCACTCCTGTTTGCTCTCACTCTGTCTCTTGTTGCTCAAGTGGCTGAGCTGCGGGTGGGTGGGGTATTAGGGGTACGTCTTAATGCCTGGAGTACTCAGGGCCGTGTCCCTGGAATTTCTCCGAATGCTTTTTTTTTTAATTCTCAGTGCTGTGCAATAGTTGATATTTTTACTCCTTGAAGTACAAAAAACTAGGATCCATCCATCCATTGTTAACCGTTTTATTCAATATAGTCTCGGGGGGGAGCTGGAGCCTTTCCCGGCAAGAAACGGGCGTAAAGCAGGGTACACTCTGGATGGGATGCCAGTCCATCACAGGGCACAAACACACACACCAGGGCCCGTTATTCCCAGAAGCCAATTTACCTACCAGTTTGTCTTGGTACTGTGAAAGGAAACGCACACTAGCATGGGGAGAACAGAAAACTCCACACAAACAGCACCTCACGTCTGGAATCGAGCCCAGAGACCTAAAAGGGCTCCAGCACTGCACGGCAGTAATGCTCACCACGGTGCCACCATGCTGCCCCAAAGCCTGGTCCATCACTCTTATTTTACAAAAAAAACGTGCCATCTTAATAAGATGTCTCCGTGGTAGATGAGCCACAATGGTTTGGGCTGTGGCTCCTGCAGGAGTAGGGATTCATCTCCTCGTTGTACAGCAGTTTGAGGCGATTCAGATTTTAACCTCCACAGGCTGTTGCACGCAAGACAACACCTGGTGCTGGATATTTAATGTTAGTCATCTGATTTTGAGGAAACGTGCACATTAATCGTATTACATCTGTGCATTCAATAGTATAATATGTAATGTACGTGCATTTCGGCAAATGGTTGCACCATATGGCTGCTGACTGTAGGGTTTATAGGTTCGAGTGCCCAGGGTGCTTTATCCTTGGTCACTCCAGTCCGCCCAGCTGTATGAATTAGTTCAGCATTTTTGGGATGGTGGCCCTATTACTGGTGTCCTGCCCAGGGGGAGAGTCAGTTTCCAGGGGCCAGTGGGATAGGTTCCAGCCGGATGAGGCTCATGGTAGAGGTTTGCCAGTAAAAAGCCTTTTTGCTTGTGCGACGTGAAATGGATGAATCATCTGGCCAGTTGCAGAAGCAGATCCGGTCCCCAGATTGTTTCCCGGCGCACACACTTGCACTCCTTGTGAAACTGGAGAATCTTCTGTACTGATCAGCCATGCAGCGCATCAGAAAAAGTCCAGGCAGATGGCCGCTGCTGTGGTGTGGCTGTGATAGCGCTCGGGCGCTGAGGCCATGGCTGGGGAGGAGAGCCCAGCAATACAGGTGTGCTTGTGCAAAGAGTGTGCTGTTCTCAGCCTTTTCTGCAAGCCTGATGACCCCCCGTCGCTGCACGACAGCGGTCTGTCCTTCCCGGCTCAGCGCGTGTGTGGTTTGTGCTCGCCCGCTCACTCTCCGTGTCGCCGAGCCCGGTGTAAAGGGATACAGCCGATCGTTTTGGGTGAATCGTTCACCGCTGTGTCTTTTCTAAAGCGCGGTAACCAAATCCCAGGCTTGACTGTGGCCCTGATTGTCAGCTGATGGCGGCTTTAGAAAGGGCCATGAATACTTCATGCAGGAGCTTTCATTACACACTGGCTTCAGAGTAAATAAAATACAGGGGAATGGGACACATTTACAGGGGTCAGGGTAACTGCGAGTATGAGTAACGCTGAGGCCGTCTGTATAAGTACCTCTTGTCCACCGTAGAATAAATTCTCACAGGTGAGCCAAAGAGTCGTGTTTATTTTGAAGGACACCACTGATTGAACTCTGCTGAATTGTAATAAGTTACACTGCATTAGAACAGACCAGAGAAGAAACAGTGCAGGCTGTCAGCTCTAAATGAAGTGCAGATGTGTATATATTGCTACTCGTGAGATGGTGTATGTGTGAAGTGGGACAGAAGACAGTACAGCTGATGGAGATGGGGATATTTTTGGACATGCAGGTGCAGCTGAGAGATGGGATCTTCATCGGGGTGGGGTGCTTCGAGGAAGGAGGCCAGGAAAAGTGATGGGGGGAACTGGGCAGCGGAAAGGTTAGGTTTGAGCCCACTCATTGGCTAAAAAATGAAAACCTGCAAGTCGACGGACAGATATCCCCATGACCGCAGCACATTGAGAGCAAGGCAACCCGTGTTTACTGTCAGAAACAGAAACGCCTCGGCTCGTTTCACAATTAACATTCTCCTCCTCTTTTAATTAAGCAACGCAGCTCTTGCTTAACAGGTATTGATTGCAGCTTAAAGGAAGACCAACCCATCAAAACTAAAAACTGGAACGAAGCCCCTTGAGTACAGCAGAGGCTGACGCAGCGATGGAGAATTTCAGCTGAAGCTAAAATTCTGTTTGAGCGAATGCTTGTTCTGCCTCTGTCATTTATGAGAAGCCTCTTGATCCAGATAGGATACAGAATAGGATTTCCTTTGGATGGAAGGAGGGGAACTTCACGCGCTTTGGCAGAAGAGCTCATGAAGGAAAATGAAGGGATAAGAGAAGCTTGTGTGAAGTTAAGGGGGGTAAATATTTGTTCTTAAACAGGGACGTTACAGCAGCAGCCACTTAAAGGTGTTGGCCATTAATTAAAACAGTCAAGCAGGTTAGAATTGTATCCCTTTGTAACCGTATCCCCTCTCCAAACCACATTAATCACTTTACAGACCTGTCGAGGAAGGTCAAGACAATTGAGACGCCATATTTGTCTGCAGTAAACAAATTGGCCCTCTCTCAGGTAGCCTCCTGTCAGGAGGAGCGTGGTCGCCGGGACACTGTGTGCCAGACTGGGACCTGGATATTGTGCACCCCGTCCTGCGGGATAATTAAATGTTAAATTGTTATTGTCAGCGCTTCGTAAATGAAAACCCCAGCCTCTGGAAACCCAATCTGGGGGCTCTACAGATGAATTAACGAGGATCATAATTAAATTATCAAGACTTCGCTTTTAATTTGCGTGCAATCCGAAACCCCCTCCCTGGAAAATTGAGCCAGGCTCGCCCCGGGCGAGCCGCTGAAGCTCCTGGCATGGCCGGTCTGAAGTGCGTTGCGAGCTGATGACCTCACTGTCCACCACCTTTCACCCCGTCTCTCCTTGTAGTGGCCCATCCGGGTGCCAGCCTGCTTAGATCCTGCAGGTTTGTTATTTGCTTTGCCCAGATCTGTCCAGGTCTCCGCGTTATTGAGTCAGTGACAGGAGCGTCCCATTGCTGAGCAGTTTGACCCAGTGCAGGTTTCATGAGCTGAAGACTCTGGTACCAGGAAGACTATTCTTCCTCAGGAAGGAGAAAGTCCATTCAAATAGGTGAAGATTTTACTACTTTTAGCTTCGTGTATCTAACTGTGCAGACCTGACGTAAAATAAAGTAATATGCCAAATCCTGCGGTTTGTAATAACTTAAACCAGGGGAACACAATCCTGATCATGAGTACCCACACACTCTAATTTTTGTTAGAGTGCCTTAAATACCTCATATTGCCATGCAATGGGAAACTCAACATGTGTAGATGGCAACTTCACTGCCTTGCAGCTCCCTCTCACAGAGGGCAGAGGGGGCTGTGTTTGTCTGTCACACTGTAATGCCGAACGTCACTAGGGTACAGAGACAAAATCTACTGTAAACACCCGGAAAGAAATTCATATATTACACCCACTTGTGCTGAGACGTGGACAATAACACCTTTCTGCCTCTGGATTTTGCCTTAAGGAAACGCAGACGAAAATTGCTCCTTCATCTTTCAAGTTGTTCTACACTATTGTCGTGTGGTGTGTGGAGCCCTGTGCCTGTCTCTCCCTCTCATGTGCTTTTGTTGTCTCTGCGCAGAGCTCTGCACGTCCCGAGTGGGAAGATACTGGCGGTGAAGGTAAGGTTTGTGCACGTTCATGGTTTGGAGGAGGAGAATGTTCTTGCAGCAGATTGTAACACGTCTCCACGCCAACCAGCAGCCTTTTCCACCTTTGGTCCCAATCTCTTCAAACATCCAACGCTAAGCAGCGCTGGGCCTGAGCAGTACTGGGATGGAAGACCTCTGTGGAAATCCAGGCTGTAGTTAATGGTGTTGGTGAACCAGTACGTTGCATTCTGTACAGTAGGAGGTGCTGACCAGATGATACTTAGACATTAAGGATCCCCTGACACTTTGTCATGGTGTTCAATTCTAAATTTGCTAAATGCAACATTCTACTCTGCTTGCACAGTCTGGCCTCCTACAAACGCTCTTTTAATTCAATTGGGGAAGCAAGTTCTTAATTCTCCGCCTGATCTGTCGTGCCATAATGACTGGCATGTCCCCTTGAAGAGTTAGGACGCACTGCAGTGCTGAATGTCTCCGTCGGGTCCCCCCCTGTATGGAAAATGCTTTGTGATGAAGAGTGCTATATAAATGTAATTAATTAAAACTGCTGTGCTCGGATTTGTGAAATGTGCAATGCATTTAAAGCTGAAATCATCTCGGTCTCCTCAAGTGCTGTTCAAGCCAGAGCATTCTGTCTCCTAGGAGGCCCGCTAGTTAAAGACCTGTTTCTTGTGCCTCGCTGGCACTTTGTTTGCTGACGGCAGAGAAAGAACAGCTCGGATTATTAACGCGCTGCAAGTCTGATCTCTGTGGGCTTTGCCACAGAAGAACACAGCACCCAGGTCCAGTTTCCTGCCGGGCTCCCTAGGGGCAGTTTCTCCCTGGGGGCGATTTTCGCCGTTTGCCAGAGAGAGCAGTGTCGCGGCCTGCCTCTTCTGCCACGGCTTCCTCCTATTTCTAAACGGACCGTCTTATTAATCCTTTGTTCTCCGATGTCTCCCTTCCCAAAATTTCTCCTGTTTTTTTTTGGTGCTGGGATGGATGAAAGACAATTAGGTGGCCCTGGATGAAATAAGTACATTAAAAGTCTAGTGAGTTAATATGACCTGTGATTCTGCTTCATCTTCCCTAAGTGGAAAGAGTGCTGCTCTGGCAAATAGAGGAAGCCATCCATGGCAGGGGGTGATGAATTGCCTTATTTATACTGTGGATTTTTAATAGCCTCGCACTAATTTAGGCCTGAACACAAAGAGTAAATTATAATTCCTCCACTTGACTGCTTATATTTAACTTGACAAGCTGTCGTTGTTTGTCCTGGAGGTGTACTGGAGAGCAGAAGACGTTTTCACAGGTTAAACTCCCCCCCCTCGTCTCTGTGTCTCTCTTCGTCCATCTCCCTTCCCTGTCGCTCACTTGCCTCCTTTCTCCTTCGCTTTCTCTCCGTCTCCCCTGTCTTTGTCCTCCCTCCTTCTCTTTCTTGGTCATCTCACAGATCTCGTGTGCAAGAAGCCACGGGCCATCTCCTGATAACACCGATTGACCCGTCCAGTTGCTTTGCTCGTTCATGGTTATTAATACACTGTGGAACCTAGTGCTAGTTCTCCGTTTAGAAACCCCAACTACAATTCTGCAACAGATTAGCGGCAAACTAAAGGATGGTGCTACCAGAGGTCACAGGAGCATTAGTAGGGAGGCAGTATGATACAATTGTTTGTTTGGAATCTTTCATCTATAAAAATAAACTACTTGTGCATTCCTGGATCTGACGTGATCATTAATTGGCTCGTGCGGTCCTTGTGAACCACGCTTGTACAAGCAGCACCGTGAGTGCAGATGGCGCTGTACTGCGTAGTTGTTTCCGCGGCCGGGGCGAACAGGAGAGGCATCATTATTTCACAATGGCGTCTCCATCATGGCACTTTCAGGCTCCCTGAAAATGGCTGAGCCGGGTAGTCATGACTAGTTGCGGTTATTTATGCCGCGTATTTAGGTCTCGGCCCCTCTCTGAGACTCGCTGAATGGCTGTGTAATTAATTAGTGGTTTGGCAGAGCTTGGAGAGGAGTAAGTACAAGAGGGCTCATAAAAACTCTTCTGCCAGTGAAGAATGCTTCTGTGTTAAAAGGGTAATTAGCAAGAAAATATTGGGGGAAGGTTACCAAGGGAGGGGAGGGTGTCCTTAAAAATCAAAATTGGCCTAATAGTCGGTGATGGTTTCGTTAATTAGCGCAGTGTGGTTTAAGCTCAATCTCCAGAAGCTTGTCTGCTTACCTCCCTTTTCCGTTGCCCTGTTGTCTGTGTTTTCATGCTGAGGGGCTGGCAGTGGCCAGGAATGAAGACAGGTTGCTCTCGTATTGAGTTAAGGTATTGGGTTGCCAGTGACGGAAGCATGCCTTCTCAGATGAGTGAGGCAGCCTGTGCGGCCCGGTTTCGTTTGTTCTCGTGTTCGGGCTCTTTGTGACCCTCTGTGTGTTTGTCCTTCCTCCTGCCTCAGGTTATTCCTTTAGACATCACGCTGGAGCTGCAGAAGCAGATCATGTCGGAACTCGAAATCCTGTACAAGGTACGCCTCCTGTCTGCCGGGCCACCTGCGCGCACACACCTCTGCACACCCTGTGCTGCCCAGGCCTCTGTGTCCTCTCCAGCACCCCACGTCCAGCTGGTATCACTGTCGCTGTCTCAGTTCTCAGAAACCCTGGGCTTGGGAGTGTTCGCTGTCTGAAAGTCCCTCTTTCTTTTGGATTGAATAATTTATCATGACTCCCAGTCCCCTTGCTCACAGAGATCTGCCAGGTGTGGCTCGAGTCTTGCCAGCAGCTGAGCAGTGAAATAAAGAGGCGTACACACAATGTTGTAGCTTCGCACAAGCTTCCAGTGAGCCACAATCTAGTAGAACTCCAAGATCACTCTAAATCGTCACTTTACAAGTGTTTGTGGACGTGCCTTTTTGTGTCTGCGTTTTTAAATACGTTTAGGTTTGTACGTTCTTCACCTGTGTGTGCGTGGATGACCCTGGTTCAATAAGTCTCCATAGTGTTCATGACCTTAAGCCAAAGGATCTGTCCGTAGCTTCATTAGTTAAAGTTCTTGTTAAGGTGGTCTACATCTTTAGTTCCCATTTAAGGGTAATTTAAATCTAAAACATGCTGGAATGTGACTTTCCAAGGTCAAGATTTGCTCATTGGAATGCTCAATTGAAATGATAGTTTTAGGCTAAAAGAGATCGTGTCTCTGTGACACAACACACAGCTCAAGATGAGGCAGAAGCAAACTCCCTTGTATCCGATAGCTTGGCTCTAATCAACAAGTATGGGGCCTATTCCTGTGCCAAGAATGGGCTGTGACATAAACTCCCATATCTGTAACATGGGTGGGTGTGATAGTGCTTTGGACCGTTCCGCTCTTCAGTGAGGTGCTCATTTTGATAAAGCAGGAGGCATACTCGAAGAAATGACTGAAAAGTGTTGGTAATCATAGGAAACGTGTTTAGGAGGGGCTGCCTCACCCAAAGAGGAAGGGTCAGTGTTTGACTAGGTAGACGTCTAGTCTTGCACAGTGAGAAAATGTCCCATGAGAAGAGTCATGTCCACATTCCCTGATGTGTTGTCGTTTTTGTCGGTGCCCGATACCAATATCTGCTGTCCTCCATGTCTTGCCTTTGCAGTGTGATTCGTCCTACATTATAGGATTTTATGGTGCATTTTTCGTGGAAAACAGAATATCGATATGCACCGAATTCATGGATGGTGAGTCTATTATTTTTGAAATTCTTGCTCTTTTTCAGTTAACATTGCAGGGGTTTTGAAGTGAGCCCCTGTCTCCCTGCCTGCAGAGTGGAAGTCAGGATGCAAGATGTCCCTGGGTACATCGCTGACTGTGGGCTAAATTTAGACTCCCATCCCTTACACTACTCTACATATCCATTTACACTTGCGCACCAAAAAGCGTTTTAACTGTAGTCAATTTTAAAGATGTTGCTGGTTTCGTTGGTGTGCGTTAAAAGCTACATGGTTGATGCCCTTGCTTTTAATGACACACTGAGATCAGATCGTTGAGCGACTAGCGTGGTTAGTGCTTGTCGTGGGGTGTAAGAGGTGGATTAGGCTTGAGTCCCTAGGAGCCAAGAGAGAGTGTGTGTTTGTCCTCGGCGAGCGGATGTACCATTAGGTAGGAACAGAGCGAACTAAAAGCTTTGGCAGTGAGAATGTTCTGCAACACCACTCCTGGCCTCCAGATTTCAGTTTCCACCTTCAGTGCGATGCAACTGTTAAGAACAATAGATAATTACGGAGATTGTGAACAAGAGGAATCCATTCTATCTTGCTCATTCGGCTGCTATTAGTTTATTGATCTGAGAAGCTTTTTTCCTGACATACAGATATAAAGGGAGTTTCTTTCAAATAAAGTGCATTATACCTTTTCCAGAAACTGCAATAATTGCTGACCACAATTGATTTGTTTTTTTGTTTCCAGATGAAAACTAAGCATCTTTTTGAAGGTCAATTTCTTTACACCTGGCTGTTCAGTGACAGTATTCAGTGATTATGGCTTGAGTATACTGGTAACCATCATTACCTTGTCTCTGGTACAATGACCTTAAGGTATGAAAGATCCCATCACAGCACAGCTCAGGATGCACTGGGCAGCACTCTGTCCCTGCCTTTTTTATTGTTATTGTTTTTATTGATTTTACAAAAAGTAGGATTAAGCACATTTTGTCTTTAGGATGCAAGGCTGCAGTTACCATCTATGGTCATGAGTTGTTCTTAAATGAAAATGAGTTTTGTTCCAGTGAGAAAGATGGCTGGATGTTGTAGTTCGGCAGCCTGTGTGCAATGTAACATTGTGTTGTGTGCAGGGGGCTCTCTGGATGTGTACAGGAGAATCCCGGAGCACGTGCTTGGCAGGATCGCTGTGGCGGTGAGTGTCTTGATCATCCCACGGAAACATGGTTGTAGAGGCTATATCCTGATGAGGTCTTGTCCCTGCTGCTGGACACCAAAGAACCACATGTCTGCAAGAGCTCTTTTATCTTTACACCTCATCTCCAACCTTCCCAGTGCACGTGCCTCCGAGGGTGCCATTGGAGCCTTGAAATCTCATTAAAATAAATGGAATTTAATTAATTCGAGGGCAGAGTGTCTCTTAGTATATCTGCTTGTTCTGCGATGCTGCGTTTCCGGGGATAAGCAGGGCATGGGAGGAGCCTGCCTTCTGGACTGGGACATGGCTGTCTCCCCTTAGCCTTTCTTTCACACGCTGCCCGTTCCTTCCAGTTTAAAAAGCATCAAGACGCTAAGCAAAAAGGAATCAATAAGAGTGAATGTACGATTGGCTTTCAGGTGTTAATATCTTAATTGGATTATTAGTGGCTTAATCCCTTTGAAAGGGGCTCCATCAGAGTATGATGAAGGATGTGATGATGGAGCTGACACTCCAAATACTTTTTAATTAAAACCTGTTGATTTTGCGGTGCCTCCATCTTGACCTTCATTATCCCTTTCCTCCACCACTGTCTTTCATTCCCCGTAATCAAACATCGACAGCTCTTTAGTCTCTGTTAATTTCAATTCACAACTTTCCCCCGTTCTTTCCCTCTCCTGACAAAGACTTCTAATTATCCGTGCACAGTGCTGAGGGTGACGGCAGCAGCTCTTCCAATCTGCGGTTGTGCTTCTGAACTCTGTGCGGAGGGAGGGGGAACTTTTTGTTCTGCTTCAGGCCTCCAGGGCTTTTCGGTTTCGGGCTCAGGAGTTTGTTGCCAGAAGCTCTTGTCGTCTCCCTTAGCGGGCCTGAATAATGTGGGGTGGGGGTGGGGGGGGGTTAAATTTTTGTGAAAGGTCAGACTTCCCTAAGCGAAAGCTTTTCTTTTGAGCGGGTGTAGAGCAGCAGTGCGGGATATTCTGGTGGCTGGCACGGGGCACGGTTGTCTGGCCCTGGCTCACTACTGTACGGGTGATGAGTCCTGCTGACCATCGGGCTTCTCTTGGGAAACTGCGTTTATTCAGTGTTTCGGTAGCACGTCTGTAGCAACTCTATGCCAGCAGTGCCGATGCAAATATCATCATCATCATCATAAATAAGTAAAATAGAACAAAAGTGCAAAAGGGCTGATACCATCAATTAAAACGATAAAAAAACTACTGAATACAAGATAGCAGGAAAAGTGATTTTATGTTGGTGAGGTCAATGGATTTCTGAGAGTATGTGTACTGCAGCCTGAGATTTCTTGAATAGTGTAGCAGTGGAGCTCCCAGGTTATCCTCTATAAAGAGCTACATGTTTGTGTGTCCTGCCTCTGTCCATTCGGAGACTGATGGACGACCTGCGCCGAAGTGCCAAGGCAGCTCTGTGAGGGCTGCTCTCTCGCGAAGGACAGAGAGCCTGCTCTGTGCAGATGTGCGTGTTCATTGCAGCAGTGGAAATGCAAACCCGTCTTTTATACAGGCTGGAGCGTGGGCAGTGCGTGGGTTACACTGTGAGCCTGTTTCTGCGCGGGGAATAAAACGCCTGCTGGGACAGGAGCCTCACAGCCCTGCAGTGCTGGACTTTTTTAGAAACATATTTTTTTTTTAAACTGTAGCAGTGTTGTGAACTGTTCTTCCAGGAAGGTATGAACGAAATGCAGACATGTATGTATAGAATAGGTGTAAACTGCTCCTGCATAATAGACGCCTTGAATTGTCTGTTTTATTGGCCTTCTTAAAGGAGCTAATATGTTTCATGTAATTACATTTGGAGTTCTGTTTGGTATTTGTCTGAACAGCTGTACCATAAACAAGAACCTACTCCTGAGAATCAATCTGAGAGGCCCTGCGTTTGAGAAAGCAAGTGCTTTATGCTTTATGTATAAAAAGTACCAGTGTTTGCCAGTGAAGTTCCATCTCTAAACCCTTGTTCTTTTCAAATCCAGGTGGTGAAAGGTCTTACCTACTTATGGAGCTTGAAGATTTTGCACCGAGGTAGGAAGGCAGGATGGTACTTCGTATTAATCTCTCTGCCTGCTGTAATTACAGCTCTGCTCATTTACCGCAAGGAGTGCTTTGCTCTCCTGCACTTTCCC